CTGCCATTAATGATTAAATGCTATGATCTAAAGGGTGGTTTCTCATAATATATTCATAATCATAAGGATGAGATTTATGATATTTAAGGACCTTATGGGCCACCTCATGGTCTACCCAATAGAGGCAATATTGTTATTATATGTGGAGGAACAGGAATATTTCCATTTTTAGATTTATTAGATTTTCTTCTAAAAACAATTATTCACCAAATAGCATTAAACAAGTTTGGCAAATAAACAGCTGATAATTTGAATCCTTATGATTGTTAATTCAATACAAATATACACATTACTTTATTTTTTGCAGCAGCCAATAAATCAGAATTAATTGGATCTGATATTCTATTCCCAATAATTTAATTATAAAAATACTTAGATAAATAATACTTGAGATTGATCATTAAAATAAAAGAGAAAATTGAAGGAATAGAAACTATTGAGGAGAGATTTAGTAAAGAAATGTTTGATAAATTCCTGGGGAAAACTATGGATTATCAAAGATTTTTGATTTGTGGACCTCCTCCGATGTAATCATCAGTACCAATAATCCTTTAAGAAATGGGAGTATAAAACCGACTCATCCATTTCATCTGATTTATTATTTACATGAACTTATCATTTTTAAGTTGAAAATTTGTTTTTTATATATTGGACCAATCAATCAGAGTTCATTTTTAAATCAGATTCAATATACTGAAAATACCTGTGTCATACATTACCCCTTATAATGTTTTTTTTAAATATAGTATTATTTAAGAGCTGTTGGGGATCAACATTAGTCCATTATTTATTGAAAGAGAAAAATAATTCAATAAATTAGACACCTTATAAAGCATCGGTGTATTGGTTATAATTGATATATTCCTAATGTAATAAATATAAATTAAATTATTGATCTTTGGAAACCAAATTCATGAAGAATTGGAATGAATTCTATAATAACTCATAAAATTATAGCTCCAACCTTAAATCATGAAGTTAAGTTTAGAATTCATGAAAATCTTCAAAAGTCATAAATAGGTAATTTTAATAAAAGACTTAAATTTTCATCAATGATAAAGTTGGATTATTTTAATTATATTTTTTACAAATTTATTTGAGGTGAACAAGGCTATTGAATTAAAAATATATTTAAAATCAATCAATATCTTATGTCAATAAAGACAAGATATATTCTTAAATTATTTTAAGAAAAGACAAATGAAAATGTATCTTAAATTCTTGAATTGACTTTATTTATTTGTATTATATTATTAATCTTCTTTTTATAAATAAGACATCAAATTTGGTTTTAAAACGATTCTCATTTAAGAGAAAACTCAAAAAAGGAATAATTCTAACTAAAATCAGAATATTTATCTAATGTATATTCAAATAAACTGTTTTAATGAATAAGAAAATAAATCCACTCACTTCCGAAAAAAATATTTTTGATAAGTAAATTCCTTAATTATAAAATATATTTCTGATTACCTAATGAAATGATATATAATAATAAATATAAATAAAAACTCATTTTATCGAGAAAAGTCCAAGAAAAATAATAGTGTTAGAATTATGTTACAGCTATTGAAGTCAAACCTTTTGTATAAAATACAAATAATCAAAGGCACCACTGATGGTTAATTATTATCACTAAGAATAGCAAGCTATTCAGTTTGTTTTGTCATAAAACATTGATTATATCAGACTTATTTTAGTTTTCTTACATAATTATTTATTTAATGTTTGTTCGGTTCTTCCATTTTCAGATTTTAGGAATAATTGTTGAAGCATATTATATTTAACATTTTGTTACATCATCAATATCTGGTGACGAAGGTAGATATTATCATATTCATTTAGGGTGGTTAATTAAAAACCCTTATAATGGGGCCACTGTTCATACATACAGTTGTGGAGGAAACCTAATGTTTGGGGGATACCAGATCTTCGGATGTTATTCGTCATAACAAACAGCAATAATGAATTATTTCTCACTGCCACCTCATTATGGTGTGAGCATAGATTTCAATTTTTGGAAGTTTAATATAAAAAATATCTTTAGAATTGATGATTGGCCAACTTCTCAGTACTTTTATATTGTGATAGATTAATGGACAAAATCTTGGTATTATCCAGATAATATAGGATCGAATTTATGTGCAGGTACTGGCTCAGACTTTAGTTCTTCATTAAATAGTAATGTGCTTTTGCATACATTAAATTCTATTATTGTTGAAATACGCTCTGATTGTTCAAGCGCTGTATGTGTTATTTTAAAATATTAAGAACTATTGGGGACTTACTGATTTCTCTATAACATTAAATGAATGTCAGTCAGGATGTCAATTTTGCTTAGATTCTACGAATGATTGCACGATGTGGATATTGTGGAAGTCTTTTTTTCAACTGAAAAACCTTGATAATGGGCTTGAAGGTTGGATAAAGAATAAATTTCCGTCTTTTACATAAATGACAAATGATTGTAATAGTGTGAGTAATTATAGTTTAACTAAAAATGCTTGTATTAAATAAATGGGATTCTGCAATAACTTATCTTACACTGCCAGATCATATTTCTTTAATAATACAATTTAGAATTGAATATATTTCAGCCTTGCCTATAATTGTTAGAGTTTACATAAATGATGAATGGAAGTATGGACTAATTAATGATAAAAAGTAAGTGGATTATAGAACTTGGACAATAGACGATACTAGAAATCAAATTAAATTAGAAATATATAGTGTAGATGGCACTGTATGTATTCGTGAATTGTCTGTAATTCTACGAGGGCCAATAAACTTAATCTCATGTGTTGATGACAATTTAGCACCGTTTGATGGTTGTTTTGCTAAGTAAGAATCTTGTTTGGAAGGATGTACATTTTGTGTTAGAGGAGAATGTCTGATGTGTGATACTAGATGGGATTATAATGCTTTAAATAAAAGTTGCGACCCTTCTTGTGGAGATAAATTAATCACAGGAAATGAGCAATGTGATGATGGCAATAATTTTCCTTTTGATGGGTGTCATGAATGTAAGTTTGCATGTCCTGTGAACTGCCAAAAATGTCAATTTGGTTAATGTTAGATGTGCAATTCAGGATATTATTACTCAAATGGAATATGCATTCGAAATTATGGAGAATTTACATTAGATCAAAGTTAAGTTGATTATAATTAATTTTCATTTGCTTAAGAGGAAAATGAAAAGAAAGTATGCGGAGATGGTATAATTCAATAGGATGAAGAATGTGACGATGGAAATACTATTCCGAATGATGGATGTAATAATTGTTATTTTTAATGTATATAAAACTGTTATGAATGTATTTTTGGAGTTTGTTAGTATTGTAACCCAACATATTAATTAATAAGTGGTAAATGTTTGGAGATTAAAACTAACTTTAGATTTCTTAATTGTATTACTTCAAACGTAAATCAAAATTAAATTACTGAGAAGAACAATGTCAGTTGTTGTGAGGATAATGACATCCAATGTAATCTTGGAATATCATAGGTTGAAAATGACAGTAAAATATTGTAATGTCCTTAATATTGCGAAATTTGCGAATACGGTAAATGTAAAAAATGCTTGGTTGATTATTTTCTATTAAAGAACTAATGTATATCTTAGATTACCAAAGGAATACTAGTATTCAAAGATGAACATCATATTAGTTTAATTGAAATAGGATGCTATAAATGTAATGGTAGTTGTCAGATTTAATGTCTTTAATGTTAGAATTCATATTGTTTTTCTTGCATAGGAGGTTGGTCGCTTATTAACGGATCATGCCAATAAATTTGTGGGGATAATTAAGTAGCAATTATATCATAAGAAGAATGTGATTCAAATTTAGATGATTGTATAAATTGTAGATTTGCTTGCCCTGAAAATTGTGAATTTTGTATTGATTCAAAAAGATGTTTTCTTTGTTTATGGCCTTTTATTGAGATAAATCATAAATGCTAGCTATCTTGTTTAACTGAATGCAATAATTGTATTGATGGTACTTGTTATGATAATTGTCCAACTGGAGAAACCAATAAAGATGGGATATGCCTTCCAATCTGTGGTGATGGTATAATATAATAAACAGAATAATGCGATGATGGAAATAACATTTAATTTGATGGATGCTATAATTGCCAATATTCTTGTTCTTAATATTGCATAGATTGCGATGAAGGAATTTGTTAAGAGTGCTAACAATATTTTTAATTTGAGTAAAATATTTGTTAGAATGACTGTGGAAGTGGAATTAAATCTTACGATGAATAATGTGACGATGGCAATCTTAATGATGTGGACGGTTGTTCTTCAAATTGTAAAATTGAAATTGATTATAAATGTTAAGACAAAAACAATAGTTACTCAGAATGTGAATACTCTGAGTCTCCTTATATGATAGTGAAATTCTTAAACTAAACATATAATAAATATTATATTGAGATATCATTTTCCTAAGCAATCTTTTTTAAGGATAGTTATGATTTATAATCTCTTTTTGATTTCAGTGTTGATGAAATAAATCCTGAAGATTATGCAATAAATCTAGAATCGAACTTCTAACCAGTTATAAATTAAATTCTTAACTATTAATTTCAAGTAAAATTAGAGTTCTTAACATCAAATAATAGTAGTCTCACAAGATTATAATTAACTCTAATGAATGTGGCGTTTAATTAATATAATTTGGAATTACTAAATCCATCTGAATAATTATTACTCAAATAATTTACTAAGCTGAGTTAATCCGATGTTGAAAAAACTAGGCAACTCACCAAATATTAAGAAGCTATGATTATGGCTTAAGGAATTGGTAGTGTTATCATGTTAATTTCTGGAAATTTCCAAATTTTTGTAGAAATATTGGACAGCCTACAGTATTAATCGTATTTAAAGTATGCAAATATTATCTACCCTGAAAATCTTTACCTTTTTTTTGAAGCCACTAATTTAATAAGCATTATTCCAGTTTTAGAATTTCTAAAAATAGGTTAATTTTATTAAATATTTCTCTATTCCGACTTTATTGAGTCATATGCTAAATTAAGGTTTTACAATCTTAATGCCCATTTAATAACTAATCTGCAATTTTTTGTCGTTTAAAGTTTTTCAACCTTTATATTTGTAATTATATTGAAAGCCATCGGTTAAGTCAGTTTTAGATTAGTTTATAAAATTCAGATTTAAAATTTGTTAGTTTTCAAATTAAGAAATATACAATCCAAGGTACTCCCTAAATTATTCAATTGGTTATTTGGCTTTTTCCATTATATCTTAGTTTTTGTCTATTAATTTAACCAGGATGGAATAGAAAGTTTGCTATTAGCAAATGCTTGGGACATATTATTTAAAACATTTTTATATTTAGAATCCACATCAAATTTTGATACTATTTCTCGAATATAAAATGTCTTATCGTATATGACTTTGCTTGCTACAGTAAAATTTGTTATCTCATCATTAAAAGGAGGCTTATCAAGAATAAACTCTGATTTGAATAAAAGGTTCAAGGCAATTTACCTACTTAAACAGTTTTTTTTTTGCTACTTCTTAATTTGTTTTCAAAATCATTCTTTAATTCAATTATTAATGTTAAGCACAACAAATGTGATTTACTTATTATTTTTAGCTTTTGTAAAATTCAATTTGGAGAAATTGGATAAATTCCAAATTATCCTATTGGAAACATCAATCATAATCTTTAATCTGACGTCAATATTACATTTAGAAGATTATAATTATTTGATTAGCGATGAAAATAAGATATTACTAGGCTTTGCTTAAATATATGTACTGATATCTGGTTTATTGGGAATTTTCATTAAATAGATAATTTTGATAATTTAAAAAATTAAACATAGATGCCTTTAATATAAGTAGAAGCAGACACGCTCCATAAGAGTTACGCATTTAATTTTTGAATCTGTTAAATGATTCTAAAGTTACCTCTTTTTTTAAAATAATTAATATATTTTTAATTGGATGAATTTTAAACAAATCAATAAAAAGATAATTGTATTGCAAAAAATATTTATTCTTATGGATACAATATCATTCACGCCATCAATTCAAAAATCTTTCAAACTTATTTTAAAATTCTAGTTCATTAAACTTTTTAAAGAATATTCTATCATTTGTAATTACTACCTAATGTAAGAGAGTCTTTGCAAAAGCTTAGGGGCTAATGTTCCAAAAATGTAAATACTAGAATTGTTATTTATATCATACTTTCGTTAATTATACTTCCATTTTTTTCAAATTAAAATTCTTCAAATCCCAAATAAATAACCATATTGACTAATTATATATTATTTCTCTTGAGATTTATACTATAATGATATAATCTTAATGTGTAGTATGAAGAATTATCTAAGATTTCATTTTTTTGATATTCCTATAAATTAAGTAATTCTTTTAAAATTTTCTTGTTCTACACACTTTCTAAATCGCTTGGATACACTTTAATTTTATAAATATAACATTTTCAAATTTAATTTCTGTTTTAGATGTCACAAATAAAAACCTATCATTCAATAAAGAAAGGTTTTATATTATACCTTGTGTGATTTCATCTTTCTACGTTTTAGAAGTTAACAATATTGCATTTTCAAATGATATATTCCAATGTATTTCTATTTTAGTTTTCATATTGATGGCCAGGATCTTAAATTCTGTTTAAAATAACCCAAAATGGTTATCTTTCTGAATTGGAATTATTGATCTTGCTTACTCGATTACAAATTATATTTATAATAAATACTTTTGATTTTCAAATCTTTAGGTGGTCTTGTGTAAAACCTCCACCTAGGCTTTTTACCTCAATATTTTTTAGCATGCCTAAAATCGAGGTTTTTAGGAAAATTTAAGCTTTTCAGGAATAATCTTGGATATATTGACTTTTAAATTGTTATTTTCATATTTGATATTATCTAAGCTTGTTTCTGCTACATTTCTAATTAAGGTATGCTTATCTTCTGAATGATAAACATTTCTCATTGATTTTAAGTTGATATTAATTAAAAATGAATCACACGAAGAATTTAGAATTTTTTGATTAGAGTAAACAACATTATATAGTACGTTTCGATCTCTCTTAGTATTGATTAACCTTGATCGAATCTATCTATGGTATGACTAATCTTGTAAGTTTTAATATTCATTATCATTCTGAGCAACTTCACTAGATTGTTACACTTAGTAATTCTCTAATATGAATTGAATTTCACCATCAACTAAATCAATACAATTTGCCAAGAATTGATACTTGTTCATTTATTTATAATTGATAAAGTCAGATTGCTTAAATTTGAAACACTTTTAGAAACAATTACACTTCTCTTTGTACTGAACTGCTTTTGCTAAAAGTTCGACTTGTGATATTTCATAGCAATATATAATATAATATTTTCCTTGTATTTTTCTAATACATTGATGCCTCAATTTGTTTTATTGTTTTTATTGTGCTTTTTTAAGAGCATTTAGAAAGGATTAAGCTAATATTAATCGATAGAATCTTTGAATGGTTATAATTTTTTTATGATAAGCTTAGTTTGGAGTGTAGGATTTCGATTTAAGATACTGTTATTTAACTTATGATATTGGCAATTTTAAGGAAAAATACAAGGAGTTATGTCTGATCTTAATAATGTTTTCGAGAAAATTTATTAATTTACTTAATTTAAATCTATAATCATTCTAATTAGTTGAGTTCTAAATGGCTAAGAATTGCGAAAAGCTTGATATTTAATAATGTGATTGTTACGATTTAGTTAAAGTGTAAAAGTTGGCTAACTTTACTAGATCTAGCAAAAATAATTGTTGATTAAAAAGGATTCTAATTTTTTTCTTTTTATATCTAAAGATAATTTTGAAGTATTGATTTTACGAGAAGATGTATGAAATCCTTAATAGAAAATTTGAATTTCTCGTATGATAGCGCTATATAAATTAGAAGAATCTAACTCTCCTTTAAATTTTGAAAACCATTAGATTTTTCACTATTTCCTGCATTATATCATTATTAACAACAAAAGAATTTGAGACTAAATTAGAATTTATATTATGAACAATTTCAATCAACTTTTTGTTAAAAACCATATTTGAGATGCTTGAAATAACATATTTATGGAATAAGTTTATACTTTAAATCTGAAGAGTTAATTCCTTGAAGAATTCTTTAGAATAGTAAATCCTTACTTTATATAAATAATTTTAGAAGTTAATTTCTTCAAACATTATAGAGTGAATAAAATCCCATTCATTAAGTGTTGTTTTGTATTCAATACTTTTATATTGTATTTGATGTTCTTCATTTTCTACATTTTAAATATCTGTGTCATGGTCATGTTAAGTTAAGTTTGCCATTTCTGATTCAGTTAAAAAGTGAATTGGGAATGATAATATATCTTTTGGGGTATATTAGACAATGTTCTATAATTTGTGTCTCCTATATTAAAAGTAAAACAACTTAAAGAGGGATTTTATGTTTTTTTAGTCAAGTTTATTTTCTTATTGGTTATCTAATTGTAAATGATTTAGAAACCCATTTTAGACATATTAATTTCGATATGAATTCGACTTTGCAATTCTTAAATTCAATGTTTACTCCATCTCAGAATTATCATATTGGAATATTCTTCCGTAAATTTAATCAAATTATTCTGATTTCAGTCTCAAATTTGATCCTTCGTGAACAATTTCAACTTATTATAACATTTTATTGGAAGTAATTAAAATATCTCTCATTTCATACTTCAAAAATAGTTTTTGTTATAATCCATAAACTTCTCTACCTAAGGAATGGTCTATTTATTTCCCTTCAATCAAAATAGATTAATTATTATTAGTATCTTGGTTCAATGCTATTAATAGAAAAAAGGCACTGTCCTCCCAAATTAAGGATTTTCTCCATAAAATCTTATACTTTTGTTACTTTTAATTTATGGACAACTTAGATTTTAATTATCTTCTAAGCACAAATCTTTGAATTCGATTAATGGCAGAGATATACTTGCTATCAATCTTAAGCTCTTAAACATTTTAGCAAAGATTATAAATATAATCAGAGTAATCGAGTTGTTCATTTTAAACTGAGAAGATATCATTAAAGTTATCCTTATTGATTTTTCCAAATTTCTATTCTACAATAGGCAATATTTTAAGTTTATTAGTAATTCTTTTTGACTACTGGAATTTGAGATAATATTAATTGCTAGATTAGTATAATATACAATAATCTTGTTCTAATTTTATAATAGTTAACGGTTTGAATTTGGCTATTTAGATGTTTTTCTTTTTATAAAAATTGGCAATAGGCAGCTTCTTCTATTTATCCTTTAAAATCTTACTTTTTAACTCTAATCTCTAAAACCTTTGATATTCATCAATTAAAAATATTTGATTATCTTTATATATGAAGATGTCCTAATAATATTATAAGGCTTATGAGATATTATAAATTTCCTCCTCTTCTGTCCTGCTTTGTTAAATCTCATTATAACAACGAAAAATATTGGAATTAGTTTACGAAAGAACTTTGATTGTCTATATAAATTCATCGTAAGAAAAATGGATTTTCTAATTATAGGCTTTGAAACTAAACTATTTGTTTGCATATTTAATGACTATTTCAGTTTGAGTATCATCTGTTCCTAACAAAAAGTGATTTTTTTGTAATAATATATTTTTGTTGCATTCTTTTTTTATCATATTATTAAATAATATAAATTTAATCGACATGTCTATTTTTTGTATAGTAATTATGACTAATAACATTTCTTGTTTCCTTTCATCCAATGTCAGGTGACAGTAAGATGATTACTAAGATAATATTAATTTGAATGTTACACAATCAATGTGTATTTATAATTAATTTATTATTGTTAATAATTGTAAAGAATAATGAAGAACTAAGATTATGAGGATTATGATTAGGATTATGAAAAAAAAGAAATAGATATTATGGAGAAATTGCATAAGAAGAAAATGGCAGTAATAGAAAGATGCTTCCCAGATAAAAATTCAAAAGGATAAGGATTGACCATCTAACAGTTTCTCAAAGTCATGTTGGAGCACTTGGATTACAATAAGGATTCAAAAGAGGAGACCAAGAAAATAACGTTAGCATTAATTGAATTATTTAAAGAAATAGATGTTAATGGTGATGGTACGATGGAATGGGTGGAATTTAGCAATCACATAATTGAATTAGGATTATTAAGAAATGACAGATCATTTAAAGATGTAATAAAAAGTTATCATCCAGCAGAAAACATTAAAGATGAACAAAAGCATGAGACAGTGATCGATAGAGTGTATTTCTTTGACAGATTGAAAATGCTTTTAGTATTGGAGAAAGAGTCTCCAAAATTTAAGGTATACAACTCTAATACAAGTGAACTAATTTGGAATGTAAATGCTCACAAAGGATATGTATTATCTGCAGAATTTATTCCTGATTAAAATTTAATTGCGAGTAGCAGTAATGATTTAACAATAAATTTCTGGGACTCAAGTAGTTTCAACTTAAAGTAAATTCTCTCGGTCCCAGAAATATAATTGTGTATGAGATATGCAAGGTGGAGTTCCTCTTAATCTAATTTCTTATACACAGGTGGATCGGATTCTATAATTCATATATATGACACATACGATTTAAAAGAAAGAGGGACCTTATCAGGTTGGAACCCTTTTATTAAAAGAGACTCCCAATAATACGGACACTCTTCTCCTATCGGTGATATATTGGCAATAGATTAGTAAAACACTCTAGTGACAGGTGGTTTAGATGGCAATATTTGTTTATGGGACAGTGCTACACATCAACCTAAGAAAGAGCTAAGAGGCCATGAAAAAGGTGTGTATAGTTTAGATTGGAGTGATTGGAGTCCCATGAATTAGTGTTTGATTAGTGCTGGATTGGATCATGAAGCATTTGTGTGGAATACTTATGTAAAAGAAAAGATTTTCTTACTTAGAGGTCATAATCATCCATTAGTTGGAGTAAAATGCTTGCCTAGAACATCTTAAGTAGTTACAGCAGATATTTCTGGAATGGTGAAAGTTTGGGATGTCAGAAACTTTTTATAAATCTAAACTTTCAATGTTCCTGCAGATGAAATCTAAGCATTTACATTAACCTATCCAAAAAAATAAATTGTTGTAGGTGCAAGAAAGATGTTCTTTTATGAATATGATGAGCCCAAAGATTAGATGTTGACAGATGAGAAAATGTGTTTAAAAGTTTTATATAATTAAACTCTAACATGTTTTATCACTCTTCATCCTGATAGCGTTAAAACTTGGGATGCTAGAACTGGGAAATTGCAATAGGTTTATAGAGAATTGAGTGTTGCTGAATTAACTACTATGATTATTGATGCAAGATAAAGGAAGTTGTTTATTGGAGATGCTGAAGGCAGAATATTCACTGTCAATATTAAGAATGGTGCTAAAATGAAAAAATTTGAAAGACATCACAAGATGATCACTGATTTAGCTCATTGGAGCAATGATACTAATAGAAGAGTCATTAGTTGCAGCAGAGAAGATACTGTCAACATTCATGATGAGGACTCTCAAGATGCTCACAAATCATGTAGATACAAAATGAAACAGCATCATCTAAGTGTTAATTCATTGCATGTTAAATAAGATAGTGAACATTTAGTCAGTTGTGCTGATGATGGAGCTATCTTTATTATAGATTTAGTTTCTTACAGACAAGAACTAGTCTGGAAATGCTAATATGAGTTGAAAAAAGTAATGTTTTTGGAATCCCATAATTGCATTGTAAGTGTTGATTCTATCGGAAATGTGTATTTCATAGGAGTTTTGGAAAGCAAATTCAAATCAAAATTATTATTGTAAAAAACATATAAAGCCATCTCTTTGACTAATTAAGAAGAAACAGTAAATTTAACATCTATCAATAGTTTCCTGTGACTTCAATAAATTATGATGATGATTTATTATATTTGGGTGATGAATTAGGTAATCTAAAAATCTGGAATATTAAACAAGTCTTAGATAAAGTGGATCTACATTAAGTAGAGTAAAAGATAAAGACGAGAAAGAACAATGATGCTGATACATTTGTAACAGCCATGGATTATGGATAAGAAGATATTGCTTAAGTATTAAAGAATCAAATATTTAATAGATATTTGTAATCGGAGATATTAAGGAGGTTGGATATCAAAGAAAGGCTCATCAAGATGGGATAACTTATATCGAAGTCTGTAAAGATGGATCGCATTTTGCAACATCCTCATTTGATTGTTGTTGTTATTTGTGGGCATTTAGAAATGGATAAATCTCAAAAATAGGAGCATTGATTTTGGGCCATGATGTTAATTGGGGTTACAGAATAGATGAAAAATCTAGGGCCGATGCCGCAGAACAGGAAGCTAATGAATTATTAGAAGAACTCAAAGACACTATTATTCCAACTAAAGTTGAAAAAACTGATGGGTAAATCAGTTCATCTAAACAACAATTATTGGACCGATTATATGGTAGTAAGTAGCAAAAGGAATAATAATAATAATTAATTTAAGCAGAAAAAGAAGACAAGAAAGAGAAGGCCTTGAGTAGAGCAAAGAATGCTTTGAAGACATATGAATAATTCAAATAAAAACAGTTTACTTACTAGAATCAACAAAATCTAAATGATCAAGATCCAAAAAAATATGATGACTCAGAATATAAAGATGTATTCTAATAATAAGACTATGATGAAGAAGAAGAAGATAATTATAATATTCTAACTGATCTTTAAGAATTCAAATAATAATAACTATCATCAGGTGTATATTCAAGCAAAAATGCTTTCAAAACCAAACTAATTAAAGGACATCATAAATCCAAGTTTTCTTGATATAATATATATAATTTCATTCAAATCCAATATTATAATGTCCAGGCTGGAAAAGAAGCAATATTTGATGGTAATGAAGCTCCCCAGAATATTCAATGCTCGAAGTAGTACCATTTTTTATGAACACCAAAACAATCATTCTAGAATATTTAAACATAATTCATTACACTCTCAAGAACTCTGAAAGTTCTTTGATTACTATCTCATTATTGTTGCATTCCTCTCCCCAAATTAACAGATTATCAATATCAAAGATACTTTCGGCAAACTCACTTTTTGCAGCTACATAATATGAAACATTTCGAAAGAAGATTGTTGTCAAAGCAAAAAAGTTACCATCGATATCTCCTTTAGATTCATAGGCTGAATATTATTCCATCAATTTATTAAGTCTTTCGTTCTTGTCTTCAATTTATCTAATCTCACATAATCGGAATAGAAATTCATTTCGTAAATTTTTCTGGATTTCTTCAGGTATTTTTATAGTCTTGCAATATACTTTGAATGGGAGGTCTATTTGCTCAATTTTATCCAAAAAATAGTTAAATTCCTCTAAGTTATATTCACACAATAGTATCTATAAGAATCTGTAGCCTAAGGCAGTATAAAAGCAATTGCCATCACCTCTTACTTCCCTGTATTTACTACATAACTTCAGCAATTTATGTTTTTCTTATAATTATTTGATAGAATAATAATTAAATAACTAAGTATTGGACCTTATACTTTTTATGAATCTTTTATGGCAATCATCCATTGGTTTAGATTTATAGGCTTCATTATAGATTTACTATAGAACTTCTAAGTCCTTATCGTTTTTATTTTTTTTATAAGTAAATACTCTTTCCTCGATTTTTTTTTTAAATATCTCGTCATCTTCATTATTTTCCAAGTTTTTATTAGGATCTTGGTTCTTTTTATATAGGCAATTAACTAGGTAATCTTTGGGTATTTAAAACATTAAATCAAATAATAAATAGAAATATAAATTGATCAATCAAATTATATGTGATATATAAAATATGCGGAATAGTTTTTTCAAAATCATTTTTTTTCTATAGGTAATCCTATACAATAATGTCCTGGGCAAAATAGTAAATACACGTTTTATTTTGGGATTGTTAGTTCATTCTAAGATTGTTAATAGAGTTGTAAATCAATTGTTTTGTTATCAGCGTCAATGAAATAGAAATGGAGAATAAGATTTAAACAATTGGCTAAAATCACAAGCAATACTTAAATGTTATCCGTCTCAAGTTCCCATTGCTAAATTTATTCTTCTGCTTCCTCTCCCAATAATACTTTATACTCGTAACTAAATATAAGAATTGGATTACTTTTACTCAACAAAATAATGAATTAAATTTTTTGCATATATTATGGATAAGGCATAAAAGATACTTCTAGTATTTTAAAACTCATTTTCAAAGGCTTAAATCTAATTGTTACTCCCAATTATTTCATAAATAAAACTTAGAAATATTTACTTTAGATCCTTTCTAATTTCGACTGGGAAATTTTATATAGTTTCATGAGTAAGATTGAAATCAATTTTTTGTAAAATTTCTACAAATTGTTTAAAGTCTTAATCTCCAAACTTTGTTATTACTATTGATAGATACTAATAGATGAAGGCTGTGTAAAAGCAGTTCCCATCTCCTCTCACTCTTTTAAATCCTCTAAGCTTGATTTATTAAAACATTTCTTGAGTCATTTAATATTCATAAATTAATTCTTATTAATTTAAATCTTCGCTAACAAATCTCTGCATTTCTGCAGCCACATTTCTAGCCTAATTTGTGTACTTGTATAATTGATAAATAATGGCAGAAGGCTTGACTCTGCTAAAATACTGTTTGGGCAAGCCGATGAAAATTTGATCTTTATTTTTTATAATATAATTTTCATTTTATGCTGTCCCAAATTGTTATAGAGATTTAGTTTATGTATCGAATATGTTAATTTTCCTATAAATATAAGATTAACAATTACAGGTTCATATTTAGAACTATTTCTCCAAATAGTATTTAATCTGTCAAATTGAATGGGACAGTCCAATCTAACATTTTTTGTATTTCATTTGAGTTGCTAGGTATCGCTTTGTATTTTGATGCAATATCAAAAGCCCAGTTTCTAAAAAATATTATACATAACACATAGAAGTTACGATTGTTTTTAATATCAGAATAATACAATTCAAAAAGATAATTGTCTTTAACAACCTTCTGCAGGAGATTGAGGAATTCATTTTTCAAATTCATGTTGTTGCTTATGTTTTGTTTTCCTTTTACCTACACTTACCATTGTAAAGATTGGGATACCGCTTACATTTTTTATAACAAAACCTAGTCATTTCTCTCGATAACCTGTTTAAATGCAAAGAAAGCAAGCATGTTATAAAGCTAATTCTAATCCTCCCTAACTTTTCTTAAGGCTTCAAATTAATTCCAAATTTATATGTTGAAATATTCTGCTTGTAATTAAGGTTCATCCTTGATGGTACCAATAGGGGCTGTAAACTATTCATTTATGTTGTTGTGATAAAGCAGAGATTTTAGAAAAATATTTAGTTTAATATCTCCGGTTGGTTTATTATTACTACATATTCCCATGTGAATTTCTTAATTGTTACTAATAATATAATATTATATTTAAATGAAGAAATACAAGGATAGCTAAGTCGAGCGAGATTGAATTTATATCGAAACAATGCACAATTTACAAATAAGATCAAATATTAGAATGATACAAAATAAACAAATAAATCCACCATAAACTCCAAAACCGATGTCATAAAATTAATAGCGAAGAATCGTAAGTAGGTTAAATAGTTAGGGTAAGAAACTACAAAGGAGTCATAGTAATCGATACTCCAGCCCCAAGATAACAAGATTCTTATGAGTTAACTCTGTCAACCAATGATTATCCACACCCATAGAGTTGCCTCGAATAATAAACAACTCACTCTAGAAAATCAGAAGCAAAAGAGAAGTTTGAATTTGGATACTCATCTAAATATCATAAAACAATAACATTTTTTTAAAAAGGGAGGATAGGTTAGGCAATCTCTAAAGGAAACTAAACCATGGTATCCATTTGAAAGAATCAAAAGAAAACAAAAATTATTGACAACTATTTTCGAGTAAAAATAAAATCACAGTACTTAAAACCAAGAAATTCTAACTCATTTCAAGTCTATGGCTGATTTAACAGGCTGGTAAATCAATGATGATCCATAGATAGAAATACAATGAAAATAATTAATATTTTTATTAATATGTAATCATCAACACGAGTTTGCTGGTTAATTGAAATTAAATTGCTGATTAAGAATTTTATTTTAAATGAGATTTATTATACTCTGTTGATTAAAATATTATATTAAAAATGGCTCGATTGATGATCACAGGAAATTCAAAAATTCAATAAAGACAATCCTAATGGGGTTTTATTGATAATGAACAAATCCCTGTTCAAAAAGAAAAGATTTTAGCTATATTTGTTGATGATATTTTAACAGATTAGAAAATCACTCCTTTACACATTGAAATAAATCTTAAACAATTGATCAAATATAAAATAGACACTCTTATCAAAATGGAATTGAATGAATTTTTGAAGGAGAGAAATCTCTTGAATAAGACTATATTTTTTTATGATATTTATGGCAACTAAATAAAATACTATTCGAAGTCAAGCAAATCCTATTTATTTAGTACCAGATCTAATCTATTCTGGCTATTTGTTCGCCCATTTGATCACTATATTAAATAAATCAACAAGATTGATAGAGGAGCTTCATAAAGCTATCATTCCAATGAAGGATTGTAATAAATACCTGTATGCAAATTAAAATCATGTCTCTCCCTTATATCAGTTCATTAAGATGTGCCAAAATCACCTCCCACCACACATAGAGGGACATTTTTAACAAAAGAAATGAGAAATTTGCAATCTGTTTACGATAATTACACAAGAACTACTAGTGTATAATCTTCAAGACCCTTTCTATCACCAAAGACATAAAAATCTAGTTTTATTTTCACAAGTAAAATTAAGATGAATAAATAAGAGAAATATTTTATAGAAAACATGGAAAAATGTTAAGAAGAATTACAAAATTATATTGAAAATATGCATAATTAATTATCTCAAAAAACTGATGATGTCAAAAAGATTATTAAATTTTATGACCAAATTTAATATCCTACTCCCAAAAGTAGAGCATTTGAATCAAAGACTCTTTCTAAAAGAATTAGTCACCCTTTACAATTAATTCTGGATAAAGAATAATAAAAAAACAAATTTAAACCCAGGAATTATTTTTCAGATGAACAGAATTGGTTGGAAAGCATACCATTACTCACTGAAATGAATATCCCAGATATCTAAGCTAAATATAAGTTGAATAGAGCTTAATTGTATGCTTTTTATTCATTTTTTAAAGTGCTTCAACTTTTAACTGCTATAACTTAAAAGAGAGAAAAAAACAAATTGACTAAAGGGATATCATACGATTTTTATAGATAAGGAATAGAGAATATCTAAGATTAATCAGAATATATGGCTAAAGGAATATTTAATATCATAGATTCTAGATGTTCAGGCTTTTTGGATTGGTAACAATTTTTATTCCTGATGAGTTCAGTATAAGCCAAAACTAAGGAAGAACGCATTGACTTATTCATCAAAATCGCTGATATGGATAGAAATGGGAAACTCTCTTACCCTGAAGTTTCTAAATTAAGTCATCAAACCATGAGTAAGATAGTCAAGACATAAGATACGAATTTCTTGAATGATATATCTGAATTTTTCACCAGAGTCATCTTTGATTCTGTGAATATCTCATATGATAAGGAAATAGATTTTCATTCTTTAAAGGATATAATAACAAAGGGACATCCAAATTCTGATTTACTATGCTTATTCTGTGGTGCAGAATTTTGATATTATTTATTACGTATTTTATTATTTTCTCTATCATTCTAAATTGTAAGGATATGTTTTCATTTTATATAAAAGAGGAAGAGATTAAATAATCAAGTGATAGAGAATATTTTTATTTCAAAATTTTACATCTTAGTAAAGAACATATTTTTATGAATAATCAATAAATTTCATTAATACTAATATTAGCGGCATATATTTAAATATTATAAATCCGTTTTAAATATTTCTTATGTTTGACATTCTTAGAAAATCTTTCTTGATAGTGATGTCGTATAGTAGGCTCTCGGCAAATCCACAAAAATTTGATCTTCAAGTAGAAATTAGTATTTAAATTGATTTTCTTTCAAGCTCCTATTTATTTATTTATTAAATTAAATTTTCCTCAACTCAAACCATTTTTGCAAAGAAACCAAACAAATGAATTCAAATTTCAACAAAGATGGGTCAATTTCAATATGGAATGACGATATAGAAGTAGCTTCAGAAGCATAAACAGTTAAGAAGATGGAGATCTATCAATAACGAATAAATTTTTTAGTCCTTGAAACATCAAATGATGTACTTTCGTCTAGAAATCTTTTAAAATATAAATGTGCCTTAGCCAAAAGAATCAAGAAAGCCAGAACTTGATATATTATAAGTCAATTTTGTCTATATTCATCATTCAATATAGAGATCAAGATTCATTCTGATTTTAATCCATCCAAACTTATCTTTTACTGTTTCTGAACTTCTGATATCCTCATAATACCCTTATGTCGTGGTAGTTTTTCTATTTTTAATAGTGTTTTCATCATTTTTTTCCAACGATTACATTATGATCTTCAATATCATCAAAATGCAAATCAATGCAAAACTGTATTTCTATTCCAACTTTTTAATCAATAAGCAAAAAATAGATTCATTATATTATAGGAGTTCATAGAATTAAATGCAGCCTCAAAAAAGTAAAGTAAAATAAAATAACATAATTCAACCTCGAAAAATTTAAGGTGATAGTAGGAAAAAGAAATTTTGAATTTTTATACTAACTTTCAAAAAATGAACACGTTGTTATATCATACATCGATTGTTTCTATTGGATTATACAATATAAAGAAGATGATTTTTTGTTGTTTATTTGACTGAAGAGTTTATTCACTTATTTTGTTATAAGAATTAAGCATTAAATTTATATCAAAGTAGTGAATTTTTCAAAATTTAAGACAGATTTCAATAAGTAATGAATATCAAGAGTTTCTTCTGCTCAACTTCTCTATCAAATTAATGATCAAGAATAAAAAAAATATATAAATCGAATATTGTGAGTTTTTAAAAGGAATTATTTTACTAAACATATGCTGAGCATAATCTTCCGATGGTGTTAGTAATAAGAATTCAGTTTCATATAAATTAGGGTTACTAATTTCAATTTTATTGCTCAAATTTTATTTTTTAATATATTCAATAAATTCTAACAAATACATATAAAATCACATATATAATCTTATAAAGTATGTTAAATTATTATGTGATTTATAATAAAAGAATAATTTGATGTTTGAGTAAAATATTTTGATATACTAACCAAACTAATTAATTATTACTAGTTGAATTTAGACAAATGCAGACTTTTTTTATCTAATGAACTAATTAATCGATAATTGTTGAAAATTAATATATTTCTACTTCTAAATCAAATCTAATTAATAAGTTTATTTCATCTTTACTTAGTTTAGTTACTCAATCTCTCTTTGTTTGTTCTATATTTTCTAACTTCCATCAAAATGTATTGAATAAATAGACCAATTAAATCCAATATAAATAATATAATAAATATATATTTGGCAAAATATATTGAAGTAAAGTTAATTTCTAAATGATTATTAGGTTTAGATTAATCAATCTAAATTAGGTTTAGTTAATTATTTTTTTTAATCTGATATTTATAATTCTTATTTAATCTAAATTGTATTTAACAGTTTGGTTACTATATTATCAATATTTTATTTCTAATCAAATTCTTTGAATTAATTTGAAATGTTCTGCTTTAAAAATAAATAAATTATATTTTAACTCTTTTGGACTCTTTATTGAACTCCTCAATATATATCTTAATAATTAAAAACAATTATAAATTAGTGAATTCTCCTGTTATTAATAACTTTATTCTAATTATGTCTCATAGATATGTCATATAAATTGAAGTTATATGTTACTCTTCTGTATTTATGATTTGTATATATTAGACCTACAATAAATATTATAATTTTTTATTAATAATTTCTTAATACTGCTTGGAGACAAGATCTTATGGTCCATACATCCATTAGGTCACAACTAATATAAATAAATTCTTATGCTTTTTTTCAATTACCAAATAGGATTTAAGTTTTGTATATTTAAACACATTTAAATTACAGTTACATGGCTTTTCGAAAGTCCTGAAACTCAACTTTCCAGATAAATAAATATTTTAAAATAGATGTAATTTTTTGTTGATTATCAATTAATAAAATGAATTCAAGAAAAATAGTCTAAATGGTTCTAGACTTTTTTGCATTTCTAAATCAAAGGTAATTTATAAAGGAATGCCGAAAACACCATTGAGATATGAAAGTTTAGTGTATATTATTTGATTAATTTAAAAATGCTAATATCTGGAATGCAATTGAGGCATTCGCTTACACCTCGCTACTTCGCGGGTGTGTTTAACAAGCGTAAGCCTACAAAGAAAGATCTTGATCATTATGATGTTGTAATTATCGGATGTAATTTGGGTGGTGTTTTAAGCAGACAACTTGATAAGGTATTAGGATATTCTGATAATTGATTAGGTTTCACATGGAAAATACAAGACCATGGTAGTATTGGATTAGAATATCAATTAAATAACACCAATCAGATAGATCTATGAATAATAGAAGACAGCCAAAGACTGATTTCTTATTAAATGCCAAATTGTCACTCAATATGTACACAGCTCACTCAGATTAAGTGGGATCCCAAACAATCTTGCCAGAAGAGAATGCCATCATATTGAGAAATGGCAGACGTATCAGTTATGGTTAATTAGTTGTGGCTATGGGTATTAAATATCAATGTTAACATTTCTATAGGTTAATAAGTGAATTATGATGCAATCAAGGGATTCGAAGAGGCTTGGTAAGATTTTGATTCTCCAGTCTTCACAAATCTTGATCATCCAAGTTGGCGTTCCTCAAATCATAAATATACAAGATGGCATTACAACTTCAACCACGGTGAAGCATATTTCTGCATTCCTTAATTCCCATTCAGTGGAGAAGTGGAGTCCTATAATTTCCTGTTGAGTTAAAGGATATGGGAATGGCAGACAGCAAATGGTCGTCAATCACCAATAAAGAGACTCACAATTATTTAACCAAATGAGCGATTTGTTTAGTACAATGATGCAGGAGATTAATTCTTCAAGGAGGAGATAAAAAGAAGAAACATCAATGTGGAATATGGTTTGAAATTGGTTGAAGTGAATAAATAACAAAATACAGCAATTTTCGAAGATGTTAAAACTGGCAGCAGATAGACAAGACCATTCAATCATTTGTATGCAGTTGCACCCACAAAGCCTCATGACTAATTAGTTAAGGCTGGTCTCACCACATCAAAGGGATTGTTGGATGTCAACATCAAAACCTTATAGCACAACAAATTTAAGAACATTTTCGGACTTGGTGATGTAAATGATGTTCCTACAACTAATTGTTTCTGGGCAGGATTCCATCAACTTCACGTTGTTAGAAATAATATCGAAAGAAACATTGCAGGTAAATCACTAAATGCCGAATATGATGGATATAGTAAAGTACCAATTTTGTTAGGTTAAAATACCCTAACATTCTTGTGTCACAAATATAACAATGAGAATGCTTGGCACAACCTTTATTTCTCAAATGGAGGCTTCTTGGCTTCTCTTAGGTAAATCATTCATTATAATAATTTAGATATTATAATTGGTGCAAGAACTTCAAGAAAGCATTCATAGACATCTACTTGGAAAAGAATTGGGGACCCCCTTATTACAAGATCAAGAAGAGCTTCAAATTGCCAGAGGGTGAGAGCAATGATCATGGATTTTTGTCTAAGTTGTTACCAGGCAAGAAAGAGTCACATTGAAATATATACACAAATAAATATATAAAATATATTAAAATCGTCAATTTATTTATGTTTCAGTAAATGTGATCATCTAGTATTTAATTTTGTAAACAAATAGGTTTAATAATGATATTAGTTATTACAACATAATAAATAAAATATACTACAGATTCTCATTAATATATCATTAAGTAACGGAGTACAACCTGATAAGTTTGATATAATTTTTATTTTTGATTATAATAAATATGTTAGACATTTATGATAATTATTTTGAAGAGAATCGCAAACAAAAGTTGTTGCTTACACTTAATGGAGATTTGAATAGTGCGATCATTACAATGGAGTATTCGCTAGTAAAATGAGCTTAATAATAATCAGATCAGTATGAAAGATATTAAAAAGAAGGCTGAACATTTCTATTCAATAGAATTAGATCGACTTCGATTGTTTACCTAATAAGGGGTTGAGATCTTTGAGGAAGATCTAATGTTTCTGAAAGATGGCACATTGCTATACGTTTCCGATTGTAATTTCATTCTTCCTATAAAGTTCACTTTTAGCTAGAGATTTTGATGCTTATTCCCAATTCAGTGTCTATCAGATTATGAAGACCTTGGGGGAAGGAGGATTTGGCAAAGTGATGCTGGGTAAACATAAGCTGACTCAAGAATAAGTTGCCATTAAAATTATCGATTCAGGGAAATTATGGAATGCTGCTGATATAGACTTGGTATTTAGAGAAGCAGAAGTAATGAAGAATCTAAGACATAAAAACATTATAAAGATTATCAATTGCTACACACTTCCAAGTATGTAGGTAGTTTTAATTATGGAATTTTTAGAAGGAGGGGACTTAGTGGATTATATTCAATGTAATATTTCATAGAGTAATCATTTAGAGAAGGGAAAACTTACTGAGGAAGAGGCACGCATTATATTTCGATAAATCGCAGATGCCATTTGTTATTGCCACGATTAAAAGCTAGTACATAGAGATCTGAAGCTGGAGAATATTCTTTTAACATCTAAAACAGACAAATAGGTCAAGATCATAGATTTTGGTATTGCTACTGTGGCTACAAACTTTATCATTGATAAGATAGATTTGGGAAGTTTAAGTTACATGCCTCCTGAAGTGCTATCAGGATAAATCCAATAGATACGACCATCTATAGACATATGGGCAATGGGAGTGATATTGTTTGCTCTAGTGTGTGGCACTCTGCCCTTCACTCGACCAATCTAAGAGTAGACTGTTCAGAACATCTTAAAATTAAACTACTAATTTCCAAACATTACTTTGAGCAAGGAATACAAGGAACTCGTTCAATTGATGTTGCATCCAGATCCAAATGAGAGGTATTCAGCTTATTAGGTATTGGGTCATCCTTGGTTGAGGAAAAGTCAGAGCACACTCCAGGCTCCCTCCAAGTTGTTTCCAAAAGGGATAATAAAAAGGGATTACACTAAGATAAGTGGAGGGAATGGGGGCAATTCCAAAAAATCAATGACTTCTTCATTGATGATTGCCAGAGATTTTACTTGTTTACAGCAGGGCAAGACATTTTAATCGAGTGGATTGGAATCGCCAACTTTAATAATTAGAAGTCCATCCTAAATTAAACCATTTGAGAGTTTAAAGCAACAAACTGAAATTTTGGAATCTTAGGAACCGGAACAATAATAGGAAGAGAAGAAGGTAGTGAAAACAGTTAGAGAAAGGAAGTTGTCCAGTTTTAATTAGAAATTGATTGATAAAATATTCAAGGAGGATAGAGTGGTTAAAAGGACTGCTCATACACATCCCTTGAATTCACCAAAGGAATCAAAAGAACGTTCTCCTCCTATTGAATATGCTTAAATACTGTTATCCTCTGCTAAGATACACAGCAAGTAATCATCTGAAGATTTTACTAAGAGAGTGAAGTCCAAACAGATTAAGTTAAGGACTATAATCAATTTAAGTTAGTTGACTGATTTAAAAATGCTCTACGGAGATGCTTTAAAGAAGAATAATGAACCAAAGAGAATAATAACTGAATAGAACGATACATTAAACTTGTACAAACTACAATTGTCATTTAGACATAGAAAGATGAGGAGCGATCAATTACTATAGAGGACATTTAAATCTGGGGAGTTAAAGATCAGTGAATTATATAGTACTCTTTTTAAATGATTAATATTGTATGATTTATATATTTGCATATCCATTTCAAAAAACAAATTGTAACATTATGAACATCGATGTCAAAATAAATCCAAATTGTGGAGTGTCATTAATAATTGTTTATTCGCTTAATTGCTTATAAGCAAACTAAAGATAAGATATTTAAATACTCCTGCATAAGGTTGGACTGATTAAAAGCAACGATTGGATATCATATGGAATCCATATTTACAAATACTACAGCCATTTGAATTATAGGTTTGAATAGTTGTTGTTGTTGCGGAGTTAAGTTTTACTGCACAATTAGCTTAATTCAAAGGTACACAACCACCACTTTAGAGTACATATCCATCAATACAGGATTAACATGTACTTCCAGGGTTATTGCATGTAGCACATCCAAATTAACAAGCCACACAAGCAGATTAAGCTGTTTGTGAACCAGTATAAGCAAAATAGCCATCCATGCAAGTTGTGCATTTCTAAAATATGAGTGAATCAATACATTTGAATCAGTACAAACAGCACAATTTTTGAGACAAGGTTGACATACAGAATTGTTCGAATCCCCAGTCTTAAAGTAGCCAACATCGCATTTAGTACAATTAAGATTAGATTGACATTCAAGACATCCACCACTAGCAGAACAAGTGGCACATGTGGCTGAAACTGCTGAATTTGCAGATTAAAGGAAGTATCTTTGACTACATCCAGCACAAGAGATATTGGTTGTGGATGTTCCACTACATTTGTTACATTGACTGGAGAGTTGTTATTTGGCTCCTTATTGAGGAGGACAAGATAAGCAAGTTCCATCAACATAAGGATTGTAATTAGGTATGCATGTGGCACAGATATTATTTGTGTTGGTGGATGTTGTGGTAAGTGTCAGACAAGCTGATGAAGGAATGGCTGCAATGCAAGTGGGTGTAGTGATGTTATTGGATGTTATATTGACCAAGAAATAACCATCGATACATTGGGTTACTTAAACTGTGGTGTATGATGGGCTATCATATGGACCTCCACATCTCAACCAACCAGTGGATTATGGATTGGATTTGCATTCAACACAAGTGACAATTCCATTGGAATCTTTTGTTGCATAGTAAAATTCTTGGCATGCAGTGCAAGTGGCTATATTATTACTTAATTAGCAAGTCGCGCATCCTGTTCCACAAGGTGTGCAAGTTTTGGGTGATTATGTATTCAATACGTAATTACTTTAACAAGATGTACAATTCTTATTTGTATCCATTTAAGTACAACCATCATACAATTTCTCGCAAGTGGTTGGGTTTAATAATTAATAACTACTTAGACATTAAGTACATGTTGTTGAATTGCTGCATTTGACACACGTTGTAGAAGGTTAGCATGAAGAACATGTTGTTATACCATTAATTGTGTTTGCATAATAGCCATCAGAACATTATGTGCAATTTGTATTGTTTGTGCAATTTATACAATTATCAAGACATTTTTCACATGTTCCAGATCCTGATGTTACAGAAGTAGATGTTAATCCACTAAATGACCAAAAAAATCCTGGTTTACATTAAGTACAAGTATTGCTAAGTATAAAGCATATGATTACGCTGATGGACAATTTGCACAACTTGAAATGCTGCAAGGATTACAAAAGCTACCAAAATAATTATAATAGTTGTCGCTTGCAGAAGAGACATCAGGTATATAATCCCAATTTAAATAATATCCTTATTAGCATTAAGTACACACATATTTAGTACTGCTGTAAGTGACACATGCTTAATTTTATACACACACTCCTGCTATCAGAGTGAATCCAGTATCACAAGAACCACAAACATAAGCATTCTAATCCTGATTTAACTAGTAGGTTAAGCATCCATTGGGTAGATTCACACAAACCCTATGTACGTAATTTTATTATTTACCCATTTAGGATTGTCCAACCAGATAAACAATACAATGTACCAGTTCCCCAATAAGAAGTGCAAGCGTAATGTCCACCCTAGATTGGCTTACAAGGTTAGCATGATTGTCCTGCCCAAAAATACCCTAATTTAATTGATCATCATCAAGCTTACCTTCCATACACTTTTATGATACTCTTGTGGTGTATTGTTGTTTGAGAGCACCAGTAGATATGCAACTCAACTCAGTGCAATCCTGCCCAGTGGTTTAAGCGAATGATGTGAAAGTCAGGATAAAGATAGTTGCAAACTTAATATACATAAACCGTATTTAAAATATAATTATGATTATCTAAAAATGCTCATTATAAAACTATGACTATTAGCATTCCCAATATAATTGAATATGAACTTGGTGGAGCTGGATTTTATCCAATTTGGATAGTGGTGTCAGTTGGTGTTGTATTACCATTATTATTATTTCCTGGGTCTACTGGATTGGTTGGACTAACTGGTTTGAGGCCACAAACAAACTAAAGGTTAATTGATTAATCTTACGTTGTTGTATGGAGAAACACATTCTTAACATACTTTAGAGGCATCTAAGTAGAATCCAGCTAAACAGTTAAGACATCCTGTGTTAGTTGTGTCAAGTTAATAACAATTGGCATAATTGTACTTGGTTGGCATCATTGACGATTGATTATTACAAATTGACACATCCACCATTTTATAAGACATATCCAGATGAGCAAGTCAAACAGACATTTCCATTTGCTGAGCATGTTGCACAATTAGACTAACATGGGTAACATGGTTTGAAGGTGTATTATTTGGCATTGAATGTAGTTTGTGATTATTTCAAATAAAATCCATCCTTGCATGTTGTGCATGTCTATGATATTATAAAATAAAATAAGTACAAATTTAGTATCGCATGTCTTGCAATCATATGGGCAAGCAAAGCATCTTCCAGTTGTGTTGTCCAAGTAATTTCCATCATTGCAGGCACTACATAAAGTACTTTATGCAGTATTTTAAGTGGCAGCAATCAAAGTACATTTAGTGCATCCACTTATGCATGCAACACAAACGTTGTTGGTAGAATCAATCACATATCCATTTTAACATTAAGTGCATTACAATCCAGTTTAATCAGCATTTGCATTGCATTACACACAATTCTAGTTCTTGCTTGTGGCACATGTTTAACAAGTGCTTCCAAATAATGTATATCCAGGGAGACATTATTGACAATTGCTGCCGTTTTAAGCTGAAATTGTATAGCAAGTGGCTGTAGTGGGTACTGGAACACAAGTTCCATTATATAAATAATAGTTATTTTGACATTGGATAACTGTGACCTATGAGAAGGTGGCATTCTCCAAAGGACCTTGACATAAGAGAGCTCCAGTTTATGAGCAAATAGAACAGAGGACTGGTTGATCATTGGCGCTTTGAGTCTTATAATATCCGTTCTAGCAAACTTAACAAGTAGTTTGACTTGTGCTGCCAGTCATCAATGTGCATGAGCTACAATTTTATGTGCAAGTGACACAAGTTGATCCCATTAAAGTGTAGGACTTTCCTTAATATTGTGCTAAGCAAGCCAAACATTGAGTGTTATCGGCATTGCATTGAGAACAAGCAGTTATATTGCATATTGCAGTAGTTTGTGTTTATTAGATACATGTTATTGATGAACCAGAAGTAATTAAATTATATCCTGATGGACACATGCATGCACCGACAGTTGAGTTAGGATCTGGTTAGAAATTGGGATAACAAGTACTGCAAGTAGTAGCTGATGTACAAGTCTAACAGTATTTAGGACATGTGACACATTATCCTGAAATATTTGATGTCAAATTGGAACTGTATTTGATAAATGCACCAGTGTTAGAGGTGACTGTTGATTAATACCAGAAGTATCCTGGTAAACATAAAGTACAGGTGTATTAGGATGGACAAGTCTAACATCCTGCTTAACATGCTGAACAGAATTGATTGAATGTGGAGTAATATTTGGTGTTGGTGGTTGGAGGATTTTATTATGCATTCAAGACGAAATCCCAATTGAAGTAAAAGCCATCTGAACATTGAGTACATATTCCAGTGCTTGGATTAACAGTTTAACAACCAGTATTTGAAACACAGATGGATGATCCGACTAGAGTGTATCCAGTGTTGCATTTTGTACAGGCTAAGGCAAGAAGAGTAGTTGAGTATGTTAATTCACTGCATCCAGCTGGTATGGGTGCACATAATTGAGTGTTATTGATTGTGGTTAAGAAATAGTTAGTGGAACATGTAATTTGGGTACAAGCAGTAAGATTAGTGCATGATGTGCAAGTACCATTAGTTACTGACATGCAAGGCATACAACTTTGATTGGTCCAGAAGTATCCAGGGGCACATGTGGCTTAGGTGTATCTTGTATCTAATAATCCGAAATTGGAAATAGTAGTAACAACTGAACCCTTGGCAAAGTATTGACTGCTAGGTGTGAGGGAGGTTACTGTGGGTTACACGGATTATACAGAAACATCTTATGGGTTGGTTCTGCAAACAAACTAAAAAGATTAAAAACAAATAAAAATACAGCAGTTTAAGGATAGACACATTACATGCAAACATAATCTTGAATCTATGATGAGGTTTATTAAGTTAGCCATCCACTGGTCAAGTAGAAACCATAATTACAGATCTAACAACCATTGGTTTAATTTGCTTGGATTGTGGTGAGGACATTCTGCTTATCAGTGGAATAGCAATTTCCATTGTCTTGAACACAACCTCCATTTTATAAGTAGTATCCGTTGATACATGCTGTGCATACGTTTCCTGGGGTAGTACATTAACTACATCCATATTAACAGGCCAAACATAAACCATTTGAAACATAGTAGCCATTTATGCAACTGGAACAGTTGGTAGCATCTTAGCAAACCAAACAAGTTGCATGATTGTTGCTGTCAACAGTACAAGCTGTGCATGAAGTGGTTCCCTTGAAATAACCAGCTTAGCAATTTGTACAATCTCCGATCCCGGATCCACTGCATGAAGTACAATTGGAAATACAGGATTGACAATTTTGATTTGTATCAGCATAGTATCCATCAACACATAGAGTACATGATGGTTAGTTGCTTGTATTTAATGAACAGCTTCCAGATTGGCAATTATTACATTGGAAACAAGTAGCACCACTTTGAATATATCCAGGCCAGCATTCAGCACAGTTTTAGTTACTTAATTGAGTTTGACTATCTATTACTTGTAATTTGGCACAAGTGTTAGTAGATTATGCTTGAGTACATTTGTTATTAGCCAAGAAGTAAGGGGATTTACATTAGGTGTAAACTATGTTACCAGTAACAGTTGCATCATAGTGACATCTCAAAGCATTACTTTCTCCAGCTGAATCACACAAAGCACATTGTCCTGAAGCATTAACATAGTAAAGATCTTGACATAAAGTACAAATTGTAGTATTGTTTTATGAGTTGAATTAGCAATTTGATGCAGAATAACAATTAGTAGGACATGTTTTACATGTATTGTTTTGTTAAACCAAAATAGACATTACTGAATTTGAAGTACAACTTGTACAAGTACCATTAGCATCACAAGCTGAACATGTAGTGGGGTATCCTGTACATGTTTTACATGTTCCATTGACAGGATAGTTACCAGCACTACAGGTCGTACATGTATTAGAAGTACATGCTGTGCAATTGGGATCTATTGTTGTACAATCAACACATTTTTTCTATTAAGTATCCCAATATTAGATTCCAGAACATTATATACAAGTGTTTGTATTTGTTAAATAATATGGTGGTGAAGAAGTTGAAATACAAGTTGTACAAGTTGAAGAGTCATTACATTTTTGACATCCTGTAATGCATGCATTACATTTAGTTCCACTCAAATAGAAATTGTCAATGCAGGCTGTGCATTAAGTACTAGATTAATTAATCATGAATATAATTACAGGAAATTACAAGTTTTGCATGAGACATCTGCATTGCAAGCCTTACATTATTAGATATTTTGGAAATAAAGAGGATAATTAGATGAGGTCCAAGTGGATGCTGTTGTATCGAAATATTCGCTGGGAGTGTATTCAGCCATTACGTTGTAGAATCCATCATTACATTTTGTACAAATACCAGTGTTCAAATCGAAGGTTTAACAATTATTATTCGAAACACATATTCCACCTATTATATAATTATTAAATATACCAATCAATGTTGTCGACGAACCTGCTTTGCATGAGTAACACACTATGCTTGTTCCGTCGGCTGATAAACCACCTTTGGCGCAATTGGTGTCTGGAATTGTGATGCAAGATCTACATAATATGATATTTAAATATACTATCCAACTTAGTAATAACCATCATTGCAAGTGAGAGTATCACAGCCATTATATGCTTTACATGTGCATAATCCTCCTGCAACTGTTAAGCAAGACATACAGATCTAATCATTGAAAAAATAGCCTATTGTATATTCTTCATTATTACCTGTCGAACAAAGATATGCAGGTTGACTGTCGGTTTGTGCTGTTGCTTGTACTCCAGCGGGTTAATTTGTTAAACCATTCACTCCGAAATACCCTAAGATTAGCAGAATGTATAAAAATGTCTCAACTTTCATGTTTTATACAATATAATTATTAATAACTAAAATCTTTAATTCACATCCTATATAAACTAAAGAATTTACCCCCCTCTATTATTCATTCCTACAATTAAATACAGAATTTCATCCACCTAAACTACCTACTTACCAATCTTTGGTTCCATCTTCTGTTTGCTTAAGGCCCTTTCCCCAATACATTCTAACAAATTTATTATTCAACTAATTTGTACTGAATTCCATATCTTTGTTTTTCTCTCCTTCCCCTTATTTAAACCCCAAATGGCTCAACCTTTTTCAACTCACCCATTGACTGTCGATGTCCTAAACAGAAACTGACCCCAAGGATCAAGATATATGAAGGAATATATAACTAGCTTTAATTATACACAATAGGATTTTATTAATTACTAATTATATCAGTTAATTAATCCATAGGCAAATATGCTCAGATCTTTGGCTAATCCTGGAATTTTAAAGTCCTTCTGTGTGTATAATCCTCAGTTGACTTCACTCGTTTCACAGAAGTATGTTTTCTAGGTTGAATTGCTCTCTTCGAAAGAATATTTGATATTAATTATTATTCCTCTTCATTCAACGTAGTTTAAACATTCTGAAATTGTAATTGCTATTGTTTCTATGGACTCCTCCTCCTGTATTTAACTTAAGTTGATTTCGAGTGATGCAAGCCAGACGAATTCTTATCAATAAACGAAGTCAGATTTGGCAAATTCTTCTCGATTACCCTTGATTCATGAATCACTTATCTATATGCTTAATTTTAGTATAAACTCTGTGTCTGGACCTTCCCCTATAAAGATCTGTCCTTGGCTCTCGTAAAACACCTTCTGTCTACATACTGTTCATGAGCACTGTAATTTTGGGATCTCTCTCCAATCTGGCTTTTTGGCAACCTCTTCATTGGTTCTTGTGTGAGTGTCTTAAATCTCGCTTCCAAATTAAAAAAAAACTCCAACATGTCGGCATTTTATTATTAATTTATTCTCGCAAAGATCTGTTACTATTGCTGTCTTTGGGAATTGATTGCTATTTACAATTAGGAATTCTTTTGATTAATATCAATAAATACTCGTTGATCTTGGTACTTGCATTAAACTTATATAAACTCCTTAACGTACGATTGACTAGTAGGCTGACTGTAGATTTTCTTCATATACAATTCCACTGGTATAATAATTAGGATTGTGTCTGAACTAGAACTAACACAAGTGAATCTGTGCTTCTGCTCTTAACTGTGAATATCTTCTAATCCCAAGAACTGGTGTTTACTCAACGTTGCAATCTTCCTCTACAAACTCTTCCCTCTCTACTTCATAAATGGAGAAGCCGACCTCGTCTCCAACTCCTCCTTCTCCTCCACAAATACTTGTTACAACTTAAATGATATCATTGCATACATCCACAGCTCCTTCCTTTACCAAGTAAATCGCATTTGCATTCTCCCCTGATGCATACACAACATCTCCCATCCTATAACTCCTCTATTCCAACACCTTGTAAACCTAGTATATCGAATTCACATTCCATCCCTCAAAAATCTCCAAATTTGCAAAAAACCCCATCTCCTTCATCGAAGATTTCTCCTAGCCAATCCTTACCACCTCCTTAAAGTATTATCTTCTTAAAACGGCAAAATGACATGGTTATAATGCCACTGCTTTGAAATCCCTGGGTCTATTGTGCACTAAAGCAGTTTCACCAAATGACTACCCAGGTAACAAGATTTTTAATAAAGCCAAATCCGATTGTTGAGACGATATCTTATTTATCTAGTAATCCTTAAACTTGTTGTTGTTAACTGCTTATCGAAATCTCATTTTCACCTTCTCCAACAACTTAGTGGATGACACCTTGTCCTCCATAAAATTAGGCTTAAAATATATGCCCACCTGTCCCTAAAGAATTATATAGAATTTGTCTCCGACTGAATCTATGTTTATTATGGATGTATTTTAAGTTGCGTATTCATGTTCGAAGTAATAACTAAAATTCAGATCTCTTTGATCTGCAAAATATTTTTGAAAGAACTCGATCTTCCTAACCATCCTCTCAATTGGATATAAATCATCCTCACTTCTTTTTTCAAAGGGTTTCTTTAATTACCTAATTAATTCCTAGAGAATTTTAAATTGTTACATCCTCCATCTTATAAATATATTTATTTTATTAATAAAATCAATTATTTTATTGCAAAATTCTCAAAAATATATCACCCCCTACTGACATCACATCCCATCGCATATAATCTTAACACTAAAACAAAAACTCATTCTTTAGAACACCATAAATCATTAAACTTATTTTCTGTTTCCAGTTCCACTACACAAAATCCCATTTGTATAAAATGATTTCCAATCATTATTTATTTATAGAAAATAATTAAAACTTCCTCTTTTTATTGAGAGAACCATTTAGAGATAACTGTTTTAACCTGAATGAATCATATATTATTCAAAGGCAAGTGTCAACATTAATTTTATATTATACCATCACTCCTATTAGAATTTTAGATTTCAATCCAAAATTAGGCTGTTATCTCAATTTCCTGTCTTCCACTTATTCTTTTTGAGATTGATCAAGAGAGGGTTTGCTATTTTAATTTATTTCGAATAGTACATAAAATTTTGTTTCTAATCTACCAATACAATTGTTCCTTATCGAATAGGTCGTCTTTATCAAAGAAAATGAGGATTCAATGATGTGTTTATCTAAAGATTAAGTGTTACCCATTGAATCACTCATAGAATTTTTGTTGCATGTCTGATTAGGATTATACAATTTTTGTTGTTTAATAGAACCATTCGTATTTCTTAGAATAAGCAGTGCACTTTCTTTCAATTATTAAGGATTAGATAAAAAATATAAAAGTTGATTATAATATGCTAGTCATATTCATAATTGCTTCTTGTTCCTAACAAAACTGAAACCACGAATCTTCTTGGCAATGCTAAAGTCCGAGTTCATAATTGAAATATCCTAACTTGCCATTGAGATGGACGATTGAATAAGCGACTCGTTTTGCGAAAAAAGCTGTGATTAAAATTTACTAATTTTCCATTACTCAACTACAAAAGAAAAGCCTCTTCTTATTCTTTAAGATGCAATGGAAATTGATTTCTATGCTTTTGGTTTCTTCAATTAGAAGCTAAATCCTCGTATTTGTTTCGTGTTGCTTAATATTGTAGAGTTTACCATTTGTGTTATTTACAAATTATTAAAATTAATAACAACTTCGTTAACTATATAAAAATATTTTTCATTTAAGTAAAAAGCAAACCAAATAATATTAATAAAGAATTCATTCAATAATATCTCCATCCATATTGCAATTGCTAATACGACCTCTAGTGTCCCATGAGTTGAGATGGGGGCGAAACAAACGAGGATCTCCTGCTATAAGCATTCTAATCACTCAGATAATTCCTTCCCACCGCTGGCCCTTCTGGTATTATAGTGTCTGCCTTTTAGACATTGAAATACGGTGTAATCTCATGAGTTAAATTGCTTCTGACCTTACCGAATAGTTTCTCTTCATATTTCAACAACTATCTGATGAATCCAGGATTGGGACAAACCAAGGGTCTCACACTTTTTAAGTATATCAACGCTTCCTACAAGGTCCAATCTTGAGAGAACATCAGATAGGCCAACACAATAGTGGCAGATCTAGATTTCCCTGCCACACAGTGAACAAGTACGTTGTGATTCTCATCCATATGTTTGTTGATAAATTTATTGGTTTTCTCAAAATATCCAGAGATATCACATTATGGACGGTCGTTTACTTGCAAAACCATTTGATCGGCATCTGAATTAGCTTGGAAATCTAGTTAATCAGTTAGTAGAATGTTTACTTTGTTCTGTGGAGAAAGATATTATGGCTTTGACATCATAATTCTGATAATTTTGAAAAGCTTGAGCATCTCCGATGTAGAGTTTACTATCAAAATCAAGAACGCAGTTTATAAAGTTAGTTGAAGCTTGAGGAGTTGGATAGGCAGGATAATGGTAATTCATTTTACAAACAGAATTTAATTATGCTTTTTTTTCCGTTAAAAATTATACAAATATATCATAAAATATATACTCAATTATGAAAGAAACGACAACAGCAGATCTTAGTCTGATTCCTAAACTAATTACTCAAAACTTTTTTATTAAACCCTATGATTGGAGGCAATCCAAAAGTATTTAGCAAAGACAATTAAGTACTTACTATGTCTAAATCATACATTAAATTCATCTGGAGATTTAAATTGAATTTTATTAAGATATTATTATTATATCTCTATTACTTACTGCAAAGTGGTGTATTATTATATATTCAATAATTTTAAGGATATTCAAAATCATAAATATTACTTTCTCATAAGATAATTTAATTACTTATTGTTTGAAGATTCCGAATGATAATTGAGATCAATTTTTAAATTACTATTAGAATTTATGGCAATATAGTCTCAAATTGGCTCTAATGTTTTTAATCAATTTTAAATGAGCAATATTTTCGAATATTATTGTTGAACGTATTAAGATTGAGATGTATGATTCATATATTAAGTTATCTGGATTGGTTCATAAGCCTAATTCTTTTATATTTTTTAAATTGGTTTAGAGCATTAATTTTGGAGGTGAATAAGATTTTAGTGAATTCTCCCACCTATTGTATTACACTGGTTCTTTATTAGGATGAGTGGTGTTGAATAATTCAGTTAATAGAGAATATTTTGAGTTGGCAAAGGTTTGCTGGTATTGATATATAATAAATTAATTTTTATTCGTTTTTATCAATGGGTTGGTTAGGATCGCTAGTAGTGATAATTTTAATCTGTATAGTGGGGATAGTTTGGTATTTTGTGCATTTGATAGCATAAGTAAGAAATGATAGCATTATTAAAAGGGTTTTACGGTGCAATATAAAGATGAATAAGACTTTGTAAGTGATCAACTGAGAGGGCTCTTAGGAGTGGATGATATTTAGCCTAGTTCTTATAGGCCAACAATAGAACCATAATATTTATCAGGAATTGTGGATTTAATAGAAACATCAATAGGTGGATTGTGGCTAGCACAATTTTTGTATATGATTCTACTCTTATTTCTATTTTTTTTGGTTGTGGATATTTGGTTTATCGACTATCCATTCTCATTTATGTTCAATGCAATTTTAGGCGCTGTGACTGTGATGTTATTTGCATATTATGTTACTACGACAAATAGTAAATCGTTGACAAGAGCTTTGATATAAGTATAAATATGTAGCAATTATAAAGTCACAATTTTCGAAGGAGGAGAGCTTCGGATACATGTACTAAAGTGGTTTTGCAATAGTGAGTTTATTGTTTAGTTTGCTATTTGGCATGTATGTCTTAATGTATTACTTCAATGTGGCTGCTTGGGGAGGAGACATGAAGAAAGAAGAATACGAGAAAGTATCAATATTGATGATTGGATTCTTGATGGGAATGATACTGGGAGGATTCGTGTATAGAGAGGGTATATCTATGATGTGTAGATCAATGAAGACTGCTTCATTTGGTTTAATAAGAGCTGACTTAAATTTGAGTGTTGGCAATAACAATATCTCACAATTGACTAGATTAGCATACATGGTATCTTAATAAGCTGGAAATGCAATTGTGAACTTCCTCGACACAGGATTTGTACTGGTTTTCTTATGTTGTGCTGTTTCATAAATTGTTATCAATAGTCCTGAAGTGTTGGATAGCAAAAACAGAAGTGCTTTTATTTTGGGACCAATCTATTTGGTATGCATTGGATATTTAGGATCTATTGTATGCTATTTTTTAAAAACAATGTGTGCAGACTAGGAGACTGGGTCATTTGCTGCCCTCAATGTGAGATGGTAAGTCATTATTGCTGCTTTGATTTCGTTCATTATTCATGTTTCATTCCCTTTTTCATTTCTTATTGATAAGTTTACCCTCAAAGGTGAAAATACAAAGGACATTGATTTTGAGGGTAAATCAAATATGCATGCTTGTTGGTGTTATTTGTTAGGATTGATATTTAATGTACTTCATATCAGTTTGTTCGAATGGTACACATCTCATGGATGCCCTAATGTCAGAAATATGGTAAATTATTATGATCAAATAGGGATTAGCAACAAGTGATCGTATATTGCCAATGAATTTGATCTACTCAAATTATTTGGGAGATTTATTTTCTGCTATTCCAACTATCTTGATGTTCCTATTGATATCAATAGTCTATTCAATTGAAGGATTTGCTGGATTGTTATTTGCAGCTTCTGGTTACATATCTTTATTTATCATCTACGGAGTCATATTCTTCATTGGTTGCAATTCCTCCGATTCTTATAAATTAACATGTTTTGCTCACTTCATATCAGACGTGCAAGGCAAAATCTTTTAGATCTATTGGGAAGCCAAGAATTACATGGTTTTCCTTAAAGCCACTAATGCAGGTACAGCATTCCTGGTATGCATTGGAATAATTGGTGCTCAACTCTATTAATATCCAACTGCATTGAATTCATTGTTTGTAAAAAATGAAGGATTTTTGGGATTGTTCATTGGTTTCAGTATAATGTTTGTATGTAGAGGCATCAACATTTGGGGAATTATCAACGTTGCAAAAAGCTATGTAATTGATAATTTAATAAATAGTTCATTTTCCAACCATCTGATGAGGCAGAAGGAAAACTCAATTACTTGAAAGATATAAGAATAATTGAATTCACCAAGTTCAAGTACACTCATAGTATGTTGTATGTTGCATATAATGTTTTGTTCGTTACAATAATGATATTGATGTTTGGATCGATTTTGGGACATGCTGGAAGTGTGGCCATTATGATCGGGGCTTGCATTGCCACATTCCTGATTCAATACACTGGACTGATCAAGGGCACGACTCTGGAAAACTCAAGGGTGTACAATGAAAGTATGACATTGAATTGAGTTTGTAGTTCAGGATAATAGAAAGGATCATCACTATTTGATGTATGTGTCTGGAGACACTTACGCTTGTGCCACCGAGGAGAGCAACGCTTGTCCCTTGATTCCGTATCTGATTTACAGTTTCTGTTTACTAATTTCATGTCAAAAACATTTCGCAAAAGCAGAGAAATGAAATGATATATTTGAGAATACATCAATATACACAATCATGATTAGTTATCATAATTTCTTATCCAGTAGTAAATTCTACACATTATTATAAATCAAATAAATATCTAATTATATAATAGCTCCCATGAGCTGTATTGGATAGGCACAACAATAAGTGAGTGAGAAACTCATTAAAACTGATGGGGATGATTCAGATACTCCAGTCCCTGAATCGGACAAAGATGATCTCGGATAAATCTTGAACACTGAAGAAAGCAAGGGCAAACCCATGAAGACCCTTAGATTCAGTCTACAAAATCAAGTGTGGATTTTCGATAGAGCCTCGAAACGACATCAATCCTACAAATCACCCTCTCCACTAGCTAAATAGTCTTCGCCGTCCATACTCAAGAATAAAATCAAACAAAAAGTAACTAAATAATGAAATATATATTTAAATTAATTCATGAACAATAATAACAAAAATAAATAAGCCAAGTTATCGTGTTGTTAAAACTTTCTCCAGAAAATTAACTGTTGCTTTGGCAAAAAATAAAAATAATAAACCCAACCTCTCATCACAAATGAGAAATATCAATCGCCCTTTGCTTTCCACGGCCTCCAAAATTCTTTGTCTCCAGCCAAGGTAACCTTACACAATTTCCTCCTGAAAAAGTCAGGCCAAAAAATTAAAAGCATTTCCAAAGATGTGCATTCTATATTCATTGACAGATCCTCGCTCAATCCTGCACAACTGAAAGAACTGATGCCTTACATTTTCCCCTACATGCACGAATTAATAATAACCCATGAATAATCGATATCGGTTCTTCCTTTTTGTGTTACATAATATTTGGCTAAACGAATAACTTAATTCACCAAAAACCTAATTGTAGATGCAATAACTGGGCCTGGAACCTTGTCCATTGAAATCGCTTAATCAAATGCTGCGTAAGTGGATTCCTACTCCATTGATGAAAATGACAATGCCAAATATAATATTTAATAATTTCACTATTACTCAACGCAAGTGTAGAACATATATTTGACTTCCTTTTTCGAAAGACAAGAAAAGGCAGATGCAATCATAATACAATATCAATTTCTCAACTCCTTCCTCCTAGATTCAAATCTCAAGAATTACTTATAAAAAGCGTTGGAACTATCAGAAAACATCGTTATCGTCCTACCATCCAAAATTTAGACTAATGATTTATGTGCTTTCCTGAGTCCCTTTTCACATAACCATAATCATATTTTCAGATAAATCGAAATCTAGAAAATCAATGTTGGTGGTCTCCCTTTATGCTAAATCGTCTACATCGGATTTATCTAAGATGAAGTACTTTATATATCAACTATAGGAACTGTTAAATGAACAACTTAAGAATTGCTATTTAAAAGAATTATTGGCAGATCAGCCTAATCTTGAAGACTAGCAAGTCTAAAATTTCAAGAATTTACTTAATACTGTTATCACTTAAATTGGAATGCAGAAAACGATGCTTTTAATTGAAAAAACTTTGGAAACTAAAACTCAATTAGATTTTGCTATCAATCTGTTTCTTCAACAAATAGCTTAATTGAATATTGTTTCATTAGAGAACATCGCTAATTAAATGGAATGCTCATTAATGGATCAAACTCCCACACTCAATCATCCATTATTGTACAACAGCCAATCTAGTCTGTCCAAAAAATAAAGTTCTTTAAGAATCAGCTCTGATCTGTCCAAAACCTCCTAATAACAAAGCAAAGTTAGGGTTTTCAGTTTCCAAAATAAAACATTTGAATGATTAATATTAACAGATTAAAATCAATTACATTTTTTGACTTATTTTCTTTGCAACGATTATTATTCAATTAACATCCCTACCTACTCTGTTGAGTCCTTCGGTCTCTTAAATATAGTCAATGCTTAGAACTCTGCTCTAAACTCATTCTACACATTCACTCACACTCATACCTTATGCAAAGCCAACAAACACTAAGCCAAGACTTAAGGTTACAGTTTCTCCTTCAACTATTCCCACAGCAAATCAACCTTTCCTGCTTCACTCTATATCAATTTGATCTCCTTCCTTATCTTCTTGAATGAGCTGCGTTCATAATTAGATCAAATTTATTACTCATACATATTCTGCTTGGCAGCTCCTAACTTTTGCTTTATTTTTTCATTGTTCCCAAAGTCATCACTTCTCGTATCCACTTTCTTAAAAACATCTCTCAAATAGTCTGTGTAATTCCTTCCATAGATTAAAACGTACCTTGAGTTTTAAGAAAAGAAATCTTTGTCATCCAATATACTGAACAAATATTTTGTCTGTAAAGGCAAACAAACATTCAATATTGAATACAAGTATGATTTTGCAGCATCAATCCTCTCCTATTTATTCGAGGATGTTCTGTATTTGAGTGCATCCAACAATATCTCAATCTCTGTTACATCTTTCCCTTAATTAATGCAATCCTCCAATCTCCCAAACAATTATTATTGCTACTCCAAGAACTGTGAAAACTATTACATATTTATATGAGTACTTACTTTATCCTGCTGTTTATTGTAATTTTCAATTGATTTTGATAAAATAGTACATTGTCCCCTCAATTTATCATTTTCATCCTGTAACTCTTAAACTCTGGTCTCCAGTAATTCGAAGTATATCTTTTTTCTGGCTCTTGAATTTCTAGCAGATTCTCTGTTCCTCACTTACTTGAGACGACTAGGATCCATGGTTCGGTCATTAAGCGAATCGGGGTTTTCAGATGATGACTAATCAGTGTGTTCAAGGTTCATTAACAATTGTTATTCGTTTTTTCTTACCAACTTCTATTAGCTACGTCTAGAAATGAATCAAAATATTTCAATACGATTGTCTGGCTTTTGTTGTTACTATTAACTGGTCCTTATTCTCCTTCTTAACCAAATTCTGAATTTTATTTGTGTATGTGCTCTTTGTATATCGCAGGTTCAAAAGAATCTAGGATTACAAAGAATCTTTTAAATTTTTTTATTCTTCTTTTGTACATTTTTCTATATTTACAAGATAAAAATACTTGATCCTCTTCTGCTGCTTTGATTCTGACTTGCATCTCTCGAATAATCACCTTCACTTCCACTCCTTGGTTAGGCTTCAACAGAGCTATCATTAATAATCTTAAGCCTATCCATTTTGATTTCTTCAATCTAAATTTCGTTGGCTCCAAAATTATTAGTCTCATTGTCAGCATCTTCAAAAATTTATATTTTAGGGAATTGTTGCTGTTATTGTTGTGAGTTTTTCAAAAATGGATCTGAGACTCCTGAAAAATCAATTTGATTAGCATTGACATCATAAGAACTAAAATGAAGATAAATACGTTGAATTACTCATTGAAGTAATATTGCTCACTAATTATAGGATCACACATAAATTATTAGTTTAAAAATATATATATATATCATTAATCAAATATTTTTTTTCACATATTATCTTAGATTTGCAGGCCGTTAGCAGTTTGAATCAGTTTAACTCTAAAATATATGTAAACTTAATACCTATGGGTTTTGCTTGAAATATTTACAATCACTAAATAGATTACAACAATCGAAAACAGATCTATGTTAATTCTAAAGTTAATCAATGCTCACTCTTACTTGATAAATAGTCAAAAACAAAGATCTCAATTGCAATGGCTCCAATGTCTCATAAATAGACTTCCAAATAGAATCGACCTTTTAAGCCTCACCAATTATCATCTTCACTGAAGTGTACAAATTATTTACGCAACTAAAATTAACAATACAAAAGACATTCCTACCTTGTTATGGTTTTTTTGACACAATTTAACTTCTCCTTGTGTTTCCTAATCTTTCTAAATTACTCCTGTTTTATGTCCATTAGCTAGAATGTCTCTTTGGTCCATTCCAAAAAAGAACTAAATATATACTGAAATCTAAATACCCCTGAAAATCGGATAACAAATCCTTATTTTGATCATAACTGTAGACTATGTATTTTAATTCTATGGGTAACAGAATCTCCAATAGGTTTTCGATGTATTGATCCCCAACCATATTCTTATCAGAATTAAATTAGCACTCTTTCATTTATTCTAAAACAAATTTAGTTGAATGTAAATCTTAATCCTTGATCTAACAAACCTCCAATTGCTCTATCAATTTTTTCTGGGTCTCGAAGGAGAACTAATACTTTAAAAATTTTTAAATATTTTTACTTTTTCTTAACACTCTCTATATTTTTATATTTATTTGGCCTAATTCTAACATAGTTCATTCAATCTATCAATTTCATCTTGTAAATCCTTAACTTTGTTTTCCAACAGCTCAAAATACAATCTCTTTCTTGCTCTTGAATTTCGAGCCGCAACTCTATTTTTTGCTAATCTGTCCTCTGACATCTCCCCACCTGATTGGAGCGAGCTTTTCTACTCAGATTAATCAGAAGTTTCAATTAGCTAATGCGATGACTTTCTTTTTATCTTCTATTGACTTTTCCTATAATATTAATGTTTAGAAAATTACGAAGTTCGATTTGATTTTGGATTTGTTGTAATCTTTTTATCAACCAATTAACTGATTTTGCTCGTGTATAGACTCTTAGCATAGTGTACATTAAAGAGATCCTGATTGCTCTCCACAATTTTGTTACTTAATTGTTGTCTCGTTCTGGGTCTTTTCAAATATTGCTTATTCAAAGAATTGTTGTCATCAGTGTGACTCCAAGAGGTTGCCCTTCCATCACTGTGAACAGATTAAATTTAGAGCTTTTCAAGACCCAAATCATCAAAAATTGATTCCCCTGGATTTTCGAAGGGTTGGTCTGATTGTGGTAAATCCGAGCATGAATCCTCGAAAACTCGGATCACAGGCAACTGCTCCTTCCTATTTGCATGAGAAGATTAAAAATATTTCTCCAGATCTCCCATGACCTCATTTTCCATGTTATCTATGAGATATAGAGAATCTAGTAACCTGACATACGAAGTTTTTCTGCTTCCATCTCAAGATGCTCATCCATAATATTATTTATATATTTAATCTTTATTTCTGATTTATTTTAACAGGTTTATATATAATAAACAAGAATTAACACCTTCTGCCTTGAATAAATGGATCCATCGTTTGAGAATTAAAGGTTATTACAAATTTTATAGATAAATTTTTCCTATTCCATATGATTCATGATAGTTTAAATGTCTAATTACAACTAAGTATAATTTGCATTATATAATATTAAATTTTCTGGAAATCTTAATAATTCTAATTATTCTAGGCAGGGGATGGTGAATTTGAGGTTATAGGTTGTCCTCATTTAATGATTTTTCCATATTTAACTAATTCTGTAAATTATGCATTCACACTCGAGAATTAATAGAACAGAAATATTATATTGATAAAATATTAATTTGGTTATTGCTTAATTGGTAATAATTATTCAAGATTTCTTGTTAATATTAGAATTAAAATAATAAACAAATATTTTGCTGATTGCATGAAGAGGAAAGTAACACTAAAACGAAATGGGATATTTACTCTTAATATTCTACCGATCGCAGTGAGGAATCGCGAAGAATATATGAATGATTTAAAAATGCAAGCCATTCGTTTATAAATCGAAAAAATAGTTCATTTTGATCCCTTGCTGAAATCCCTTTTGAATTCTAAGCCAAATCGTAAGCATTATGCGCGTTCTCTTTTTAAGAATTAGTTGAATCGATCATATGTTGAATAAAAGCAACAGGATATTGAATCTCAATAAAGAGCCAAGAGTACAGAGGGTTCCATATTTGGAGATGCAGGCTTAAAATTCAAACGACTAATGTCTCGCGGAACCATCGAAATTAAAATGCATAGGCGTCTCATAAGAAAAAGATTTAGAAAATTGGTATTGGCTGTATGTCTTCTGCTTACGTACTTTCGATACAACCCACAAAGAAAAAAAATGCAGAGACTCTCAAGACCTCGCATTTCCATATTTCGCAGTAGGAATATCATCGATAGATTGCCTCAACTATTACAAATAGAAAAGGCGAATACAGTGAATGAAAGTATGACATCAAGAGAACCACCTTGTTAGATGAAGTAAAAACATTCCTCGATGGGCAGTTTTGATATGTTCATGAAGAGACCTATCTAATAATTCATTGTGAGATAGAATACCGACTTGTACTCGTAAAATAGAATATGCAAGACCGAACATTCTTAGGTTTTAAGCATGTATAATTTTTATAAGAAACAGAGAAAAACGAAAATGTTTCAAAAATCATCCTCTATTAAATTAATATCTTTGAATTAATGAAATCAATCTTTATATTTATTTGTTATTTTAAACAAAATAAAATTGATTATTATAATGCTTAAATTTTTCAATTTATTTTTTAATATATAAATTCTTAAACAAAATGAATTAGTGATTTGCCATGATCTGATCGGTAGGTTTATCCTTATGACACTTTTTTCATATAATTATTTCCAGAATGAGCATTTAATATTATTATTAATTAAACTATAATGGGAATGTGTTAAACAAAAAAAATGACAGATGTTCATCAGCCTAAAATGCTCGACATCTCATAAAATGCAAGCCAGGTATTGTAGGATTAATATCCCATGCCCAAACCCAAGTTGAGTATGGGATTTCCTTGCGTTATAAAATCCTTTGAATAGATTCAAATCATAGAAGTAACTGAATCGATGGCTTATAATTTTATTGTTAGATTAGGTGTAAATCAGCAGAAGTAAGTGTAAAAAGATTTGGATTATCAGGGTGTTTTCCTGTTCTCTGAAAAAGCCAAAACTAATTTTTTTGAATATGGATTCACTCCAATAGATGTTAGCAGACCTAATAAAATAATTGAAGATAAAAAATAATACAAATTCTTATTTGATTTCAAAAACTTATGGGCATTCAGAGATTACGGCGAGAAAATAGAATCGGTCTTAAATGTTTTCAAGGAAATTAATGTGAAGGTCAAATAAGTGTATATTTTAACAAAACCTCTTAACACTTTCATGGACCAATATTAGATGCTGAGTGAGATCAACATCTTGAATAGTTATTATCCATTATTGATATTTGATTACAAGGATGTCTCAGATGCTACAAAGCGTGGAGATGATACCTTCAGAATTTATTTGCATAGTGAAGATGCCTTTGAAATACTGATGAAAAAGAACTAAATCAGTCTCTACAATAGAAATCTGTAAATCAGAAATCTCATATTTCTCTATCAATGTGTCAATTTTAGTGGAATTAAAAAATTGGAAGAAAGCCTATACAAAGTAAGCTGCTACAGTCTAATACAATAACCTTCTGGATCATTAAATACTCATCAATTGGTTAAGGAATTGATACCTTACTTGTAGAATTTATAATCAATGGGCAGCAATGTTGTGTTGATTTATTCAAGTAGAGAACCGCAAGGATTGAAAAGTGCTAGGTTTACTATTGAATAATATATGGCAAGAGGATTGCTAATTCATCCCGAAGACATCCAAAAATATAATGATTAATTAAGATCGCTCTACATAAAACCGGAATAATTAACCTAGCAATTACAAAAGCAAGACACTGGTAGATAAAAGTAATAATAGGAAGTTATACAACTGAGTAGAGAATAAGAAATAATCAATCTTTATGATAGTTGGTTGAAAAAGATTAAATCCTAATAATTACTATAAAGTTCCCACAACCTATTTTTAAAGTTAATCACTAACATTATTGAAAACTCTAGCGATGAAAAATTCAGAACTATTCAAAAATCAAATAAAACTGTCAATCTTAATATACTATAATATGAGGAAGGAAGATAAATTTTATAATTAATAGGTTTTAGAGAAGGTGAAACTGATTACAAAAACATATTTGAAGTCGGCTAAATAAAAATGGCTAGAGCCGATATTGAAATTGCATGGAAAAAACAACTAGAAAAATCTTTAAAATGAACTCGTCGAAAATTGAATATAATAATATATTGTTAAAATAATAATAATGTACTCTATTTATTAAATAGATTTAAATTTCAAGGATTTCATAAAAATGAAAGAATTATAATCTAATATTTGTATTTTGAGAGAGTAGAATTATATTTTTCAAGCTATCATTTTTAGTTTAATAAATAATATAGTTAAAATTCTCAAACATGATTTAGTTAGTTGATTTGAGGAAACAAATAGCAGTAAATTGTAAATGTAATTTTTGAACGGTTTTATTTTCAATTTAAAGATTTCTTGAATTGAATAAGATTCTAAATACCCACTATTTATACTCAATTATAATAGGAATAAATAAAAGTTGAGTCTTTATTGTAATAGAAATCAATTATATTTTATAATGGATTTTTTAATATTCATAGTCGTCTTCTATGGATATATTTAAGAAATTGCTGTAGTAATTTTGCCCATAACAACTGTGTTAACAATAATTACATTTGGGATGCAACTTTATACTTATTGTAAAAATAAAAGTCGGGAAAAATTGAATGAACACATAGATGTGTAAGGTGATGCTGTACTAAATTTGTTTCCAGAAGAATATAAGCCGTATGAATATCATCCTATTTTAAATGATAGGTTATTAAATAATTAGGAAGATGTAAGAAAGATAGATTAAAACGGATAGAAAGGTTCTTAGTAAGATGAACTAGCAAATCGGTAATAGATGGTAATTCACATAAATCCTTAACAAGAATAAAACAAACAAATAGAAAAATAAAACGGGGACAAGTTAATTGAAATAATATAAAATGATAAAGAGCTAGATGAAAAATTATAACACTTTAGAAAAGATTTTGATGAAAAGCTGAAAACACAAAAAAATGAGGTTGAGGAAAAAATATAAAATCAAAATTTAGATATTGATGAAAAAATTTCCAAATAAATGATCGATGCAAAAGCTTAAATATAAAATATTGATGAAAAATTGAAAAATATTGATAAATTAAGAGATTGCAAATCAATGTATGACTAAATAGAAAATATAAAAGTATTTATTTTATCCTATGTTAAGATTTCAATTAAAAAATATGAGACTAAATATGAAGAAAACTTCGAAGCATTTAAAAACAATTTTATGGCTCTTTATTAAAACAACTAAGAAAATTAGAAAAAGGTTAGAGATACCCTTATATAACTTTATGAATAAACAAATAAAAAAAGGTAAGTGGAAAATCAATACAAATACTATGTAAGGCAAGTTTAGGATAAATCAGATCTAAAAAGGAACTATAGTTTAACAGTTTAATCAGCCGGTGATATAGCATAGTATTGTAATGCATTTAGAGAAGTTAGAGGTGATGGTAATTGTTTCTACACAGCTTTTGGATATTAATTCTTACACATTTTACTATTTCATTATTCTTTTGAATAATTTCTTAAATTTATTGAGATGATTAAAAAAATTGAGTTACCGATGAAAATACTGACTGAGCAGCAAGATGCAAACATTGATGATAAGGAAATAGAAAAATTAATGTTATAAGAATTTCTTTTCAGATTAATTAAATTAAAGTCAATTACAGATATTCCTACAAGATCAGAAACATTTCTGAAATAATTTGCAGCCTATGAATACGAATCAGATGAAGTTGATAGTTGTTTATATGGACTATCAACTATATTCTTTAGAAATTATTCAAATTATGTTATTGAAAACAGTGAGATAAAAGATGCAATTGATGACAAAATAAATTTATTAAGATGGGAAATGGAGTGTAATAATAATGAGCTTGTTATTTCAGAATTAGCTAAAAGTTTGGATATGTAAATTATTATTTTTATTTATTTTCAGATTTGTGCAACTATTATTTTTTGAAAATAAAGTATTTTAGAATCGGGAATATGGAAATAGAGATAAGTAGAAAATTATATTATTAATAAAACCTGGTCATTATAATATTGGATTATTGTTGGAAGAAACACAAAGCGACAAATTAATTAAGAAAAGTAACGCACTTAAAAATGAATCTTATGCAATAATTAACTAGTCTAAAGAATACTTAGAAAATTATTAATAATACATCTAAGAATCATCAAGTTTATAAGTCATAGTCACAAATTTATTAGACTAATTGTAAAAGGGATAATTATCTGAAATAGAAGTGCGCAAACTTAAAGAAGGATTATCAGAAAATTAATATTGAATAGCATATCAAAACATAAATATTCATTACATTAATATAATATAATATAATTTATAAGAGAATATCTCAAAAGAATCCCCTTAGATCTAACTGGTTATAATTTAACTTGTGATTTTTTATTATTTACTTCAGTGAATTTGAAATCATGATTTCAGCTGTGTCTGTTAAGACTTTATTATTGATATAATAATCTTCCCATTAGGTCTCCATATTTGTGATTTTTATTAATTATCCAAATTTATTTTGATATAAGTTTTTGTATCCAAAACAAGTTAATGGTGAAGACAACAATGCGAGTTGGCCTGTCTTAAGACTTGCAAATATAGTATTTCCTTAATGATAGAGCTACGCGTGAACATTCATATTCCCATTTTTAGAAAACAATTTCTTAAATAATTATAAATTATTACTTTGCATTCTACATCACAAACCTTTTAAAAGCAGAGTAAGCATACAAATTAATCAGAACTTTTAGATGCATTTGAAAAGCCTTTACAAAACGAACATGGCTCATTAAAATAATGATCATAAAATTATTTAAATTTGTATCCTAATTTATCAGTAATCTAATTCTTCACAATATTTATCATAACATGTCTATTAAATTATTCAATATATTAGTTGACTTAAACGATTTAATTTTATTCTTTTTCAATATTTATTGCAAAACATTTTAGTAATTCATTTGTAATTTAAAATGGTAAATCAAATTAAAAGATTTAAGATTTTATTTAATTCTAATTGTTCTCAAGAAATTGAGCTAGAGATTTTTATTATTGGTTATTCAATATTAATAATTCTATTATTAAGTTGAGTATATTTAAAAATATTGACTATTAATTCTGGAATTCAAAACGATTAATTGTGATGTTTTTACTAATTTAAAATAAAAAATCTAGTATATTTAGAAATACAAAATGTTTATCTTGTCTTATGAATTCTAAAGAATCCATAAATAATTAAAGTAAGAGATCAACTAATAAAGAGAGGTAAATTTCTTTTAATTTATGTTCAATAGATTCTCCATACTTTTCTTTAAGGTAGTTCTTTATTCCAAAATTTTAACTTTGTATTAATAACCAATTATTAAATTCATCATATTGTTCATTGCTTTTATTTTTGTTGATTGATAATCGTGTTTCACTAGCCTATTTGCAAACTGGACATTATAATTGAAACCATAATGGTAGAAGTTTCTATTTTTATGAATATGAATAAGTAGCAATTAAACACTTATCATGAAATTTGTGTTTGCAGCTAACGATTGAAATTTTCAATAAATTTAACTCATCCTTCATGATATCATTTCTTAAATCAGCTGGATAAATTGGATAGTATTTTGAATAGGGACTTGATTAAATCAAAATTGGAATGCAGTTATTTTGATTATCCTCCAAATCTAATCTACATAATGCACAAGTATCATGTTATAGTTATACATCTTTTTGATTATCAGTTGCCGCAATATCATTTTGTTAAAATGACTCAATTTTTTATTTAAATTTAGCTTTCATCTTATTCATTTTAACACTTTATAGAGATTTTAGTTATAAAACTTCTGCTTCTTCCTCCAATACTTGTTTTGGGCTACCATATTTATTCAAAATCAATTATATACTTTATTAATCTTACTCTTTGCTCATTTATAGTTGTTTTAAGGATTCTTAAATTTATAATGTTTCTTTTTTCAAATATGCACTTATGTTTATCAATCTTTCAATTAATTTGATTTCTGTTGCTGAATTAAGAGATGGTTGAATTTCTGAAATAATTAGGTTTATATTCGTATCTAATGCAAAAAACTCCATCAATTCCAAATTCACTCCTTTTAGTTACCCAAAATCTCTAAGCTGTTCAATTGAATTTCCAAATTAAATAAAATAGTCTGATCGTTTCTATGAAGTTAAATGCTCTCCAATTGATTAGGCAGTTGATTAATGATTTAAAAATAATAAGGGATGGAAATAAGTATGATTATTTGGATTATCTGTTTAGTTTGATGGTTACATTTTAAAATATTGTTAAATCTATTAATGTGTCTTTAATTTTAGTTTATTTAAGTCTTCATCCAGTTCACAAAAGTTGAGTATGTACATTTCCAAATTAGAAACGGAAAACGAAGCCTATTCAAAAGTTGATTTAATTTCTGAATACTCTTAATAATGATTGAGAATAAATAAGTTTGAAAGGATTTAAAATAAAGTAAAAGACATGCCTTCAGGTAGATTAGTTTAGCTGTACAAAGCCTAACATACACAGGAGAAACTCTTATCGGAGGCGATGATTCTAGCAATAATTTATCTAATTATAGAGAATCAATATTACATAAAGTATTAATTTTAACTGTAATCCTTAAAGTATTATCTGGATTGGATAATGCTTCTCATTTAACTTAAAGCCTAATCCTTATAAAGAATGAAATAGAATTTGATAAAAGCTATATCATAGGATTCCGGCTATTCTTTTCCTATGGTAAAGTAGGTGTTAGAAACTTGCTCATGCAAAGGAGTATAGAGAAGGCTTATGAAATTGTGCACACATCTTTCAAAGATGTTGGATAAATTGAATTGTAATTCTTACTCATCTTATTTCAAAGTTGTTTAAAGATACTTTCTAAATTAATTTGATGATTAAAATTCATTTTATTGAAATAAATAAGTTAAAAGAATGATGAAATATTTATCAATTATTGATCCACTTCTATAAATACAGTAATTTAATCGAATAATAGTATTCTATTGGTCCTTCTCAGTATTTGTCTGAATATTATTTTTATAGAATTCAGGTAAATAATTGTATTATTCTTTATTATTTTTATTTGTCCTTATTAATTCATAAGACCAATAGAATAAGATATTGATGAAGTTTGATTTAGCCACCGTTGTAGTTTATGGAGATGCTAAATATTTTGCCAAACACTATTTCATGATGTTTAAGTATCTTGATTCCAAGTATAAAAGATTAAGTTATATTTATGTTTCTGATATAAGTGGCTAGTAAAGTTTATTTGAATTAGAAAATCCTTTGGTATGACTTTAACTCTTAAATAGTGCTGTTAAAAAAAATTGTTCAGGGTTTAGTGAAGCAATTTCTTCAATTGTCAACTGTTAAGTTTAATAATTTTGAAACAACTGAGATAAAGTGTTGTTAAAACTCTTTATAAAGTAATTGTATTAAAATTTTAAAGAAAAGAATTCTAGCATTGAATAACAATCGTCTAAATTGCCCAATTGGCAAGTATTTAATATGTTTTATAGTTTAGTATTCATATCTAATAAATTCTTTATTTTTGGAGATGTGAATTGAATGTCCTAAAACTCTTCTGAAACAAATTAAGATTACATTGAAAAGAATTTAGCGGCTTTAATAGTATACGCTATATATTTTTCTTTGCAAGTGTTCAACTTTTTAAAATAATTCTCAAATAATAATAACTAATTTTTCTCCTTGGTATAAAATACGCCAGTTTAAACAAAATTTTCAAATGATGAAATGAACTCCTCAATAATTACTGCTCCATCAAAAGTTTCAATTTCAAAAGATTTCCATAAATCATCCTGTCTCGTCAAAAAAACTTCTTGGGTAAACAACCTAAAATTCTCATCTATATTCAAATTATAAAGCAATTTATCAAACTTACTGTCATTCTCAAAATCTAAAAATATTTTTAATTATTAATAATGAATGATTTATTCGAAGTAAGTAACCCCATCAGTGTATTGAGATTTCAGAAACCCGGCTATTAGTAAAGCAAAGCAAGTCCTGTCTTTACAAAGCCAACATAAAAAATCAATGATAATATCTGAAATACGAATTGATGATAAAATAGTTTAATAAATATTTCCTATATTGTAATGATTGTTTAATAATTTATAAACCTACTTATAATTTATTATGTGACTAATGTGACGACATTATAATAAAAATGGATTAGGAATATTGGATACTAAACTCAAACCCTCTTCGCATTTTGAAAAATAAATTTAAAAGGAGTCTTTTAGAAACCTTAATATTGCTTCTCTCAAATTTGGTTTAACCTTTGATATTTCTTATGTGATATCAATTTTCTATTCTTTGTGTAATTTGCAAAATGAATCCCTGTTAGCGATTGCAGTAGGGTCCCCGCAATCACAACAACCATTTGCTTCTTTCTTAAAAAATGCTCTATGGTCTTTTCTATAATAAAAATTAATACTTTGATGCAATTCCAACTAAAAGCAGTTTCCACAGTACATGTGATGAGGATCGGGAGCACAATCAAAGCATTGAAATGAAAGTGTTTGTTAAGGGACATGTGCTCCACAAAGGGATTGCTATGGGTTTTTGGATTAGTTAAATTCTTTGAAATCCTCTTAGTTTGAGGAGATGTAATGGTGAAAGATGTAATCATTATCAATTTCTTAATTAGTATTGGTCAAAAATTATTCAAGTTTGGGTGTTTTGGACATTGATAATTTAATTAAAATAATTATTAAAATATTCTCATTAGTAATGATAAATTTATGGATAAATAGTAATAAACACCTCGGGCACAATTATTCCTTTAAGGAACAAAGCATATATAAATTATTAAAATAACTCTTTTGACTAAAAAAGTAAACTTTAAAGTATTTTTAAGTAACAAAAATTTTAGACAATTTATAAATTTCTGAATTTAATTGGAATTCAATTTTTGGAAGATTGCATGCATAGAATTTGAAAAAAGAGGGAATTTAGAAAAGTTACAAATGATATAAAATTTAATTTGATATTGTTTATTTAATGAAGTTTTTTATTTGCACATAAGAACTTAATTAAAAACTTGATTAATTGTATCTAAAAAATATTTATATTTCTAATGAGCAAATCAATTTTATTTTAATTTAATGACGCCGTCACTCTTGCTGGTGAATAAATAACAGGGTGTTGTTATGTTAGAATACCTTAAGATATGCCGAAAGTCTAAATTGTTTTGACATTTGAAACTAAGGAATATTCGAAGGTTTTAGAAAAAAAACAAGTAAACGTTTAAGTGATTAAATTAGATTCCCTATGATGAAAGCAATCCCCAAATGATACCTGATAAGTTAATAGAGAAAGCGAAGTAAGTGTAAATTACTCTGGATTCTCCATTAAAATAACCTAAATATACTTAAAAGAAATATGAGTTAAATGGAAACCTATTATTTCGAGTTTTTAGACACTATGGAACTCACGACTCTTTTATATACACACAGGAACTCTATAATGGTAGCGTTAAGGCTGGAGATTATAAATTCAATTTTATTGTTCCAACGCAATTCAACATGCCATCAAGTTTCTATTACAAGAGTGCTGATGGTATTAATATCAAAAAATATTAAAAGGACAGAAATAAGGAAAATGTGGCTACATGATTACATTGAAAATTGATTCCACAGAAGAAGCTAGAACTGTGATGATGGAAAGTACTGATGTCTATCTCAACGGTAGATTCAAAGAAAGCGAATAGTTCAGATAGTTAGAAGGGAATATCGTTCATTTCCTTTGTTTAAATAGTGGAGCAGTTGAATTGTCAGTGAGATTGAAGACAAATAAATTTTTCCCTGGAGATAAGATATCTGTCGATTACTCTGTCGATAATACTCGATCGTAGAGACCAGTTAATAGAATTGAAGTGAGGGTTATTCATAAATTGATTTTCATTGACAACGACGAGGTAGAGAGAGTTATTGAGGATTAAGTGGTTGTTTCACAAAATTGGGATGGTCTCTTAGCAGGATAAAGTAAGGATAGAATAGTGTCTCTTTTGGAATTACCAAAAGAATTAAAAGCCTCACTGAAAACCAATACTATTAAGAATTAATACTTTTTTTAATTAGAGGCAATAGTTGTAATTCAATTTTTTAATATTAGGATTCATTCCTGACTTGGTTGTCTGTCCCTGTAATATGCTAGATCCCCATACACATTCAAGAATAATAAATGCTATAGAAAGTTAATCTGGATGGTTGGAAATTGGTCTCAAATTTGAATGTAAGTGTTAATGAATTTTCAAATGTTTCAGTCTAATAATCATATATACCTTGATGATTATATATTTTAATTATTATTATTTGATTTTTAATGGATAAAATAAAGAAGCTTAACTTGGATTCAGACTAATTTTAGATAGATCATCTAAGACCTATTCCTGCACTTGTAAAAGCAAATACATTATATTGGAATGAGATTGGCATGCTTAATAATTTATAATGGAATTACACTCTTTAAATTAATAGCGATAAATTGAGTTAAGTGAAGGAAATTATATAGAAAGCCTGTTGCACTTAAGTCAGCGATTAAGAATACAAGGTACAAAAAATCTATAGCATAGTTAATTTAAGACTTTTTAGAAAATGATGAATATTTATTGAAGAATTGTGGGTTTACAACCTAAAAATTACCTGATTTAATAGAAAATAATGCAAACCTAGTACTCTTTTTCTTAATGAAAAATGTGAAGTCTTCTGATTTCTAAGAGTAAAACATTTAATTATTTAAGTTATTTGGATGTTTTTATAAATATTGATGTCACTCCTGCTACTATTGAATTAATTGCTATGATAAATCATTCAATGAAAATACCTCCTGATTTCGTTACATATTATGTGTATTATTGTATTTAATATTGTAATAATATTAAAGTAAATTATATTATACATTCAATTAGGAAAAACCCACCTAAACTAAAATAGTTAAATATGTCAGCATTTTTATTCGGCACTTTTTAAAAACGAAGGCCATAGTGACCAAAGATCTTCTGACTGAAGTAAGCTGTTTATAAGTACAAAAGCTGCAAGCATTTTGCATAGAGTTTACCAGAGTTAATGAAGTATCTTAACTTTTTAAATCTGTAAAAGCTTTCAATGAGTTAGGTGCATGACCCAGCTAATATCAATTACTTAAAATAATAATAACACGAATTAATATTCAAAGTTCATTAAAGCCAGTAGACTTCAAAATTAGCAAAGGTTAGTTACATTTCTTTCCCAATACCCGAGCTTTTTTATACTATAAATTATATTAAAGATGGGATTGTTACATTCTTAATGCAGCTCCAAAAATTGTTTATCAATTTGATTAAGATTGTACCTTATCATATGCCTTTCATTAATGCTACACCCCTTTTTGACTGGTGTTTCAGATCGCTTAGGCGTTTGATAAGTATGTTAACTAGACTACTGACTTTCTTCCTTAATTGGAGAAGGGCTTTTGTGAATATTCCTCAATTTCTCTCTTGGATCCACAAACACAAACTCTTTATTGACTTGATTTTAGGCTCTATTATATAGTCCCCATTGATTGTTTTTTTTGAGAGAGGATTCATTTATTTTCATTTTTTAGATCTTCTCCCTTTGCTAACTCTTCTCTTATGAATCGCCCTTCTGCTATTACTTGCTCTTTGATTGCTTTTTCAATTATTTCACATTATTTTTCCTCTAACTATACAATTACCCATCCTGAATCCCATATACCCTAATTCTTTTCAGTCCCTTATAATCTGCGGAACCAAAATTAAAGACTTCAACCATCATTTAATTGAATACATCTTGACAATCTGGCTCTATTTCAATAGTACTTGTTTCATTCCAATTGCCATTTTTCTTCCAAATTACCTTTTCAAAATAAAGATCATCACAATTTTCTCCCCTTAGTGTTAAATTAATTTAATCTGCCTTATAGTTCTCTTTTCTAATTAAGTTAAATTTAAATACAGATAGATAATTTGGAGATGATAGCATTACCAAATTCGATTATGATTTTGGTTTCTTTCTCAGTGGTTAACCAATCTCCTGTTCCCAAGATGACATTGCCAATACCGTATAAAGAGGTAAAAGGATTGACATCTAAAATTTTCAAAATTAATTCTTCTGCCATATATTTTATTATTTAATATTAGTAAACACGTGTTTATGGACTAAAGAACTCCAATACAAAGGTTAATGGAAGAATTGCACACAGGATCACCTGCCTAGTTGTTAGAAGTGGCAAATCAATGTGAATAAACACCAAACATCTAAATAACAAAAGCAATCTTGCTATTAAACAATAAGAATTATTAAGAAGCCTAATAACTTTTGAAGGGACTGAAAGATCATCCCCTTTATCCATTCACAAGACTCTATCAACTCTATGCAGAAGGATAATATCAATTGGTTGTGACAGAATCTAGAAAAAATATCCCAGAAGATCAACTATTATTGGGATAGGCCTTTTTGAAGTTAGGAGAGTTCGAACAAGCTATTTAGCTGTTTTAGAAATTGCTTAAAGATGTACAATAGTATATATATCTATCAAGAGCAAATTTCAAAAGGACTCCCAAGATATTTTAACAAATATCGCCAATGCAGCTATTCAATAAAATGACGAGAATTAGATGAGACAAATTAATTCATAGATTACAGAATTCATTAAAAAGAATAAAAATCAGTATGCCAGAGAGCTATTACTTAACCATGCTTTGCTTAATTTATAATTGAATGAGTAAATTTAACATAATATCAAATTAGTGTAAAGACTGCTAAAGAGTTGACTATTAGGTTTGAAAACATGGTGAAGGTTGAAAATGAATAGGACGAGGATCTATTTTTAGCTCAATTAATTTTAGATGTTATAAATCCAGGGGATTACAAAAGCAAAGTTAAATAGTAATTATCCATCTAATTGTAGATATGAACTTTTAGAGAAGACTTCAGAATAAGCAGTGCTTTTGAATAATTTGGCAGTGTTTTAAGAATTTATACATCCACATCATGACTCATTAAAAAGAGTTGAAGAAGCATTGTCATCAGATTACAAATTTACACCTTCATAACTTAATGTGTTAAAAATTAATAAAGCAATTCTACAAATTATTAAGAATAGACCAACAAAGGAACACGGTTTGCCTCTTTCTGTTCAAATTGCAATTAACAGATAAAAATGGGAATAACCAATCGAGGATCCATATCAATATTTAATATTTGCTACTAACAATGATAACACCAACAAAATAATTGAATTGTGCAATGTCAAAAATTGGAACCAGAATAAAGTCTTGAGTACTTTTATCTTGGCTCATATCCTCAAATTGCCTGATGATTCTCCTTATGATAAATAAATTTAATTGATTGCTCAATTTCATAAGTCCTTGGTTTGCAATTACTATATTAAAAGAAGCAATCTTCAAAAAGCTTTGTAATATTATACTGATGACCAACAAATCAAGAGTCAATTGGCCTTGCTTTGTATTGAAAAGGGGTAGCTTGAATAAGGAGCTAAATTTATTGATTCTTTACAATATGACGGAATAACAGATATGAATGAGATTGAAAATTTAGAGAGGAACATAGGATTATCAAAAAAGGTGGAAGTTTAGGTGAAGAAGATTCAAAAGAAGAAGAAGAAGAGAATTCGATATCCCAAAAACTTTGACAAGACCAACCCTGGACCATTGCCGAATCCAGAGAGATGGTTACCTAAATATGACAGAAAAGAGTGGAAAAAGAAGAAATAAATACATAGCAGAACTTAAGGAGGTAATGCAGGAAATGAAACAGTAAATACATTCAAAGCGAGCGGAGCTTCCACTGCATAAGTTAGTGCAGCTTAGAAAAAAACAAATAAGTATAGAAAATGATAAGTTAATATTATATTATCGTTATAATTACAAAATTCTATCAAAATAGAAAAAGAATTAATCATTTATCCTTATCTTCCAATTATAAAAGGTAATTATCTAGTTCTAAAATTACATCTTTTAATCCATTCATGCTTTCTTTCACAACTTACAAATTATTTCTCATGGTATTTACTAAAGATTATCTCTCTTCTCTTGATTGGCTTAAGTTCTGTTTATAAATCTGAAACTTCGATCCCTCTTATTCAAATTCATTTAATTTATTTTGAAGGGCTTCGTTTGCAGCTTTAAGAATATTTATTTAAATCTATAGTTCTCCAATAACCTATCCATTAACTTAATTGTTTTTAAACGCATAGATTACTGCTGCTAAAAGCATTCCAATTCCTATAATCTATAATTTAGAAAAGATACTCATCTCCAGATTTGATATAATAAATAGATATATAAATAAAATAATACAAGCTAAAGCCAATCATTTTTGGTATTTATTATTATCTATTATAAAAATATAATCAATTCTGACAGATACATCTTTAATTATAATATAATTATCATACATAATACTTTCTAAATCAATACATAAATAAATTAAAATACTTATAGTTTATTTCTCGTTCATCACCTTTCGGTAGAAAATAAATAACAAATTCAACGATGCTTACACTCTAATTAGGAATGGGTGTTTGTGTAAAGTGCTTTTAAATATTTTATTTACTAAAATTCATTTACTTCGTAATTAATAATATTAATGGACTAAATTTATATAATATTTTCTTAAAATAGATATACACCTGTTGGATAAACCTTAATAATTGAATCTTATTAAGGTATTTATTCATTTTAATTATTTGTATGGACTGAAAGTGAATTCTTAAACCATAAATTTTGATAATTTATTCTTCTTTGCATAAATGTCATCCTAGTTAATTAAAGTAGAGTGTCCCATACACAATTCTGAGGCAATAGCAATTAATTTAGATCCTAACATATAATTGCCAGAAATGATGTAATGTATATACTGCCTCGTTGGAAGCACATATCGATCAATAGTACCCATAAGAGACATCAAAAACATATTTGAGAATTTCATCACTCTTCAATAATAGAAGAGCGATGAAATTAATCAACTCAAAAGAACTTACTTGATGTAACTATTGGACAATTTATGTAAAATGAAATAAGAGGTCAATGACTTTATCGACAATGGAATCAATATTATACAAACTCAATTATAATTTGATAAACGAGAAGAAGAGGGAGTGATGAAAGAAAGGGAATTTGGAGTTACAGGCATCGATTAACAGGTCAAATAGATTATAGAGTATTAATACAGTTACTGTTAGCAGTAAAAGATATTAAATGATTTGAACTGGGCACAATCCCTTTCTGAGGTGCTTCAATAGATCAATAATTTCGAAGGAATTTAAAATTGTTTAGATCTATTGCGTGATTTCAAAAACGAGTATTAAATGAAAAATGAGATTAATATTGTTGGTAAATTACTGCTGAATGAATCTGATCCAGAAATATTGAGAGGAAGTTCAAGTGAAACACCAAAATTAAATATAGTTTGTTAATAGCATCAAAAGGAAATTATAATGATAGATATGAATGAAAATATTGAAAAATCAATGAGATTGTGCTGCATAGAATGTATGCCAGAAACATATTGGTCATTAACAAAATGTAAAGAAAAATGGAAGACATTTGAATAAAAAAAGAGAGCCTATCTTTAGTAGTAAATCTTTGATATGGAAGCTTAATATGAGTAAATAAGAGAGCAAAATAAGAAAATTGAGTAGCAAATTATAGAATAGTTAAAAGGAGTAAGAGTATAATTTGAAAATGCGTTGGCTATAAACAAACGAAAAATCTTATCTAACATTAATATGGTTAATGAGGATTGGATAAATTTATCTTAAGATGACATTTTGGAGAGAGTGGAAATACTGATAAAAACTGAAGAGTCTCAAAATCAAATGATTCATAGTGAATATTAGTAATTTTCGGATTTTGCTTTGAAATTATTATAAGAATAAGTAAAAGAGTTGAAAGTTTAATAATAAAATTTATACGACAATTTAAGATCTACTTTGTGTCATTCTTAGGAAATTAGTAAATCAGCTAGCTCTTCAGATCAAAATTGTTTAAATGATATCTATTATCAAATAAATGAAAATGGGAGCTCATCCAAAAATACTCAAAAACTGTATGAATTAACATAAATTCAATCTTATGACATTGGATCTGATTTGATAAAGAAAAATCAAAGAAAGGAGACTGATAGTGCTTTTTCATCCCCAAAAAATAATGGTTTTGAAGATGTACAAATAGATATGGATTTTGAAGAAAAGCAATCAATATAATACCAAATTATTAGTAAGTATTAATAAGTCTAAAATTGCTATGCAATATCTGTTAATTTTGATTAAACCATAATGATTAGCGGATGTTCAAACGACATAGCTATTTGGGAGTTCAATAATGGGAAGATTAAACATATCCAAAATCTTTAGGGTCATTCGAATCAAGTTATATCACTTTAATTTAGTGCTGATAAGAATGAATTTATTTCTGGTAGTACTGATAAATCAATTCGATATTGGCAATTAATTAATAGTATCTGGCTATGCAAATAAGTACTCTTAGGACATAAGAGATAGATTGACTGTTTATTGATGAGCAATAATAATAACCAAATAATATCTTGTAGTTGTGACAAGACAATAAGGATTTGGATAAAGAACCAATAGTCCTAATGGTTCCAAGTTCAGACTCTAACAAATCATTCTGCTTATGTCAGGTGCATAAGTCTGAGCAAATCCCAGAATTTGCTTGTTTCTTGCGGGGAAGATAAGATGATTTTGATATGGGAATTGAACAAGTCAAAGGTATGGAACTTAAAACAAAGCATAAAGAATGACGATTTTGGTTATAGGATTTGCTTTATAGATGAAATAAAAATAGCTTGGTAACCGCGAAGTTAAAACAAAACGTATTTCTATGAGTATGATACAAAAACAAATCAATTTGAGTTGGATAAACATCATATAACATTGCAACATTCAAGTGAGGGATACTAAAACTTTTTTCCTTCAATTTACAATGAATAAAAGTAGGTTCTTATAAATAAGCATGGCTAGTTCGTTTACATCATGAAAATGAACGTGTCCCACAGTTTGGAGATCTCCCAAGTTATAGACATAGGTCATTATTGTAATTATGGTTCATTGACTAATGATGGTTAATTTTTGGTTATATGGGATGAAAAGTCAAAATGCTTATAAGTTAGACAAGCCACATTTTGAAAGCGAGAATGGTGATTATTTATATACGCATTTTCATATTTATATAATTCACAAAGAACGCAGTTACTGAAAAGTGTTAATTATAACAATTTATAATTTAATTTCCTATTGTAATATTGTAAATCAAATAAATATAATTGATTGTGGATTTATCTGGATTTCATAAAGCTAAATCCCTAATAATAATAATTCCAAAGAAATCAATATGGGAACATGTTAATTCATAGCCGAGAAACAATACAAACAACACAGTATAAGCGATATTGAAGCATCATTCTAACCTTATATCGTTTAATTGAAACTTACTCCTATTGTTAGTAACATAACTGGTGATGATGATAGAATGGATGAAATATACTATGATATTGAAAAATAAATCTCTATAAAATAAGTATAATTCCTAATTATACTAGGAAAAAGAAAAAGTTGGTATCAATCAACTCAACATCTCCTCAAAATTATATTTAACTCACAATGATTCTCCCTCTCTCTAATCGGATCAATTTTAAGAGATAATGAAGCAACCAAGGAAAAATAAAAATCTAAATGCCAAATTCAAAGAGATGATTATTTGAACCCAAGCTAAAGAGACATAATAATTCGATGATAAATGATTCATTTTACTTATTTATCCTTAAAGAATTATAAATAAACCAAAGCTTTGATTCATCATTTTTAGCAAGTTTCTCCTTCTATTTAAATAAATGTTCTTTAAAATAAAGGGAATTATTTTTATTTTATGGGAAGTACAAGAATCTAAATTCAAATAATACGCAATGTTATTTTGATCATGTGCAACTTAATTCAAGGCATTTAAAAAAGTGAACAGTAGTGAAACACCTCAAATTAGGAGGGGTTTGATATTTAGTATGTCATTCCACTCCAAGATGTTTGTAGCATTAAAGTGGTGGTCTTTAAGAAGATAAAAGGAGAAAAGTACAGATATATTATTAGAAATTATTTTGTGAATTAGTTTTAATAAAATTAGATTATTTTATTAAATGCAATCTAATTTTTGGTGGAAAATCACCAAAAAAGAACAAGCTCAATTGGTTATTTCTGGAGTGCTTGGTGCAATCTTATTTTTTTTCTCAACAACTCTAGGGAATTTTATATTGATTGAGATTCGATTCAATATTTTATTTTCAGCTGTAAATAATTTATGTTATGTAGGAAGTATTTTGGATTAATATTCATATTAACAGGTTGTTATATTTTGGTGAAAACTAAAATGTTAGTAAATTATAGAATTTTTACTCAATGGACTTTAAAACAAAAATTTGTATTATCATTTGCGATTGTTATAATTCTATCAGGTTTTACATGCTTCTATTTATACTTTGATCAAGAATGGTAATAAAGTAGTAGTATATGATTAGGCATTAAGGATTGAGTTTTTATAGCAAAATTCCTTTATTTGTGATTTTGGGAATGTCTTTGAGTTCCACTATATGCTATTTAATTGTTGATCTAATCAATTTTTTAGTTGGTTTAACTCAAAAAGTCTAATAAAGAACCATTATGGAAACCCCCAATTAGATTGTATCATTCATTGTAATAAGTACCACTATTGGATTTCTTTAAGGGTTAATATTTAGCGTTTTGGATATTGAGGTATATTCATTAATTAAATTCAGGATGTCGAAAATAAAACCACATCATTCAACCTTGTTTTGTTTGAGGAATTGTTATTATCTCCTTTTATTGTTGTATTAGGTTGTCTAGGAGGACTTTTTAATGAATACTTAAGATTGAAAGGCAGCCACTTACAATCTTATACATTTGAACCTATTAACGATCAATTTACAGACGAAATTTGATTATTCCTTTTTGTATATTAATAATATGAAAACTAATGATATTCTTAGCGAATTGTTTAATTTTCCCAAAGTGATATATATTGGTTAATTGTGAGTAATTGATTCAAAAGGAAAGTTTGATACATAAAAACTATTTTAAAGATTATGTTTAAATATAACAAGCTATGGATTGATTAAAAAATAATTAGCAATATTATAGGACATATTCATTAGTTTGAAATGCAGGATGAACCTGATTTGGCAATTATTTGTAATTATTAATAAGTGATTGCTAATATGATTAAAGATATATTAGCAAGCTGATTTATGTAATTCAGCCTTCTCTGTCACAAAGGTTTCGAGAACAACACCTATTGAAAGCTCATAAAGTTATTTTAATGGAGAGCAGATTCAATACAGGATATTATAAATAATATTTAAGAATATGAGAGTATTTTATCTGGAAAACACAAAATTTCCAAATAATTTAAAATCAAAACATTTAAGTATTTTAATAAAGCTGAAAATTGAATAATGTAGCTATTTAAAGAGAAATTAATTCAACATTATATCTATATAAAATGGAATGAGAAAAGTTTAGCTCTAGTCTAAATATTCAGATTACATGCTTGAGTAATAGTGAATTCTAATATATGTTGAATAATCAATTCATGAAGTATTTTTAATATGATTATTTATATGACCATTACATGTTAAGTTATTGAGTATATATATATATAATTATAAAACTATTTTTATAAAGAACAATAATAAAATAATGCAAGATTATAAGTATCCAAAGATTGACGCCAAGCATTTTCATTATCACAATGATGGGACTGGAAGGTAAGATTGATGTATCATTATTAGGGATCAGTATGTAAAACATACAAATGGTGGTCTTATGTCTTAAAAAATGCTTAGCTCGCTCGATTTGTCTCCGAAGGCTGATTTCACAAAGATGATATTTCCAAAGAGTGCAACTAAGTAAAATGTATTTTAATAGGTTAGTTCTCGAAGCAGGGGATTGCTTCCTCCTTAACATTAAAGAATTCAACATTATTTTGGGGATGGAAAAGGACGAGATTATTTCGTAACGATTAATGATGGTGGATAAGTGTAATTAAAGAGTTGGAAAGATCATCCGGATTCAGCATTCCCTGCTCAATTACGATAGTATGGAAGAGAATACTCTCAGCCTGACTGTGTTAAGTACATGATGTCAAACAACACAAAATTATAATAATTAACCCAAACGATGAAGTTAAGACAGAGTGACTTCACAAAGCATATCAGTGCCCCTAAGAAACAATCGAGTCCATAATTATAGAGTTTTATGCCGGATCTGAACGAAGGGGGAAAATACCAGACATACCAATAACTGAAGTACTAGAGTAAGGCATGTTCTTTTGCAGAATGATACATAATTTGATAAATCATATCCTCAAACGCACCTGATTTTGAGCTATCAATCTTTAGATAACTGGGTTGTCGACATGATTAGACAATTCTTCTCCATACAATTCAATAAACATTGAAGCTTTTCTTGGGACAGTGCAATAACATGTCTTTTCAGTAGGCTCTGAGTTTTCAAGAGCTTCAAGTTATTTGATGACATCTTTGAAGTTATTCTTAGTTACTTCAACCAATTTAGTATTGATAAGACAGATTCTAAAAGATATTAAATATAAATTACTCTTTAGTTTCAGAGACTGGTGGTTTTGGAGTTGGAGTCACGGGAGGAGGGACATCAATATCTAAGGGATAATAATGAGAATAGAGTACCTTTGGGGAAAACTGGTCTGGAAGCTCCACCACATAGATTCATTCTGAATTTACCAATGTGACCATTCCATGAAGGATAGAAACGATCCTTACCGATATTCAAGTAGACTTATGGTACCAAGAAATGGTTGACATTCTCGAAGAGTAAGGTTTCCTTTCTGTCTTTGAATTGAACGTATCCCTCTACCTTTCTGGTATCTCTGTTGTAACCATAGAAGATGAAATGCCAATTGGTTTATTGTTGTTTTTGTGGGACAACCTTGGCCAGATTTGGTTCTCCAGCTCCATTCAAATTCTTGTAGGTGTAGGTGGCGAAGGCATAAATACCATCTTGAGCAGGTGACACCCAGGCAGCCAAAGTTCTATCTCCCAATCTCTCAGCATTCTTGTTTGCTTCTTCTTTATTGATGTGGAGACGGAATGCTAAATGCCATTATTCCATAGCTGTCTCTTTCCACTTGAACCAACCAGAGACACTGTATTCAGATGGGAAAGCAGCTTCAGGATCAGATGGGATTTCCCAACACTGTAGCCTTGGCTAATTCAAACTTCTTGGATTCTTGAATGAGAACTTATTCAAAGGCCTTGGAGCAGACTTCTTTTGGTTGAGGATTGCAAGCCAAGGCAAACTTATTCAATTCATCAACATTGTCAAGATGAGCACCAGCACCAATCTTAAAGACAGCTCTTGTTAATTGACCATTGATGGCTGGATATAATTTGAGATCTGATCCTCCTATGACTAGTCTTAAGAATGTTGGTTTATCATGAGTGACATCAAATGTGACTGATTATGGTTCTTTGCCTGTGTACTTAACAAAACCAACTGATTGACTTGTAACACTGCTGTAACTGAAATGAATATATGTCCAAACTCCTTCAATGTCTCCATATTCAATGTTTTTGGCTGCGTTCCAATTACTGGTCTTATAATCATTAGTAATAAATGTGTATGCTCCTTGACCTTACCAGATGGCCAACAATCTGTCTCCCTTCTCAACATTCTAATATTCCTTATTGACTGTCAATCTACTCATGAAATACCATGGTTCACTCTTGCCCTAATACATTGGTTTAGGATGTCTGCTTAAATATCTAACCCAAAATGAGTATCCGTATTCTCTGATGTCTTTCAAATTCTCTGGAGTTGCTTCAATATCAGCCAATGGTTTGACATCATCGAATGCAGAATCTACAATAGTTTCATCACCCATCTAGCATTTAGGTTCTGGGAATGGCTAAGGTGGTTCAACTGGAATAACAGGTGGTTTTGGTAATTCAGGTGGGTTTCCTGGAGTGAATTGTGGATTGTATGGATCTTGGCAATTAACAAATGTCACATCAGCAATGTATCCATTGAATGCTGGGTAGAATTGATCCTTTCCTATCAAAATTCTCAACACTGGAACCAAGTAATGATTTGTATTGGGGAATTTCAAGTCTAATTTACCATCCTTGAATACAATGGATCCATATGCTTCTCTGGTCTCTCTGTTGTATTAGAATGTAATATAATGCCATTCAGTGTGTTTATCTTAGTGTTTAATGACTTAGGCTGCATTTGGTTATCCAGCTCCAAACATGTTTGTATAAGTATATGTGGCAAATGCATACAATTATTGATCACTTAACCAAACTGCAAGTGTTCTATCTCCCAATATTTCAGCATTCTTGTTGGTCTTCTAATCATTTGTTGTAATTCTAAATGCCAAATGCCATGGTTCCTACTTTGTTGGTTCCCATTTATACCAACCACCAATACCATACATGGTTGGGAAGAGAGATTTCTCGTCTCTAACATGTTCATAAAACTCTGGCTGAGCGGATTCATATTTCTTGATACCCTCAATCAATTTGCTTTCAGTCTTACCCTTGCAATCTGGTTCAGGTCTTGGATTGCATGCTAACACGAATTTATTGAAATCATCTTCAGTATTTACAAATGAACCAGCACCTAATTTAAGAATTGGTGATGAGATTTGACCATTGAATCCTGGATATTATTTGAGATCAGAACCACCGACAATCAATCTTAAGAATTTAGGTTAGTCGTGTTTGGCATCAAGAACTGTGAATTGAGTCTTGTCTCCAATTCTAATAGCACCAACAGCTTATCCTGATTTATAACTGAAATGAATATAGGTCCAAACACCTTCAATGTCTCCATAAGGAATTTATTTATTAAGATTAGGATTGCCTGAAGCAACATCATTGGTGATGAATGTATAACCAGCTTAACCTAACCAAATAGCCAATAATCTGTCTCCCATTCTAATGTTGTCATATGGATCATTATTAGTCAATCTAGAAATGAAATACCATGGTTCACTGGCTCCTTTAATGAGATTATCTGGCCATCTTGTGAGCCATCTGGTCCAAAATCCATATCCGTATTCAATTGCACTTCCCAATTTGTCTTCAGTAACCTTGAGGTCAACAACTTTATCACCACTAGAAGGCATGTCTCCAATTTAAACTTAACCACTAACACACTTTCTGACAACTTCAGGATCTGCAGGTCTGGGTGGTTGAACTGGATCTTCTGGTTTAGTTGGATCACTTGGTTTAGTAGGATCACCTGGTTTTGTTGGGTCAACTGGTTTGGGAGGAGGTGGAGTAGATGGTACTTAAGGTGGTTAAGGATCTTCTGGGAATACTGGTGTGAATGCTCCACTGCACAATTGCAATTTCAAAGAACCAATATGACCATTAAATGCTGGGTAGAATCTATCCTTTCCTACATTCACATAAACTGAATTGGTTAAATAATGATTGATGTTTTCCAAGTTAACATTTTCCTTTCTATCCTTCCATTACAAGAAACCAACAACTTATCTCTTAGCTCTGCTGTATCCGAGGAATACGAAATGCCATTAGGCTAATTGATCCTTATAGGGCACTTAAACATATTTATTGGGATCACCTTCTCCATTCAAGTTAGTGTATGTATAGGTTGTGATTGCATAGTTTCCATTGTTTCCAACAAATGCACCTATGGTTCTATCTCCCAACTTGGCAGCATTGGCATTCTCCATACCCTTATTTTGATGAAGACGAATAGCTAAATGCCATGGTTCCATGACTGTTGATCTCCATTTGAACCAACCACTAACGGAGTATTCATCTGGGAATGCTTACTCTATCTGGAGATGTGATTTCGATTAACTTCAACTGCTTTAAGCTTCAAATCTCTTAGACTTTTCAATCAACACAACTTCCTTAGCTTTATTACAAACTGGGAGTGGTTTAGGATTGCAATTGATGGCAAACTTACGGAATTATTCGGCTGTTTCTATGAATGAGCCTTATCCAACTTTGACAACAACAGATGTGAATTGACCGTTGAATCCTGGATAAGTACTGCCTTGTGTACCTCCTAATACAAATTCCAAATATTCAGGTTTGTCATGTGTAACAGCAACTGAAAAAGTCTTTGGTTCACTGTTGTCATATTAAATCCATGAAACTACCTTACCTGCTGAAGTATATGAGAATTGAACAAAGGTCCAAACTGCTTCAATATCTCCAAATTCAAAACGACCAGCAATTGTATTGAAGTTGTTATTCTTGTGATCATTAGTAGCAAATGTATATTCTGATTAACCTTAATAGATTGCCAATAATCTATCACCTTTTCCAACATCTTCAAAGTCTTTTCTGCCTGATAATCTGGCAACGAAATACCAAGGAGCTCTTTTGCCTTGATACATTGGTACAGGATGACGAGTCATGTATCTCATCCAGAATTGATATCCATATTCTCTAACATCTTACAATTATTCTGGTTTGTCTAACACAAAATCTACCAATGGTTTTTATGAATCAAAAGCACTATCCCCAATGGTTGTGTCACCCTTCAAACATGTTGGTTCCTTTTATGGCTCAGGTGGCTTAACTGGAACTTCAGGTTACTTAGGAACTTCTGGTTATCCAGGTGGTTTGTAATCGGGATCATAGGCACCTTCACAAGCAAAGAATTGGACATTAGCCAAATAACCATTATAAGCTGGGTAGAATTGATCCTTTCCTAAGAAAATCTTGTACAATGGAGCAAGATAATGATTGACTTCATCGATGTATTTGACTTGTCTATCTCCTTTTGTTACTAGAATAGTCAATACTCTCTTTTACACTCTTGAATATGCCATGTAAATGTAATGCCATTCAGTGTGTTTGTTTTAATGTTCAGTATTAATGTACTTGTTGGGAATTCCCTTGCCGAAGTTATCAGTGTAGGTATAGGTAGCAAAGTGATAACTACCTGATTTGCTCAAAAAGGTTGTGAGATCTCTGTCTCCCAATAACTAATCGTTCTTGTTGTGTTTTTATCCATTAATTGTAACTCTGAAAGCTAAATGCCAGTCTTCCTATTCTGTTGGTGTCCACAAGAACCAACCTCCAACGGCATAATTATCTGGGAATGGTCTTTCATTATCAGCAACAAACAAAGTGACTTCGCTTCCCTTGTTAAATTCTTTTGTTGATTCAATCAAATTGCTGACTCCTCTTCCCTTCTTGCAATCTGGTTCTGGTAATGGGTTGCATGATAAGGCATACTTTTGAACATCTTCAGGAGAACCAATGAATGAACCTGGACCGATCTTCAATACTGGTCTTGTGAATTAACCATTGAATCCAGGATAGAGTTTGAGATCATTACCTCCCAAGATGAATCTTAATTTCTTTGGAGCTTCATGTGTGATTCCTGCCAATTCAATTAATGAGGTTTCTTTGTTAGCATGAACAAAAGCAACAGCCTTCTTTTTCAATGGACTGAAACTGAAATGAATGTATGTCCAAACACCTTCAATGTCTTTGTATGGTTATTACTTATAGAGATTTGGATTAGAAGTTCCTTTATCATTTGTGATGAATGTGTATCCATCTTTACTTAAGAAGATTGCCAACAATCTGTCTCCCATTCTAATATTGTCATATGGATCATTTGATGTCAATCTTGATACGAAATACCATGGTTCACTCATTCCTTCAAATAATTATTCTGGATGTCTAGTCAACCATCTGCTCCAGAATCCATAACCATATTCTGTTACATCCTTTAAGGCTTCTTCTGGTACTTAGATATCAGCAACTGGTTTAACATCTGGGGCTGAGGAAGAATCTCCGATTGCAGCTTGACCTTCAATACATTTTTGCATAACTTCTGGTGTTTTAATGATGGGAGGAGGTGGTGACACTACAACTTCTGGAGTGGGTGGTTTGACTGGTTTAGGAGGTGGTTTGATGGTTGGAGTCTTGGGGGGTGGTTCAACAGTCTTTGAAGGTGGTGGAGTTGGACCTAATGGTGATGGACTTGGAACTGGTGTTGCAGTTCTTGGGAATTTAGGATCATAAGCACCATTACACAAATCGATTCTGAATTTGCCGATGATACCATTCCAAGAAGGATAATGGTCATCCTTTGCCAAATTGATTGAGAGTCTTTGGACCAAGAAATGGTTAACATTCTCAAATGTTCTCTCTTCTCTAGCTTCCTTGAAGTGAACGATTGAATGAGCAGTCTTTTATTTAAATGAATATCCGAAGTAGACAAATGTCCATTCTTGATTCTATTCTTGTGTTGGATTTGATTCATGATATTTGGGTTACCTTCTCCAAATAAGTTATTATATGAATAAGTGGACAACAAGACAATACCATCATTTGCAGTACCAATCCAACCAGCCAAATCTCTATCTCCCAAATTCTTTGCATTATTATTCTCCTTTGTGGAAAACACTCTGAACATTAAATGCCATGGTTCTTGATTCTCTACTTACTTCCATTTGAACCAACCACTAACTGAGTATTCTTCAGGGAATGGTGTTTCGAGACTAGTTTTGACTGTTTGTACTTTTGCAGTTTACACACTGTATCTAACAGCCTTGTGGATTAAGGTTTGCTTAGCTCTGTCGGTACAATCTAATTTTGGATAAGGATTGCATTTAAGATTGTAATCGAATAATTCTAATTCGGAATTAACATAAGATCCTTCACCAATCTTGAAGACTGGATTAGTGAATTACCCATTGAATCCAGGATAACTAAACTATCTACCTCCTACAATTAATCTCAGATATGTTGGGATATCGTGAGTGACATCTAATGAGACTTATTGTACCTTTCCACTAGCTCCGAATTTCAATAAACCAACGGCCTTCTTTAATCTTCCACTATATGAGTAGTAGACATAACTCCATAATCCTTCAATGTCTCCAGTTGGGACGTTTTGATTTACATTTGGATTACGAGATGCTTTGTCTAATGTTGTGAAATGGAAGGCTGTGTCATAATGCCAGATGGCTAGAACTCTATCTCCCATTTCTGCATCATTGAATTTTTGATTGGTTGTCAATCTGGATACAAAGTAATATGTATTCTTTGTTCTTCCTGAGATCAATTCATCTGGATATCTGCTCAACCATCTCAACCAGAAACCATAACCATAATCGGTGGCTCCAGCAAGGTCTTTGCCTTCGATCACTGAATCAGCCACAGCTTAATCTTAACTTGCACTCATATCACCAACAACATTAGCTCCTTTCACACAATCAATGACAACTTAAGGTGTAGGACTTGGAGTTTTTGGTTTAGGAGGTGGCTTAGCTGTTGGGTCTCTTGGCTTAGGAGTTGGATCCTTAGGTTTAGTTGGATCTCCTGGTTTTGGTGTTGGATCCTTTGGTTTAGGTGTTGGATCCTTAGGTTTAGTTGGATCTCCTGGCTTTGGTGTTGGATCCTTTGGTTTAGGTGTTGGATCTCCTGGCTTGGGTGTTGGATCCTTTGGTTTAGGAGGTTATGTAGTTGGATCTTTGGGTTTTGGAGTTGGATCCCTGGGTTTTGGAGGGATGATTATGATAGGAGTTTTGGGTTAGGGTTCGATTGGTTTAGGATCAACAGGAGGGATTATTGGTCTTTCTGGAGTAGGTGTATTATCACAGTGTCCTCTGATAATTTAAATTTTTCTGATTTCTCCCTCAATATTTATTGTGATAGGTTTCTAGCATTCTTCTTCTAATTCGAGGAGATCTAAAAGTAAGACTTCGATCATTTTGAACAACATCTCACAACAGGCTTTTCTGGTTTGAGTGTCGGTAGCTGCCAAAACTAAGTTAATCTATGATTTCATTCCATCAATATGAGGACGAGCGAATGTGTTTGGCATTTCGATAAGTGCCAAGGAGTCAAATTTATGTTTTAACATGTAAAGGTATTGAAGATTGTGAACTTAAACAAATGAGACCTGCACTTGTTCTTCCATTCCCTTCTTTGCTAACATTTACAATTCTCTCAATTCCTTGATGTCTTGATCTAATTTTCCTGTCTAAGCAAAAGCGAGGGCCTCACCAAGTTTCTGGAGACCTTCTTCGGCATCATACAGCTTTGACTTGTCACATCCGTAAGACTCTACGTCAATCTGAGCCAATGATTGCACATTTATCAAAGAGGCACTGGCAACTAAAGATAACATTCAATTCTTACAGCTTATAAGCCCTACAAGTGCCAGCAAGACAGCAACTCTGTTTGTCATAATTATTTAATTATAAAATAAAAACGGATTTAATATCCGATCCCCTTTTCTGCCATAGCGTATATAAGGGTAATTAAGTACAGATTTTGATAATACTCAGTAACTTCTGATATCTACCCATTATTTGGCACAACTCAAAGTAACCATTCAATTACACATTATTAATTTAACGTAAAAATTTGCATCTCCCTACTTAGCAACTCTTTTATGAGATTGTGCATGTCCAAAAATATGACAATTAATGATATTAAAAAACGAAGGGCATTCAAAAAGTCATCCCTATTGATATAACAAAGCTTGACATTATAGATGATACGTACATACAAGAGATTATTGATGATTAATTAACAACCAAAAAGAATTACACCCACCAACTTATAGGATTAACTTATTTAAATCTCCAAAGTTATTAACATTAAATGTAATCTATTCTCAACTCCTAGATGATACTAATGAAGAAAGCTAGTAAGTTCTTGATTATCAATTAACCATCAAGCAAAAAGAATTTTAGATTTCTTTAGGAAAAAAATCTACGACTTTCAGAAGAAACAGCACTCCTCATATGAGTAATTTTGGAATAAAGAAGAAAAATAATATAATGCAGAATTATAAGTTATATACTAGACCCATTACTTTTATCAACAATACAAAATATCTATATTATTCTAATTATACTGCTATTCTCCATTTTTATAATTTTCAAGATGCGCATTTTCTTAAGTTTGCTGACTCTCCTTCTTAAAATCATACTCTAAATTTCATTTAAATTTGCTTAAAAATTCCTTAACATTTTTGAAACCGATTTTGATTCTCAGATTAATAATAAAATTATTACAAAAGTGAATTTGAAATAAATTCATTCTTTTTTTTAGTTTATTCAAAAAAAAATATATATATTATTATTAATTAACCTTCATTTTTCACTATATATATTCTAGAAAAGGGATGAATAAAGGTAATACTATCATTTACATTTAAAGGAGTGTTACTAGATGCTTTGAATGATACAATCACTAATTTAAAGGTATTTAAAATATAATTCTGGTTATTCAACTTTGAAAATGTTAGCCATAACTTTTTCAATTAATAAGTAATCAGAAAGTGAGTTGTTGATGATAACTAATTAAGGCCTTGTACTTTGTAACATAGATTGAATTCTGTTTTAAAAAAAATATATTTATTGAAAACCTTGCATGTAAGTATTTTTCAACAAATTTGTTCAAGCAGTATTTAAATAAATATAATCTTGATTGCGATTTGAATTATAAACAGTTAACTGAGATATAATTATTTTATTCTTTTCTATAATATTAGGGGAGAGAAAATGGATATTAATAAATAACGATGAGTTTGATTGGCTCTTATTAAATAAAATAAGGGTTTATTAGATTAATCTAATGAAAAAATTCCTCAAATAAAAATCTAAAAATTCAATATTAAAATAAAAATTATTATAAAGTTTTAATGAAAAAAATAAGATTCTAATGTCTATAGAACCCAACAGAAGGTCAAGACATTAAAATTTTATTTTTATTTAAGTCTACTAAAATTAATTTGTGATCTATAGGTTTATTTAATTCTATATTTCATAATGACGCATTAAAAGTGATATAAATATATTACGACCTCCTTTTTAGGTATAATTTAATAAAATGTTAATATTGGTTCTATTACCCATAGTATACTTGGGATTAGCGCTAGAGCCTTGCTCTGTCAAGCAAGAATAAATAAAAGCCTACTTTTCAACATAGGAAACCTTTGAATGGAATCTAAAAGACCTATTTTCAGGATCCTACCTGAATTACACTCTTTCACCAAAGCAATCCTTCTTTACCATAAAGAAACCTCTACATCAAGAATATGCACCAAAATTACTCATTGAAGGTATAATTTTCATTAATTCTTAGGTATATCAAAAATTGTTGCCATCTAAGCAAGAACAGAATAAAGCTAAAACGTTTGGCTAAACCACTTTGCCTTTTTGGAGAAAAATTTAAACCAATTGTCAATTTATTATGCTGAAGGGTATGCTTTTTTGAATTATAAATTAGATTACAAGGAGATTTTAAACCACCATATTTTAATAAAAAAATTGTTTTTTCCTTGAATTAAGATATTTAATGCTTAAATTTGGAATATTTGAATGAGACTTAGTTTTTGGCCGATTGCTACAATGGAGGATAGAATCCTATTCAAAATTATTTCTTTATTGTTGATAAATCAGGTTCTGTTAAAAATGTCACAAATACTAATTTTGACGTATAAAACATAATCACAAAAAGAATCACTAGAATGATCACTTTTGTTGATAGCAAGAAAAGTCAAGTTAAAATGCTTTTCCGATCAACTCCAGCTTATGCCACTGGATCAGATCTGAAAAAAAATTCAGTAATTGAGATTTTTAACGCATCAACATAGAAATTAATCGATTCATTAAATTCATTCATCATAGGAACATTATTAGAAGTTGATGAACCTTTCGATTACGAGTTCAGTTTGATTGATTTTGAGGTATTTTCAGACGGAAAAATTTACATCTTAACTGCATTTGATGGCATCATAATATTATAGATGGATTAATGGTATGGCTTCAGCTTAGTAGACAAGATAGAATTAGTAAATGATGTAAGAGAATTTGATGTTGGTCATTTTATATCTCAGGATGGCTCTATTTAAGAAGTAATCGGAGTGTTATTTACAAACAGTAGAGCAGAAATTTATGAGAATAGAAATTTCAAGAGTTCATATTCCTTAGATTTTATTCCAGTTTATTCTACTTTATTGAAGATATCATAAGAATTATTGATAATATAAAATAAGGGAAAAACATTCTTAATCAACATATAAACTCATGATTTGATTCACAAGGAAGTTCTTGAAGGAATTTAAGGACTCTTAATCAATTAGTACTTATAGGAACTGATTTATGTTACTTAAGTTGATGCCAGAAGATTTACTTTATCTAGTGGCAAGTTAAGATTTTTATCTGGAGAATTGACAGCATCAAAGTCAGTATTAACTATTACTGCAAAGGATTAATTTGATAAATCATGCTATTCAACTGTTGTATATGGAATTATAAATTCATCAGATTCAAAAATATACCCATTATCTGATTTAGAATTACCTGATGTACATCATGACTATCCTGTAATGACTGCATTTTAAATTCCAGTTTCTGGACCAAATATTAGATATAATCAAACTTCTCAAACTCTTTCTGGTGCAAATGCAGTAACCCTAAATATAAAATAAGGAGGTTATATTAATGCTGAATCTATATATTCTAAAATTCCATCGGCTAAAGCCTCAAAATATGTGAAATTGATTAGTTTAGATGATGAAGACTCAAGAATATTAATCATCTTCTAAGAAGCATCGACCAAAGATGTCTTAACCTACATATGTTCAACAGATTCATATAATAATGGTCAAGTAAACTTGCAATGTATCAATTATAAGAAATTTGCAACAACCATTGATTTGGACAACACAAATTTCTAATGTTTCTTTTAAGAAGAATATTTGTATATTTTGCTTGTTGAAAATAAATACACTGTAACACTGTACTCAATTTCTTAATTGGAAATTCAATAATAATAACAATTTACCTATAGTTCATTTATGTCACCAACTATAAAATCTATCCATGTTGTTTCTAATAGATTATATGTTATCCTCAGTAATCAATAATTAGACATTTGGAACATTAACAATAAATAATAAAATTCAATTACAGAAGCAATAGTAAGAGCATTAGGATTTTATGGAAGTTGGAAACTTTAGAGAATTGTTGGCAATTCTAGATATCATCCAAACTTATTCTTTATTATCAATAATGATAACGTCATAATTGCAGATTTTCACAAAGAACCTACCATTATTAAGGTATTAACCTATACGGATTCTACTATAAATGTTGCTATTGGTAAGGATTCCTTCTTTGTTGTAGTACATACCAATGCAAAATCTTAAATAATAGAGTATGATATTTCAAACTATTGTAATATCTTTTAAATGAAAGAACTTCCTATATATAAGTACAAAATTTAACTTACATTGGCAGTCACAATCAACTAAGATTCAGGATTATTGTACATTGCAGCAAGTGATCCAGAAAATGAAGATTTAGCTGTCATTTTGGCTTATAGACCTAGATAACCATTAAGAGATTCTTTGGTGGAAGTGTTGGCTCCAAAGAGATCCTCAATTTATATTTACGATACCTAAATGGCAGCTGCTGGATATAAGCATTTCATATTTTATTAGAACGATGGGGTAAATCATAATATGGGATGGATGGACAGAGTTACTTCATATTAGATTGTACCTACTTATTAGACAAATCAATGGGTGAATAAATTCAGGTTAAATATAACTATGTGGAATCTAAAAAATAACCCTACTGTTTAATTAAGTCAAGCTATTGTTTTATATTAAACTAAAACTTAAATCAAATTCTTCAATCCAAATTAAGATCTTTAGATTGAAAAGTGGAAGTAAACAGAAATTCCTATCAATATGACAGGAACAATAATCGACTATTTACTCCAATGTTAATAATGCGGAGAGGGTAAAAATATTGATTTAGTATAACCATTAAAATTATTTAACTAAGAATCAGGAGACACTTTGAATGTAGTTGATTAGTATGTTCTATAAGGTTAGACAAATTAAGATACTAGAGTAGTTTTAATGTCGACTAATGTTATTCATTTTGTTAGAGTTTTTAATAAGAATAATCAATTTGTAAAAGATATCCTCTTAACCTCAAACCCTAACGCTCGTTGTTAAAGAATATTAATGAATTGGATTTATATTCTAGTTACTTGTATTGATGTTGTTTAATACTAGGTAGCAACTATTTAATGTTCAAGTTATTTTACTTGCGGAGATAAAATTACATTTTCACCCTTGAAATCAGATGTTAGTCACATTCCACAAGCCCATTTTAATGATAATTATCTGGTTTTTATTAATACTTATCCTTTGAACATCAAGAGCAATGATACTTAATTACATTACTACACAATATCTTTCAATAATTCAACCTATGTAACAACCTTTTCGTTTAGCAAATAAATAAGTTCTGTTTAACTATATAATGAACGCTTTGTTAAAGTAATGGTATAAAACATTTATAGTTCCTCTAATTATTTATATATTATGGCATTAACTGCAGAAGGAAGGTTTAGAATATATAACAATGGTCTAACTTTACTTGGAACTTATATTTTATCTGATATCATAACTCAAAGTGGAGGGGAAATAATCTCATCTCAATTTGTTGATTTTGCTTTAGTTTAAAACCCAACTTATACTGGTAGTGGCAGTTATATTGCTACTGTTGATATAGTGTTTACTTCTTAATCTTTGAATTACAAGTTTTAGTTGGTTTACGATTGGTACAATTAGAAACTTTAATCATTTAAATATAATTATGCGTTGAGTAGATATTTAGATGCTGAAATCTTGCCTGGAATATTTATTGATCGTTAGCTGTTTTAAGCTGCAATTCCTTACAGATATAATGATAAAATAGTGATTTCAACATATTTACTTCCTGATATTAGTGTAAGTGATCAACGCATGGTCTATTCTTATGGTGGTGTATCCGAATACCATGATTTTCGTAATCCCAACTAAGTAGCCTTTTCAATATATAACAATGTATTTTTAACAATTAATATTTTAGATGTTCCTAGTTGGTTTAACCAAAAACTATTTAGAAAAAGATTTTACTCTTAAATATTATGATGTTGACTTGAGGTATGCTTTGTAAGTTGATGATCAAAATGGAAAATTGTATGAATAAAAGGTAGCTTTAGAATTGTCAAATGATCTTTGCTCTGATTCCCAAATATACAACATTAAGATTGTTTCAAATACACTTTAAAATTAATAAGACAATCTAAATTCAACTGAAACAAATCAAAGAATTGAATGATTAATATAATAAAATTAATCATAATAAAATATTTACAAATATCTTATATACTTGGTATCCTTCACTAATAAGATGTTATTCTAAGAAAGATAAGAATAAAACAACTTTTTCTCTAAATTTACTTCGTCTATAAATGAAGAAACCTAAGACTTTAAGAGATCAAACAAAAATTATTTATTTCTGAGAATTGATATTAATAGACCCAAGCCATCTATTATTTCTATTATATTTGAATTAGTTTTATAATATATATATTCCTATGTAAGAAGAAAGATAAGTTTATTTAAGAATATAACCCCACTCATAAATTTATGATTCTTTTAACTTTATCCTATTTGAACCTTTACTATTACCATGATTTTGTTGTTTAAACATAAGGTATCACCTCTAGTATACAAAATTTAAATCAAATTCATATAAGCTTTAATGATGTTATTGATTTCCCCTTTAGAAGAGAATTTGACTTATAGTATTTAAATTTAAATTAGTTTTACATTATTTAAAAATAGAGTCCAAAATCTATAAATAAAAAATTTGTATTTAACTTCAGAATAATTTATTCAAAATTTATTCTGGATTTAAGGCTTGATTATCAAACTTATAACTATTTTGAAAAATTTAAGAAACTTCAAAAGCCATTTAAGTTTACAATAAGTTAGATAATTTTATTATAAATTAAATTTAATGTTGCAAAATGGATTCGTTTATTTTCTTAAATTCCATGTTCTATTTTACATAACTATCAAATCCATTAAGATTAAATAATTTTGGAATCAAAAATAATAAAAGAATAATGTAAATTATATTAAATTTGAGAATTGATGGATGAATATAACCAAAATATAAAATAATTATTGAACATTGAGAAAACTAAGTTTGAATAAGATAAATTTGAGAAAATTGTGCATTGCAATATCATAATTAGATTTACGATTATTTGTAAAGCATTTTCCACATTATAATTAGGTAAAAATTATAGTTATATATTAATATTATATATTCCAAGATATTGAATATTAAATTAATAAATATAGACTTTTTCTAATCTATAGTATTGAACATGTTGTTAATAATTAAAAATACTAAATCGAAAAAAGAGTTCTAAAATTAAATGGTGCGTTCATTAAATTGATCTTACTTCATATATAAATATTATAAGAACGAATTTTTGATTATTAGTAAAATGTTTACAAAATTTAAAGAGAATCTAAGAAAGATAGATATTTTTGGATAATCCATAACACTCAGCTTTCGTTAAGAGGAAGAATACAGAACTAGTTTAGGTGGAATACTTTCTTTATGCATTATTGGCACTATTATCAGTTTTTTTTACTCGAATATTATTGACTTTTTTTAAAAAAACACAGTATCATCTGAATCAGAACAGTAATTTAGTGAAGATCCAAGCGCAATTAAGCTATTACCAAATAATTTTATGTTCGCTGTTCAAATTGAATAAGACAATTTTACTACAACCCCTTATTTTAATATCACTGTGGAATAGAGGGCATATATCAGAGATGAAAATGGGACCTAGAAAAAGATGCCTTCTGTTTATGTGGATTTAGTCCCTTGTACGATTGAACATTTTAAGCCTATATTCGATTAATACAATGCGTCATTTGAAGATCAGTTTAAGCAATATAATTTAAACAATTTCTTGTGTCCAAATTTAGATCATCCTTTGACATCTAATTTGACAGTTGGAGGGGCATGGACAAGTAACACTATATTAAAATATATTATTAGGTAAAGAATATTCGTTCTTAAAATTTTCTGTTACCAAATGTAAGAGCAATTCCGGAAATAACTTTTCCTGGAAACCAGAATGTAAGACTGAAGAGGAAATGTTATAATTATTAAAATCTGTTGGCAGCTTTAGATTTTAGGTATATACCACCAATTATGTAAATTAATTAATATATAGTAATAGTTAATTAATCCTGGATCACCAAAGCATTTTATTCAACCTTACATAGCCATAGAATAATTTTATTCATTTGTTCCGAATGCTATGTTTGTTCAATCAGATATTTTCCTTCGGCCTAGAACAATCACAACAGACGATGGAATACTGATGTATCCCTAGAAATCCACTTAAACATATATAACCAGAGATTATATGGATAACAGAGAGCAATAAGCAATTTCAAATTTAGTGCCTGGATATTATGGTGCTTTCTATTTTAATAGGAGTCCATACTCTTATGATATTACTAGAAATTTTATGAGATTGGATGAACTTCTAAGTAATTTAGGGGGGTTTTCACAATTTATGATTGCAGTAATCGGCGTTCTAATTAAAATTTACAATCGTGAACACATGGTCATAGAAATGGCAAACGACCTATATGAATTTGATCTTAACAAAAAAAGAAATAACACTATGGAAGCAAACAACGCTTTATTAGCATCCACTTAAAGAGGAAGGGAAGCCTTAAAACGATCAATGCATAAAATCAAAGGGGATTCTTCTATTTAAATTAAGAGTATGTCAACTTTTAATTAGAAACCTATGATGGGATAGTTTTTATCTCCAAGAAGTATTGAGAAACAGGAGAGTCTCAAATTGAAGGAAGGCATAACTTCTCATCGATCAAGTAAACTAAAAAGAGTAAGTTAATTAAAGGTTCAATGCTCTGCTATTTTTGACTAATTCAAATAATTAATGGTTGCTAGTTAACATATTGGGATTAGTATAAAGTTGATATTGAGTCAAATTATGCCCTTTGAATGCATTTAATCAGATGAGTGCGTGGTATTAAAGAAAGCTATGTATATATATATTTATGATCTATTAATAGAGCTTAAGTGAATAAAGAATTAGATATATAATACATCATTAGGTAGTTGCATGAGATGGTAAAGTTAAAGAGAGTTATTTTCAATTCTGATTAAATTACATTGTTTAATTTTAGTCATAGACCAACAATCAGTTTGATTAGAGATAAGAGAAATAGAAAATCGACAGTGTAAATACTATAATAACTTTTAGACTCAAACAAATATTGGATAGTCCCAGTCATGAAATAGTTTTATCTCAACTATTTACTGATCTTGTTAATTCATATTAAAAATTGGTAGGATTGGATGATTAAGTATTGTCAGATGAACAAATTCGATTCAATTAGAGATTAATATCACTTTTGGGATAAAAATTACCACATTTATTGGAGAAGGAATTAGCATAAGCTTCTGAAGATGATTCTAACGAGGATGATCCAAAACCTGAAGATATTATCAGTCGATCCAGTTGATTTAATATTTTTGTTTATGTATAGAGGAGCATATTTGCTTAATTTGTAATTCGAATCCTTAAATAATTAATAATAATAATGTGAATGTATAATTTATAATGACAATTATAAATTAAATAAATTCGGTAAAATAAAACTGAAATTAGAATATTAATTCTGATCATCCCACTTACATTTATCTCTCTGCGCTTTGACTCTCTCTTTTTAGAAAATCTGGGCAACTTTCTTTGTTTGGATTAGTTAAAATCTAAATAAAATTGAATACAAAGGGATACTCTCATCTTCTGCTTTTCAAGTTTTGGACAATTAGCCATTCTATGACCCATGCCATCGCAATAGCCACAGGAGCCATTCAAATCTTCATCTGATTTAAGTTTCTCTAAGAATTAAGGGATTTCTAAAAATGATAAGAAATAGATATACTTTATTTGGATTCCACAAGTAGATATTTTAAATCCAATAGAATAGATTCCTCTTATTACCTATTAACAAAGGTTGTTGCTCTTCCAGTCTTGCCTTATCTTCCAGTTCTTCCAATTCTATGAATATATGATTCAATCTAAATATGAATGATATTGTACATCTTTTGGCATATCATAATTAATAACATGTTTGATGTCTGGGAAATCTAGACCTTTAGCAGCCACATCAGTTGCCACTAAGACATCTTTTTATCCATTCAAAAATTGTTTTAATGCTTTAGTTCTATCCTCCTATTGTTTTCCTCCATGTAATCCAACTACCTCAACTCCTTTGATTAAGAGATATTCATTGATGTCATCAACATCATTCTAATGCTCACTAAATATGACAACTGGAGGTGTTGTCTTTTTGAGACTATCCAATAAATAGTGTAATTTCTCTTCCTGTTTAACATAGAGTATTTCTTAGATCACATTCAAATTAATTTAACCACTTCTACCTACATTTATCACCAATGGATCGACTAGTGTTTGTTTTGTGAATTCTTATATCTTCTTTGGAAGAGTAGCACTGAATAACATAGTTTATCTAGGACCCTAAACTTAGGTATCAATTAATTAATCATACTGTGAAATGTTCTAAAATGTTTCTGATTTCTAATTCAAACACTTAATCCAACATCCTATCAGCTTCATCAAGTACTATAAATCTACACAAATCCATATTAATCTTTTTCTTATTAACCATGTCACTAATTCTTCCAGGAGTTCCAATTACAATGTGAACTCCATTTTTTATTGATTGCAATTGTGAAGACATATCCATTCCTCCAATGCCCAATAAACAATGTATTCCTGGGAATCCCTAAGAAATTTATGGCCAAGTAAGTTACCTTCTTCTAGAATTTCTGACAATACTATTTTGCTAATTCATAAGTTAGAATTGCCAATTCATGGGATGGTAGTAATATCAAAGCAAAAGGTCCTTCACCTCTAATTATGGGCATTTTCATCTACTCATCCACACATTACAGTAATGCAGGTAATAAAAACACTAAGGTCTTGCCTTGACCACTTGGTGCTACTCCTATGATGTCTCTTCCCATTAAACTTAATCATTAATTAATACATTACACTGTAGGCAATCCTTGCATTTGAATTGGAGTAGGCTTTTTAATTTTCATCTTACTTAGTATTTTCAAAATTCTATGATCAACCCTTAAATCTTAAAACGATTTAATTGGAGGTGGAGGATCGTTGCCTTCTATCATGATGGAATATTTCTTCAAAATTTTATCAATCTTATATTAATCCCACAACCTTTATTTCTTTTTAGGTCTCCACCTTTAAATATAAATATTGTGTTTTTACTTCGATTTAACAATCTCCTTGCTTTTTAACAGCATTAAAGTACTCCATGTTGAGTTCTTCATGGCGTTTTCTATTTGCATCTATTCATAAGCCTGAATCTTCTAGATATCCTCATCATTTATTTTCCTCGCATTCCCATTGTCAATTCCTTATTATTTCATCTACATTTTCTCCTAAACAAGAGACCTTTTCTATTCATCCTGTTATTGATGCATTTATTGAAAATTTATTTAATTTTAATAATCAAGCTTCCTCTTCATCTTCTTACTTCACTTTAGGCTAATTGGTCCTTCCTTCTGCAGATGCTTTAACTGCTGTAACTGCTGCCTTTTATTTAGCAGCAGCTTGTTCAGCTGCCAATTCTGTGTGGCTTTGGCTCCCTCTTTTGCTAATCTAGCTTCTTAAGCTAATCTTGCAGCGTATCCTTTCTCCTCTTTTCTTTTAAATAACAGCAGCAATTCTCTCTTTCAATTCTACCAGAGCATCTGTATTTTCTTCTGGGGGAACAGGATCTTTATTAATTCTTTCAATTTATTGTAGTATCATTATGATTTCCTTTCTTATTCCATCCCCAATTTTAGATGCTATTTGGTTTTCGTGCATAATAATCAATTTAAGAGTCTCCAATGATTTAAGGTTATTGAATTCATCCAATTTCTCAATCAAATTTGATCTAAGATTAAGGTGATGTAATTTTGGCAAATTCGGAATATCTGTTAAGACAACAATTTTGTTTGCTCTCAAATGTAATATATGCATTTCAGGTAATTAATTCAAATGACCAATCGAAATGATGGCATTTTAGGCAGCCCATATTTGCTTAAGCTTCAATAAATTCTAAAATCTAAAACATATAATATATTAATTTTACCCACAAATGACTCCAATTTATTGTTTCTAAATTCAAGAATTCCAACTGTATTATACCTATTAAAACCTTATGCACTTTTAATCAGAATATTTTCTATGATAACATCTTCAATCTTGGGTATATTGATTTATCCAAAGTTTTAATTTTATTATTGTCCAAATTTAATTCTTCCAAGAACTCAAATGTGTTTTGAACATTGATGCAATCCAAATTAGTAATTTAATTGAATGACGAATGCAAATTCATTAAGTAATTAATGGTCTACAAACTATTCACCTCAAGTAATTGATTATTTGCAAAACTAATTTTTCTCAAATGCACATAGTCCTACATTTAATTAAGCAATCTATCTATTTTCTAAAATGCTTTACTGCATTTGTACCTTATTTTCACATATTAATTCCACAAATGCTTACCCACTTAGATTGTTAGTTTTACAAATCTCTTTAGTCCCTCTTTAATATCATTATGTAACTTTAAATTTAGAATGACTCTGGAGTATAGTACTCTTCTTGTACACATCTGGCTATTCGGGTTCTATTGGTTCTACTCATTCAACATCCTGCTTCTCTTTTCCTTCATCTTATTGATCATATTTATAATCAATAGTAAAAATTAAATTATTTATTATAGAGTAATATTATTATGGATCAAATTCAATCTAAACTCCTATGTTTTTTTTACAAAATTAGAAGTCCCCTAATTTTCTAAAACGATGATTGAAAATTCTCCAGATAGAATTTTCTCGTATTAAGTAAGTATTTTGGATGTAAGTCTTAAATCTTTACGACAGCATTAATGATTCCTTTATCCTCCATAAATACAGTCAATAAGCATCCTAACGAACACCAAATATCAATTTTTTAACAAGTACCTCATAAACAATTTAGCTCACCAACATAAGGCTAATAAATATACGTAAACACATGCTAACTGCTTTATATCACTCTGGATTAGATTTTCCTATAGAACAAAAACAATAGAGTAGAATAGAATTTAATAATATTTATCAAAACTCAATACCTAAATTTAGTAAAGAATTTCCTCATATAATAGAAAATATAAATTTATAATATCTCTTCTCATGGTTTTCATAGTGGTTGAAGAGCATTATGGAAAATATCAATAATTAAAATATAATCCATGGAATAATCATAAAATTTAACTAAAAAGTAGTTTTAAGAGTTAGAAAAGAAAATTCAAATCTCCTTTAATAATATCTTTAAAGCAAACACTGTGCGTAGCAAAGAACATTCAAAAAGTGATATCTAATTGAATGGTGAGATGATGAATTTTATTTTAAAATTTCACAATGATGAACAAATAGAAATGGCTATAAACTTTTTTAGACTACTAACAAAGAATCTTAAGAATCATATCTATGATTATGTAGAATATTATGATGATTATAATAGATCATTCCTTCTTTAGGTTGTCTGAAATTTGATGATTAAAGAAAAGGGTGCTAGAACCTTGAAGTTTTTATAAAAATTTATGAGAATTATATATAAAGATCGAAATATCTCTTGACTTCGTTCTATTTTGCAGTAAATTAATTTATATGTTAAGATTAACCTCCTACATCAGAATAATCTGTTGGAAACTCTATAAAATTATTTAAGCTATCTATTATTTGAGAGATTAAGCTCAACTCATATTCCTAAATCATTATATTGTTGCTTTTTTTAGCAATTGGATGTTGCATATACTCAAGTAGATCATAGTTAAGATTCCTGGAAGAATCTTACTCTGGTCCTGAATAAGTTTGGAGACATTTTAATTAATTTACAATAGGGATAGCCAAATATCGAGATTATTCTAGATTTTCCAGATCAAATTTTGTCTCATTTTAAAAATAAATATTAGGGACTGTTTAATAGTTGGATAGACCAATGTGAAATTCCACTTTATTTGAGAAGAGTTAAAAGGGAAAAGGAATTGAATGACTAAATACTAAATTTTTAAAGCAATTCAATCAAATAAAAAGTTAATTCTCTTTTAGAAGACCACCTCCTTAAAAATTATAAAGATGTTATTCTATCTGAAAAAAAGCCCTTTAATTTAGGATATCTTCTTTAGAATTTTCAATATGAGGCATAGTAATATCAAAACGATTTAGAACTATTCAATGAGTTATATTTAACTCATGATCCTGATGATTAAGAGATAAAAATGAAAATCAAGCAGAAGATCATATAAGAAGGTAACCAAATTTTAGAAATGATAATAAATGAAGAAATAAATTAAAAATTGGCTCATCGTTTTATAATTTCCTTGTTTTAGTTATTTCAGAAATATCTTAAAATGATAGAAATCTGTTTGTGTCATAATACAAATATTTCATCTTTATTAACAAGTGCATTCGAAGAATTACTTAATTGTTAAAATTAGGTATCTCTAAATGATTATAGTCTTCTAGAATATAGATTTTCAAGAATACTTTGTCTTGTACATAGAAGTAGAAATAGAGAATGTGATCAATAGCTAAATTAACAAGGAATAATTAATTGATTCAATTCAATTATTGTTGTTTATATCTGAAAATCAAGATTTCACTTTAGTATATATATATGAAATGATTTTAGTATTATCAAAGTCGGTTAGCGTAAAGATTATTGAAATACTATCGAATATTAACCAATCATGAGTCTTTTTAAATCTATTTGAGGACTGAATCATTAATAATCTAAAAGATGTCTAGCCTAATGGGAAATTAGAATATCTACCCTCTACAATTAATGATAGAAGAATTCTAAAAAAATAGTGACACAACTTTTGAATTTCGAACAGAAAATCATAAGTTATTGATTGCGCAATATCCTTTATTATTAAGATATCAAGATTGGCCTAAATTCTAATAATAGCAAATAGAATTAAATTAAGAACTTTAAACAGTTAATTAGCTAAAATTGCAATTTGAATAATAATAAGATTAAAAATTCATTAATTGGTTAGATCTGATATCTTATGTTGATATTGAATGTTCAAAGCTGTAAATAACATTCCGTATCAGTATCCCTTAAGCAATAATCTTATTTTCATATTAATTCTAAAATGAGTTGATGAGTATTAAGAGAATATCATAAATCACAAAGCTATAGGAATACTTTATTTTATAAAACTGTGCAGAGATGAAAGATGCAAAAATTTTGGAAGAAGTCATCCAGGACGACGTTAAACTATATAGATTTAATGAGGAATTGAAGGACTAAGAAGTAACATAAATGAGAAAACTAGTGATCGCAACTGCCTAAATCCCTTTTTTATATTTAAAAAAATGTACAATTTTTTTTTAGCATAATAGCAAAATAAAGAAAAAATCTATATTCACCCATAGAAGCCTTTATTATTAGAACCTTGAAGAACTAAAAAAAAATTTTATTTTAAGACTTGGTTCCTATTATTGAAAATTTTATAAAACACACCTTTAATGAGAGGGTTTAATCAGATCAAATAACATCTATTGTTCAAGATTTGTACGAAAAAGGTTATTTAGAAAAAGATGAAACTAATCCAGAACTATTGAAGTACGTTTGAAAGAATGAAACATTGAGAATTTATAAAATAAGTATCAAAATATAAGTTACAACAACATTTCATTAAAAAAGGGTCTTCACATAAAACTAATAAGTATTCCAAGTTGGAATCAATAGCAATTAAAGAACTTAGAATATCTATTCTCATTTTTTTTATATCAATTTAAAATTAAATATAAGACAAATAATTATAAGAAATTGATAAAATTTAATTATATTTTTCAAAAGACTTCGTTTAATTTTAAAATCGATATTAAACCAATAAACAGAAATTGGGTATTAAAAGAGTTAGTTTATTATCATTAGAATGAAATCTATAATAATGAATGACCTTTATTGGCCTTATACCAAAGAGTTACTGAATTATCAAAGATAGAAGTGAAGGTGGTTTATTTTTTTTAATTTGGATTCAAATTTTTTTTGCCATACATTTATTTAAATATACAGTATTTTGTTAATTAAATCATTAATATTACATATTATCTAATACTATAAACTGGTGCTAATTTTTTGAAGACAAAGCATTATTTTATATATTTATGAATTGCTTAGAGATAAACACTCAAAAGGATTGGTAGGAATACGTGGTTAATAATTAAAGACCTGTGGTGGTTAGCTTTTTTGCTGAATGGTAGATTGTTTAACAAATAAAATTTAGGTGTGCCCCCTGTCAAAAGCTTAATCCTTAATTAATTTAGGAGGTGGAAAAGAATCCAGAAAAATGGTAGCTTGCTTTAGTTAATGTGAACAACGATGAACTTTATGACGTAGTGCAATAATTTGCGGTACATGTGTTATTTGATTATTATTAGATGGCTTAAGTTCCCTCGGTTTGTCTATTTAACATGGGAACTCAAACAGACTCAATGAAAGGCTATAGCGAACGAAAGATGAAGTCATTTTTAGAAAAGATTAGAGGCTGAAATTTACTATTTATTTAAATTGTGATATATATATATAAATTATTATCAAAAGGAACTGAATTTATAAAATTTCTTTTATTATTGTATTACTTCTAATACTTAGGATAAGAGAAACAAATAGGATAACTAGTAACGCTTTCTAATTAAGAAAAGATATTTTGAAAAAAATCTTGAATTAATTTTATGAATTAGAAAATATAGTGGGATTTCTATTTATTAAATACAAATAAAGCTTGTATTTCAAATATATTCAATATTACCTAAACTATTTTACAAATTATTTTTTAAGAATGAATTAAGCGGATTTGTTAATACAATTGAAATTGAATTGTTTTATTTAATAGATAGATTTAAGTTATCTGATTTATTAATATTAATCTAAGTCTTTTTGGAAAATTCACTTAATATTACTAAGCTTAAATAGAAAGTTGAATGTTTAATTTTCCTTAAGAATAATATCTTAAATAATGATTTATGATCCTTCTAATAAACTTTTTTCTATCTATAAGCTTCTGAGTTTATGTGAGTTCCTAAAATTATTTGTAATAATAATAATAATGATATAATTATTTTAGAGTATCTAGTTATTAACAAATTAATTATTTCATATTCTTGATTGTTATCATATTATAATAAATAAAAATGAATCCTTTTACATTAACTTTTTTAGACAAAAATCTAGAGAAGAAATATAAAGAGAGTTATTCACTTGAGTTATCCAATGCATTCAAATATACGATTGCATTAATGTCAATTTCAAATATTACTTTGAGTATTTTTTGGATCGAAAGAAATGAAATACTGATAGGCTCTATGTTAGTAGCATTCAGCTGTTTGTGGACAATAACCTTTTATTATATAAGGTTGAAATAATAACTTACGTCTGCAGTTGGGTACTTGATTTCAGCCTTCAGTTTATTGGCTTCCTTTTATCATCTGATTCCTATATATTACCCTGATTTCAAGGATGAATAGTATGAATGGATTTTCGATATTTCCTAGATTTTGGGTTTGAATTTTGCTTTAACCCCTAATTTTGTTTTAAATTAACTATTATAGATGACTTATGCATTTTTAAGATTGTTTATGCATAACTATAAAAACTTTCATTCTTACACATTCATTTTCCTGCTCTACTTAATACTGTTTTGGTAAAAGGAATATTTTCGATAAAAACACAACAGGTCACTGTTTTTACTAAATGAGCAGTAAAAATCCTCATTTTCAATTTGGGATGAATTAATTGATGAAAAAATAGTTTTATTAACGTATAATGAGCAATGGGAGAGAGTTGAATTGCTCCATGCTAACTAATCAATGCATAAATTTATTTAAGTCGAAAATAAAGATTTTCTGAAGGATTTTAAGGTGATTAACACTAAAATAAGTCTTAATTAATATCTACTGGAGAAGGTCAGGGATAAATCCAGTAATTTTAAGATAAAGGTTATACACACATAACTGAGAGAGCGATTCATAGTGAAAGGTCTAATAAAAAAATTAATAGATATTAAAATTACAATAAAATTTTCTGAAGGCTAAACCTTTGTGACTTAGTAGTGGAATAATAACTCTTATCTAAAAGTATTATAAAGAATTAAAAAGACCAATCAAGTACTATATTATAAGGAGACTTTGAGAAATCTGCTTTACACTTCCTATTATATTAAAGAAAGGATAATTGAATAAGTAGAGGTGTTGAAATATTAGAAGTTGAGATTATTCCTAGATCAAATTTTAAAAAAAGGCAACATTCAAATCAATTTTCAAATAAATAAATTTTTCACAGTTCTCCCTTTATTTTTTACGCTAATTTCCTGTTTAATCAAGATTTACAATACAAATGAGATCTGCTTAAAATAAGAGAGCATTAATAACATTCAATTAATAATATATGGACGAGAAATGGATTTTCCAATACACATATAAAAAGCTTATGAGAAGATAATCAGCAATTTACTATGTTAAATAGGATAGAACAATTGCAACTATCAAATGGAGTTTTGTTCTTTGATTTTAGTTAATCAATTAGAAATGACTCCAAAAAATGATTAATTAGTAACATTCAGTAATATTATGTGAACTATATTTTATATTGTATTGTTTTGATTTATAAATGTGACTATATATTTTTCATAATCCTTTAGCCCATCCCAAACCTTACAAAGCTTCAATTCTTAAGTTTTCATTTTACTAAGTAGTAAAATTACTTTATTGATGAATGTGTTCATAGACTTGAGCTGCTTTCAAGACTGTATCGGCAATGACTTGATAGGCCGAGCTGTAGCCAGTTAATTAGACACTATTGAATCTATTTGCCTAGAAATATTTGATGAATGAGATACTATTTCTGTTGGGACTGAAGATTGGCTTTTGGCTAAGGTCTTTTGTAAGATGGGAGCATATTGTTTAGCATAGAAATATCTGAGTTTTGGATCTTGATAGTGTTCTAATAAAGAGTAAGCAATTTTATTTGGGATTGTGGACATGACCAATTCTCTAATTATAATATAGATGATAATTACGGATAGACGATTCCATTGTAAGCGATATTGAGGTCGTTGTCAATACCATTGTAGAGGGATGTGTAATACATTTAGATAGTGGGTTTGGGATCAAGGATGATCTAATATGCATAGTGATATAATGTTTACAGTTGGTAATTGGAATGCAGCACATTCAGCAACAATTTAACCATTACAAGCTAAACCGATATCAGAGGCAGCAAGGGCTGAGAATTTTTCAGATTCAGTTTCGACTTGGATAACTTTGGCAGGCCATTTTAAGGAATTGATTGCTTTGATGGTTTTGTCTTTGTGTTCAACAAACTCTGGGACTGACACTATGATTTTGATTTGATCAGCTGGATAGTTCTTCATTTCATCAAGTTTGAGGAATCTTGAGATACCCTCAGCTACAGTTTTGAGACAGAATGGTATTTCTTTGGATGTATTACCACCTGCAACAAAAATGAGTAATTCCTGATCTCCAATGTTTTATTATTATCTATATTTCTTTCTTTATTCATTGACTCTATCGGCAAGGAAGTCATCAAATCTGAAGAATTCACCTCCTGGGAGATAGATGGTATCATTTGTGACTAAATCCTTGTATTGAGGACTGTTGGACAGGAGATGTCTGAATGCTCTATAAAGTCCATCTGGTCCAACTTATGTGTGAGGGAACGTGAATTTCTCCCAATTGCTCTTTGATTAGATATTAATGATATTGTACTTGTCTCAATGGGGTTCTGGTGAACCAATGATCTACGTACTTTTAACCATATTGAGGTTAATCTTTATGGGTCAAACCATATTGGAATGTAGGAGGACAAATGCGATTGAAGTGACGATAGGAGTCTCTTAATTTCTTGTAGAATTGAATCATGAAGAATTCATTTTCGAAATTCAAGAATGCTGATGGTTGGTAATGTTAAACGATTTCGAAGTATTACTTATCAAGTTTATTCAAAAGCTTTTTTATTGATCCATCTCTTGTACATATGGACTGGATGCATTGCATTCTCAGTACTAACTTAGCAATAGAGTGTACGCCAATCTATAGAAATTTCTGAAGGGGAAGAATGGTTTGTATTGGAATTCATGATAATCTACTCCAATCGTTTCTAATCCCTCATGACCCATTTAAGGACCTCCGATTCCAACAAAACGGAATTCAGTATCTGGTTTGGCTACCTTAATGGTTGACATCACACGTGCCAAGTGCACATCTGTTGAAGGACAAGCTGCAGACAAGAAAATCGTAGCTTATTTCATTAAATATTAAATCTAATAATAATCGAAAGTTGCTTCCACACATCTTATCTACAAAATCCAACAAATTTCCTTTGATTTTCCTATAATCCCATTACCACAGCTTATCAAATACTCATACAAAAGAGATTGCACTCATAATTTACTTAATTATCAAATCTTAAGGCATCTACTTTACAAGTAAATGGTTTATCAGATAGCAAATGTATCCAACACAAGCATAAACACTCAATAACTTAATATTTTAAATATATTATTATTGCCCTTTAGCATTTAATTGCTTTAATTATTTTCGAAAAAAATGAACCAATTTATTTTTACAAACATTTCATCTTCTAGAAACACCACCAATATATATATCATCATAATCTAATCATAAATCTGATTGAGATGATTTATATTATGTAGTTCTTCCGATATCTTCTTCAGAGGAAACTGAATTGATAATGAATTTTTAAGAAATTATCATTATATTTAATCAAATGTAATTTACAGATCTTTCAAAGACATGGTTGAGTCCTTGAATTCTCTAATAATTGTTGTTCCAGGAGGATATAAGATTCTCCAGGTGAATGTCACAGTTGTCGAATATTGAAGTCTTTGGCTAACTCATGATCACTTAAGCGATGTGTTCAGCTGAGTGAGCAAGAATAACATCCTTAAAAGTTACTCCTTGTGCCTCTGGACTCATCAGATCCATTTAAACAAGTCCGTTCTTATTGAACCATTTTGGATAATCTAAATTTTTTAATAATTAATACGTTTCATCTAATCGGCTATCTATGATATTTGGCTCATGAAACTAAACGAGTCCTGAAACTTCAAGAACTAGTACTTTCTACTCAAGCTATTTACATTCTATCATCAATTTTAATTAAATACCAAATTCCAATTCTCATCTAACTCTTAGATGATCAAAAGTTAGTTGACCTCATCTTGACTTAATTTTGTGAATTGCTTCTAAGCAATCTCAGAATAGTCTCTTAGCAAAAACTTTAATCCTAAGACATTGGCAATTGCTTGATTGCTATTAGAGGTCAACTTTCTGTACATAGATTTTAATAATACTAAAACGATTTTCTTTAAAGTATTTAAATCAATTTTAAGTATGTAATTAAATTAATAATTTGTCATCTTAATATCTCTTAATTTCAATTTATAATTAAATTGAACAACATTCATCTTACCCTCCATTAATCTCATTTTAAGAGAAAAATCAATTTTCAGTTTTAAGGAATCATTTCTCTAAATACACTGTCCATTTGTATTAAACTAGACCTTCTCACTTATACTGTTCAGATTTAACACGTTGCGAAAGATAACAATTATATTATGTTGCGTTAATTATGTTGTTGAAAAAACTGAAAAATTATTATAATTATATAATTTTATAATAATTTCTATTGTATCTTATATTAATTATGTAAATAATCTAAAGAAATTATTATATATTGGGTATAAAATCAAAGTTGAGCTGTAGTCTTCTAAAAACTTTGGAGCATTTCCTCAGTCTTAGAGAAGTTTGAATTCCAATTTTGTAGTATTTAAGTGTCAATAACCTTTGGCCCGTCGCATACAGTTGCAATTTAGGTAGATGAGACTTCATTTGCCAATTATTCCATTGAGTAAGCCAAAAGAATGTCTTTTACAGAAACTCCGGAACACTCAGGTGTTGTTATCTCTACAGTAACTACGTTTTCTTTTTATGTCCACTTTGGATAATCTAATAATTATAGATTTTAAAATATTACGATGCATTTCATCGGCGATTGTGGAAATTGATCCCATGAATGCAAAAGTTTCCTTGAATGAGTTGAATTTGAATTCTTTGACAAGCTTTGAAGAGTCACTTGATGGCTGCCAGGGTAGAGAATGGATCTCAAGAGCAGAGTAGATTTGTTCGGAATTTAATCTGGTTACTGAGACAGATGGCACATCTTTGAAATCTCTAATGAATATTTTGAGAGAATTAATGATTGCTGGTGTTCTAAATCCAAGTTCTGAGATGTATCTATACATGTTGAAGTTCCTAAGATGTTTTTATTATTACAATTGCTTCAAACTCAGAATCACTTATCAAACCCTTATTAATACGAACCATTATTTTTTCAAACGCAATATGATGATCAGTTATATATTTTTTAATATTAATCCTAGCCATCTAATATGATCTATCGTACTAATAACTACAGTAATCACAATGATCTTACAATAGCCTTTAGTTATATGATAAACTTAAACACTAGAGTTCTTTATAAAAATAATTATCATTCTCATAAATACATTACAAGTAGGAAGAATTGAGAAACCTTCCAAACTCAATACCTTGACCAAGGTTAAGAGTAGTAGAAGGATCAATATTGTTTGATAGATGGTAAAATAAGTGTGCTCAAACATAAAAAATAAAAAATGATATTTTTACATACATTATAAAATTAACAATTCATATTACTAATAAAGATTATAAACCATTGTGTTACGAGCAATTTTTATGAAGTTATTTCAACTTGTAGTATTAATGTTTATAGTCTCTCAAAGTAGGTTAATCATCAAACAACACTTCAAGGGGGATTAATATAAGAGAGATTAAATTGAATAATTTAATGATGCAAATGCTTAAAATGATTTTGAATCAATTGAAGAATAAATATAAGATTAAGAAGAAGTGAAATAATCTGAATAGCTTGAAACATAATAATAAGACATCACTATTTAAGTAGATTAGATCAATTCATAATAAAGTGACCAAGCAACAATTTAATAAACTGATGAGTAAATCCAAGTTTAAGATGAGATTCCACAATATTAAGAATAACCAAAAAGCAAAGATCCAGAATATTTTGTAATAGAAGATAATATATATACTGCTGAAATTATATAAGAAAATGTTGAATAATTATAAGTTTAAGAGAATGTACCAATAGTTGAAAATAATGAAAATATTCAAAATTAAGATGATATCCAATAATAGGAATAGGAGTAATCGTAGCAAAATGAAGAAATAATTGTGAATTTAGATGAATTATTAAATTAATAGTCAGAATAAATATCTAATCAAAATTTAGATTCAGAAGTTAATGAAGATATTTAAATCATTCCAGAATAATTGAGGGAAGAGAATTATGATCAAAATCCAGAAATTCGAGAATTAGAATAATAAAATGAAATAAATAATAATGGTTAAAATGATGATTAAATATAAGCAGAAATTTAATAAGATTAAGAAAATACTTTGATTGACCCTCATGCAAATGAATATGCAAGTAATGGGCATTTAAATCACGATCATGATAATCATCATGACCATACTCAACATATTAGTAAAGAAATATTAAATAATTAATTTCAAAATGAAATCTAAAATAATAGTAATTCAAGCGATCCCATTAATTCAATATCACAATAACCATCATGCTCATTTGATAATAAATTCTCTTGCTCAGACTATACTCATACATTATATAATATAGGAATTGAGATAGAAAATAAACCTCTTTATTAAGAAGAATTGTTATAATATGTTCTAACTCATTCCTATTTATAATATTATACGAATTATCCAATGTAATTTTTTGGTGTTTTGGCTAATGTATTTCTATTTTCTTTGGTGATCTTGAAAAATCTAGTAACAAAGAAACAAACTCCATATTCAGTAAAAATTATCAACTTATTATTAGTCACTAATTAACAATGAATAATATAATGAAGATAATTCTTAATTTTAATATTAAATTAATTCATTAGACTCTACTTTATCAGAAATAAATACTAAATTGGATACTTTTACAAAATCTTATTAAAAGATGTAGAAGGATCATCAATTGATTAATTAAAGTATTGAATTCTTTATATTAATAGTTATAAATGACCTTTAAACAAAAGTACTTGCGAATTTAGAAAAAAAAAAACTGAAAGAATCTTGAAAATCTCTGAGTGAAAGTAATGAAGATGATAATATTGATTATGTATATTTATTTTCAAGAATAATACCCTTACAAAAAAGGATTGATATAATAATATTAATTTCAATGGAATTATTGTAAGTAACATAATAATAAGTTTCAAGAGTGGTTGGGCTATTCAAGGGGCAAATTGATGATAAATCTTTGGAAGCCCATAAAAATTTATTTGATCTCCACAAACACTATGAAGAGGCATTTTACTTGATTGAGAACAAAATTCCCATCACCAAAATTCCAATCTAAGCAAACAAAGCTATTTATATTATCAAAGAATTGAATTTAAAAGTTATTAAAGTCTACAAGGCCAATAACTACATCTGCAATTGTGAGAAATTCAACGCTCGTGAGTTCTAATTTTGCCCTCATATTTTAGCAGCCATGATAGCTGATGAATTAGAGATTTGTACATCTCAAGTGAGAATTACAGACGAAGAATACCTTGGACTTATAAACACATTTTGAGTTCCAATTAAGGATTATTAAAATAAGTAAATACTTCAAACGTATTCATACATTCAACAGCATCCTTCTTTTTCTTTTTTATTTTCTTCACTCTGCTATCCAATTTTCTATCCAGGTGTTTGCTGAGTTTTTTGAGGCCTTGCAATAATGAGATAATTGATACCCTGATCCTTTTGATCCTTGAGAATCCTTTTTGGCTATCAATTTTCTAGCTAAAGAAAGGAAGGCTTTAGACACTTAATCAGCAGTCTTGGCACTCACTTCCATGTGTGCCATTTTCCTTATTCCAGCATAGTCTAAGGCCTTTTGTGTAGTTACTCTATAATAGAGGAGATGGGCAATTACACTTTTTCCTCAATGTCACTTTTATTTCCCAGCAATAATAATTCGACATTTTTTTCAGCATATGAGTCCACTTCATTGATCCAAAATTTGTCAATATCTTCAAATGTGGCAAGGGAAGACACATCATAGACTAAAACAATACCATCAGCTCCCTTATTTTATAAATAATTGGATACTTTGTAATATGCACTTGTAATAGTTCTAAACCTCTCTTAACCAGCAGTATCCCAGATTTGCAATTTGACTTTTTTTCCATCAATTTCGAGAGTTTTAAATCTGAAATCTACACCGATTGTAGTTAAATAGGAATCGCTGAATGTGTCATCTGAAAATCTTAACAGAAGTGAAGATTTGCCAACTCCTGAATTGCCAACGATCACTAGCTTAAACAAATAATCATATTCCTTGATCATTTCGATATCTTTATTATTTAAATAATACAGCACACAGAAGTTGTCATTATATATAATTCATTCCGTATTATTTATACTAGAAATCAATTTAACATAAAATATTGATATACATTTTAAGTTCAATTTTGGATAGATATATAAATACCTACCTTTCGATTACCATATACAATAATGCTTGGTTATCTGAATTACTTCTCATAACTTTGAATAAAAATATAATCTTTATTGAGGTAACTTAATTTCATTCTAATTTTGAGTATCAATATTATTAGATAATAATAATTATTATGGAAGAGAAGAGTAAAGTAGAGAATAATCTGAATTCAAATTCAATTGAAATGGAATGGTTAAATTAAATAAATCTTTCGTTTTTTAATGAATTAGTTTTGTGATATAATGTTCATATAAAATACCCTTCTGCTTTGATTCTGTTGTATAGATGTAACTTTATCGTTTTTAATATTTATTGATTTGATTATCCAAATCATATACTTATCATTCTGAATTTACAATAAGAAATCCAATTATAATAGTACCCATCTAATTAAAAAATGAGTATTTTTAGGTATTTCATCAGTATTCAGAAGTGAGGGTATGATTTAGAGCGTGCAGATCACTATAGTTTTGTCAATTTTGAGAATAGAAATTTAAATTATATATAATTTTAATTAATAAAAAGGATGAACAGCCCATTGCCATTAAGTAAGAGCAATGATTTGGACTAGCTGGGAACAAAACGGATTTCTGGTTAGATGAATGATCAATTCATAGAGACTATTTTCAATGTGCAAAAATAGAATGAGGAGCAAGAACCTCAGAAGGAATAAAAGTATCGAGTGAGATATACAGAGAAGTTATCGAAAGTTTATTATTTGTATCTGAAATTGATTATGGGTCGATAATTGGATGAGAAGGAGGATGAGGAATTTCTAGAATATTTAGATCATAGATCAACTGAAAAAGGGAGAATAACCAAAATGAAGAGTAGTTTTGAATATGTAGATGAATTCGATTATCATATGGGCGATGTGGTTTTAAGGTTGTTTATAGATTTAAATCTAGTTTCCCAAATCCAGATTCCCCCGAAGTAGAATATGTGTCTTAGATGTCTCCCATGGAAGCCATCACTTTATGTATGAATAGTTTCAATCTCAAAAATAGTGGAACAGACTTTGAAGTCATTGATAACTTAGTCTTTCTCAAAGCCATTGAGGCTAGTTTGTTTATGTTGGCCTAAGTCTTTGATGATGATGAGGCTCCAATCGAAGAAATAGTTTAGGACAGCGAGGATGACGAAGAGAAATTGAAGTCCAAAAAGAAGAAGAAGACTTAAGGCTTAATGCGTGCAGGAGGTGAAAGTGATAAACTTGCTCTGGCTGCTATGAAAATCGATAATAAACTAAGAGCTATTAAATAAACCGTTAAGGGCAATAAATTATAGGCAATCAAGGAAATCTTCAATCTGGATTATGACAAATTGAATAAGAGCAAAACGAAGTATAAAATGGCCAAGGGAAATTACTTTCAATATGACAATGCAAAAAAGGAGTGGATTCGTACTAAAAATGACACACAGGACTTCACCACTCTTATTAGACATATAGTAATGATTCAATTATCTAAAACTGGATTCAATTTGAGACAGTTTCTATCTAAAAATGGGGCAATCATCTTCGTTGTCCTATATCAATGCGACCAGAATTTGGGAATAGTAGCCTAAACACATTAAATTACTAAATAATTGTACTTGCAATTCTCAGACCTGCTCTCCTTGGAACCTGTGGACAAAAATCTACGGCCTTTGAGATTGAACAATAGATTATGGAGAGATCCAGAAGAGTATGCTAATGAATAACTCTCAGAAAACTTTCTCTATTTAAAACCAAAAATCTAAGAGTTACTCTAAGAAATCAACTTCAAAAAAATAGCCAGAGAATTGAATCTGTCACAATTGAATCAGCAATTATTCTCCAAAGAAGGATCCGAAGACATTATTGAATTTGATGGACCAACCGACGCCATGTGGTCTGCATATTACTCATATCTTATGTATCTCAAATAACCAATCAAATAATTCAGAGAAGCATTCAAGATTGATAATGACCGAGCATTGACTATTAATAGAACGCCCTATCATCTATATAAATAAAGATTTCCAAATGATTAGATGTTGGAGAATCTCAAGATGTCAGAAATCAAAAAATTAGAAGAATTTGTCTCCGAAGAACAGATTGAACAAGAAATTCAATTGCATGGCAGACCCAACGATATCTATCGAGTTCTCAAGGGAATTTATAAAATAGTCTTAGAACAGAGAGTGATCTAAAATAAGTACAGTCTAATTAAAAGTTACTTCCACTTGCCAAGTTACAAGAAAGTCACCAGCAGATAGATCAAAGCATCAAAAAGAGAGATGCTAGCAATGAATTACCTTGAATTGCTGTAAGAGGGATTGGAAGTCACCAACTATCAGAATAGGTAGTTATTTACAATTTGGGATATTATTGGGATCCAACCTTTTGAGCCTTTCATTCCCTATAGCATTACTCCTAAAAACATTGCATTCAGTCAACAGATCAAAATGAATTCCATATGGAAGAAGTATCGAGTCACTGAGACAGGGAGGATCTCATTGTTTTCTACTATGGAGAGAATGAAGCTGAATAACTTGGCCTTGGGTGAAAAAATCAATTTCTCAATTCTGTTCTCTAGAAATCTTGCTATTTCAGCATTTTGTTTAAGTGACGATTTTGAACTGTTTGGCAAGTCAAATAAATAACTATTCGATCCATTATTTGAAGAGGAATACGACAATGAAATTATATTAAAGGAAACTTAATATACGTATTTCTATCGAGAACTCAAGCATCATGAGGCCCAAGATAAGAGAGGGCCTAATAAATACATCCTAAATGATTACAGTTACGTGACTCCTAAGTTAGAGAATTTGGCCTTCATTTGGCGATTTGAGTATAAATAACCCTGGTTCATTCCAACTTAATAAATTCGAGAGTATTATGGAGAGAAAATTGCTTTGTATTTTACATTTTTGGGTTATTATACGATGATGCTGTTACCTATCGGGTTTATAGGTTTGATAATTAGTATAATTCAATTGTTGGTTTGGAATCAAAATGATTATAATTACATAATGCCTCAAATCATATTTGGTATGATTTAAATCTAATGGGCTAATTTGATATATGACTTATGGTAGCAGAGAGAGAAAGTGTTTGCAGCACAATATGGTTAAGGCGAAGGAGGATCAGGAGAGTAGGCTTAATAGAGATCTGACTTTGTGGGTAATTATGAAAGATCAATTGAGAATGATAATTTGAATACTTTGAATTATTCGGATCTCAAAAAGTTTATGAGAATTCTATTGACTCTTTTGATTTAAATAGGTATTTTGGGAGTCTATGTTGGTATTGTAATTGGTATATTTTATTTTTCTGAGAAATTACAAACTACAAAGGAAATTGAAAATTTGATTGGCAATGGTGTTGCTTAACTGTCAGTAACCATCCCAGCTTTAGTCAATTTAATAGTGATTCTGATTTTGGATCCTTTTTTTGACAAGACAGCAGGGTCATTGACTGATTATGAGAATCACAAAACAATTACAGAATATGAGACCAATTTTGTTTTTAAGAAGTATTTCCTATCTTTTTTTGCACTCTGTGGACCAGTGGTTGAAATCATGTTTGGACATAAAGTAATATGCTTTTATATTTTAGAAAGTAGGTTTGCATTGTATAAATGATGATTGTTTGAAGCATGCTTAATATCATTTCTCGACCATATTCTTAATACAATTTTCATTGAACATTTGGGAAATCATCAAACCAAAAGTGATAGTATTTCTGCGATAATTGAGGGAGAAAAAAGAAGAAAATGTGGAAGTCTAAAAAAACAAGAAACTCACTTCTCAGATTGATGAGATCAGAGAGGATGATGAGGATGTGAGACATGATGATTTGAATTCCCAAAAGTCACCAAGTCTATCTCCTGATAGAGCATCTTCGAAATAGGCTAATGAACAAAATGTTTCTGAGAAATAAGATACTCAAAAGAAAGAAACCATTACAAGAGAGACAAATCCCTTCGAAAAAATAAATAATTTTATTGAAAATGAATTCTTGTACAAAGAGTCCTACGTTATCAGTCCTGAAAGATATGGTACTGTAGATGAATATATGGAAATCACTCTCTAATATTCAATGTTGGTGTTATTTGGTACGACATTTCCATTATGTTTTTTCATTGCTTTCATTTGGAACGTGGTGGAATTGCAGACAGACAAGTTGAAATTGTTGAATGATATGTAAAGACCATTGCCACTAGGGGAATCTACAATTGGAGTGTGGAATGATGTGCTTGAAGGATTGGCATATCTATCCTTAGTTTCGAATAGTGGTTTGATTTCTTATTCGAGAGACAGAATCGTTGATTACAATCCAACAATAAGTTTGCTCGCTTTCTTTCTAATCATCTTGTTGTCTAATTTCTTTTTAAGGTATATTGAAGGTTCAATATTTGGAGAGATACCTTACGAAATATAGAATTTAATGCAAAGACATTAATATTTGATCAAGAGTACTATTGAGAAGTTTATGGGCTCAAGTGAAAAGTAATCATCAGAAAACCAAGGAGACGATGATATCAAAAGATATCCGACTCAAAAGATTTATGGTTGTTTATTATCAGAATAGAAGACATGTTAATACGAAGAAATTAGTTCAGATTCTGATGTGGAAGATTATATTGTGAACAAGTAGAAGTAAAAGGAGAAATAATAATAAAATAATAATTCCCCTAAAAGTATGAAATCATCACCAAGGAGTGCATTGAAATCAGAGTCATCAAAAAAGAAATCGAAATCTAAATTAAGTGCATCCACTACTATGGAAGATGAAGATGCCAAATCAAAAAAGAAAAAGGAATCCATTGAAACTTTAAGGAAATATTTGGCTGGCAGACCTTCTAATTGGGCTATGAAATTTAAATTGAAGGATTCTACTGACCCAGAAATACAACAAAAGCAAAAGGCTTTCTTCTTTAAGACTCTCAAATTTCTGAAAATGCTGAATGAACTCAATCCTCATTAAAAGTTGTGGACAGATGATCGTTTCACTTTCAGAAAATGCTTCTTAAGAAGACATCTAGTGTTGATAAGAAATCTTGATTGGAGAAGAACCATAGTATTTTAGGAGAATCAAAACAAACTTAGACATGGTTTGAAGGAGAGTTAACATGAGAAGTATAGAAGGTAGTTGACAATCCTGAATCAGAATCTTGATATCCATTCGAATTTCATTGAAAAGATGGAAATATTGAAAAAGATAGAAGAATATGTGGAGAAGCACTTATGGATTGATGGCCGTAAGACTGTTGTGTTTAAAGTCTAAGGAGTTTGGTTTAGTTAATATCGTAAGAGCACAAGAAAAAAACCAGCCATAGCAATTGCTAAGAACTATGTTAAGTTGCTTATGAATTACAAATCCGTCTTCAAACAATAAGGAAGGGAATTGGATACTAAACCCGTTGACGAACGATTCTACTCTTACATTAATAGCATGACTCAAACTCAAATATCTAGATATTGTGATGAAGACTACTTGAAATTTGTGGATTCAATACAATTGCCTCCGAAGACCAACTTACAATTCCCTTTGACATCCAAAGGAGTCAGCTAGGTGGAATACGAATTAGATGCCTACATTGGATTGGATTTGAGGAAGTAATTCAATTTGGTCAATTTCACTTACATTCCTTTCAGAATCTAGGCTCCACCAGTCTCAATCTTAAGAAATCAGATTTGGAATCTGTTCGTTGATCAATAGATTGCTAAGGAGTAGCCTATTTTATATTTCATCGTTCCTTTAGATACGAAGAAATCCTTGCATACAGCCACTTTAGAATACAATGTCTTTGCAGCCAAACAGTAAATGTATAGATGGTTAGTGTCTTAAGTTCAGAAGCCTAAATTGGCTGATGTTTTGGTGTTTTTTTAGACTGAAATTCTGTACCACAGGACTCTACATAAAGACATTATAAGCAGAGTGGCAAGATTCTATGAGAAAATAACTGATATACAATACATGGAATTGCAATTGAAGGTCCCTATTGTTCCTCTTAAGTATCTAAAGATAACACCTGAAGATCCAATAACAAATATTAGGGATCCAGTCATCAAAGGGTATTTGAGTAGAGCATACGGACCACCTAAAGGATTCAGCATTTGCAATGGTAAGGCATTCAAGGAAGTCTTGTAGAGTAGAACAAACTATTACAGTGATTAGGAAATTTGTGAATTTTTGGTGAGTGTATTGGATACTTTGTCATTTGTTGAATGTGAATAGGGTATGTATCATGGCAGTATCAATTTGTAAACAATAATATTATTGAAAAATTAATAACCGAATGATATTTGGTATACGTATGGACTGGTGGATTTTGGGATGTTCTATTGGTATGATTATAACGAGGAGAAAGTATATTTCACAAGAGCCATAGAATAAAATGATGAACTTTGGTACATGAGTCCAGAATTAATCACAAATTATTTGAATCCAAAATTCCAGATTGCCATTTCCCCATAGAAGTGTGATGCATACTCATTAGGCATGGTTGGTTTACAGATGGCAACACTTGGTAAGATGGGCATTCAGATTGAGCAGTTATTGAAGGATCAAGAAGGAGATGTGGAGAGAGCTGTTAAGAGATGGATTGTGAATAGTAAGCAGCAATTGACAATGAAGTATCCGAATACTATGAATTTGGTGTTGTAATTGATCAATCCTGATTAAATGCAGAGATAGTTCCCTAGTTAGATTTATTAGAAGCACAAGAATTAGCAATCTTACAAAGAGACTGAAGTGAGAATCAATTTTGACGAAGCCTTATTCCATTAGATTAGACAGAACTCAAATCCAAAAATCACCAAGGATTAGATGGTTCGTATTTTCGATGGGAAGAATACTCAACTCAATGTGAATGTGAAGGATAAGATATCCATTCAAGAGTACTTGAAATAGAATATATACAAATTCGAATAGCATTTGAAATTGCATCAACTGGTTTAATTGGAGGAGGAGATCGAAGCATTTGAGAAGAACATGTTGACACAATTCTTCTATCAATTGCCATATGCCAAAGAAACAGGAGACATTCTATCTTGTATTGACAACTATTGCAACAATCAAGTGTATGAAATATTGAGTAGCAATATACACGAATTTAAATATCTAGTACTTTATCTGTTGAGTAAAGTGCAACTGAGTATCATGAAATAGCAATATCGTTATGCTTAACAATTGTCACTGAAATCTCAGGAGATCATCAAAGGAGTGGAGATTACATGTGTTCATTTGCTGCATGACATAACGAAGACAGAGGAAGAACGACAGAAGATCTAGAATGTTCATTTGTCAATAGCAAATCGAGAGTAATTGTATGAATTGTAAGTGTCCAAAGATCAATTAATAAAGAATTGTAAGGAAGATAAAAACAAACTCAAGGATGTCAAATAATTGCCTTATAAATTAAAGTAGTATGGGCATTTCTTCCAGTAAGCTTTGGTGTAGATTTACCATCTGCAATAACAATATTAATTGGCTCATGACATTTCTGAAGAGTTCATCATTGATACTTCAGGTGAGATAGTCCATGATGTGAAACACTCCAAAAAGAATTAGTAAGGATAATTTGTGATTAAAGAGGATATCCTAATCAAGATGGTAAGTAGATTAAAAATGTATTATATGAAAGTGTAAATCAGTTTTGATAGTTGGCGAGATGCTGATTTTCAGTAAGTGCATGATCTACTAAATGAAGTTAATATCTTGCACAGTTACATCAAAGTGGATGAAGAGAACTTGGGAGAAATCGACAGGAGAAAGTCATCCTTGGTAAGATAATAACTGTAAAACACTCAAATCAAAATCAAGGAAGATTTTCAACGAAGTTTGGATCACACTTTGCAGTGGCTGTACAGGCAAGGCAAATTTCTGTAGATTATGCATTTGAATAGGAGTAAGGACAATCATGGCATACTGAAGAGGTTGAAGCCTTACACCAAGAATTTCACTATGTAAAATTGTTTGTTGAGTCAATTGAATCAGATTCCTCAATTAGGGTGGACTGGAGAATACTTCGCAGAAATCAACGATGAGAAATCTACTTTGAATATCTTCAAAACAGTCACTGAAATAATGGAAGAAGTATTCTTTATCTCTGAGAGTTTCGGTCTCAAATCCTAAATCTTTCAGAATTACAACAAACAACTATTGGCTCTCCTAATATATCATTGTTCTTAATTGCTCTATTACAATCCCATTACGATGAGTGAGGGAATCTTCCAAGGATTCATGTAAATACTGAAGGATCAAAATGCAGAACTGTTGAATTGCATCCTATGCATTAAGATTTTGCATATACTCATTCACACATAGAATCATCAATACCCTTACATAACCAAAAAGGAGACTAATAACATTGAGGAGATTAGTCAAGTAATCATGGAATAGTCACTCATCAAGTAGTTGCAAATTTATTATTAACCCTTAGTGCCCTTTTTTTATGAGGAGTATAATTCAAAGAACAACAACGATTCTTGGCTCAAGAACAATCTCATGAACAACATAATCACGGAATTAATCTAAGGATATTTCTATATCAATAGTAAGTAGAATTTGGAATCTTTGGATGATGAACATCTTGAGACCTTTCTCAAATCTATAGAAGCCAAACATGCAGCTGAAGAATCATTATGCAATAAAAATGGATTCATGGTTGTGTAGCACAATTTGGTAAGAGCAAGACTTTGCTTAATATCCTAAAATCATCAGCAATTGCCGGTCATTCTATAGACAATCAATACGTAAATGGATCAGATAGCCGAAGAGTTTGTACTGCAAACAGACACCAAATCGTTGATTCACATGATTCTCTTGTCCACCATCGATATTATTACCATAGTCTAACATCAATTGGGAGGAACTTCACTTACTTAATTGATTGAGTTCAAGTAAATGCCTTGGATAAAGAAGGAGAAGTATGAGAACTATTACGATATCAAGTTTGTGATTTTAAAGATCTTAGATCTAAATCTGAAGAACCAACAATTGGAATTTGCATCCGAATTATTGAAATTCACCTTGATGCTGTTTGAGAACAAATCATATCTATTCAATTCTACTCATTCATCCTTCTATCAAACCTTGCAAATATTCAACGTCAAGATCTTCGCTTATTAAGAAGAGATTCGTTTGAACATCCTCAAAGAAGACAAAACCGATGAAAGACAAATGGAAGATCTCTTTGAACAAGTGTAGAAGGCCTAGAGTTTTACCAAGAGATCAAATAACTATTTAGAAGTAAGCAAATTATTGTTGTCTTAATCCCTTGAGTAAAATGAAATGACCTAGATCAAGGCAGCCTTGGCATAAATTGATTCAGCCTCCTTAGAAAATCAAGTGGTTTTGTGTCAATTAGGAGTTAAGTTAGTCATTTACCAGATGCACACTGGATAATATTCAGATGCAGATACCACTGCAGCCAGTGTCTCATAGAAACTGTTTTAATTAATCTACTCATAATTATGTAAGGTTGCTATAAGATGGCAGGCTGAGAAAACATTCTAAAAATCAACTAAAAAGGATTTGAAGGTAGAGGAGATGTTCAAAATATTAAATTAAAATGCTTAGATTTATGAGAAATACGAACATAATGTATTGGCACTTCTAGAACCAATCAAAGAACTCTTTTTGAATGTTCGATAATTTAAAACATTGAAACAAATCATTTTCCTAAGAACAGCGTTTCAGTATCTTGAAAGTTTACATACCCTAGCAATCATGATGAAAGGAGACTTTAAATTGGCTTAGGCAAATTTATCTTTGTAATCAAATTATAATTACTTTTAGTGTGGATAAATTTGGTTAGCAATCCCAAGTTGAGGAGATCATTACACTTAATTCTAATATTCAGATGAACTTGGATTTAATTATTGCAGATTATATGAAAGGTATTTCAAAATCTCAATTAATGATACAAACTATTGAAGATAAACAATAGTTATTAAATGTTCAAATCAAAACAACCAAAAATGAAAGAGTATTATCTAATCCTTATATATCTTTAGGTTTTTTGCAATTTGGAATTCGACAAATTCTTTGAAATCAAAAGACCTGAACAAGAATCTATTAAACCCCTCATCTTTTCTTATGACTAAACACTTATGAAAAGTGCACTTAGACCCTACTTTGAAATCAATAGACTCAAAACAGAAGCCTTTTTATGCTATTTGGAGTCTTCTCTTAATGTCGCAGATAAATTAACCCAAGTCGTCGACCCTATGTTTGCTATATAAAAATACGTATAGTAATAATATGGATCGAATCATATCTTTAATGCTCACATCCAAAGATTGATTGCTGGAATGTATGCTGAATTCTTGACTACTTTAAGAGTCAAAGATCTAGAAGAACAACTAATTGTAAGAATCTATGATATAAACATTAGACTGATACAGAAGCTAAAATCAGTACATTCAAGTCTGAGTTGAATCAAAAAACCATCAAGATTTTGGAAAGCAAAGTCAAGAATAAATGCTCCCCAGCTATGGAATAGAAATACTTGGAAACCAAATCATTCATTTAGTCAAAGATAACTGTGCTAGAAGGCATCAATGAAGGATTGTCCATTGATTTAGTTTGCAGATGGTCATTAATAGCAGCAAACTAATCTTATTCCATTTACAGGAGCTTTTGTCAGGAATACTCCTATGAGTACAGTCCCTAATTAGCTTATCTCTATTCCACTTACTCAGATATCTATTTTGTATGATATCAACATTTATCATTAGATCCAAAGTAAAATTGTGTCAACAATGAGGTACTTGGAAGAGGCTAAAAGTGCCTATGAGTTTTGTTAAACATCCATTTACAACCCAGACTATTGCAAACTAACATTTAGATAAGGATATCTAAGATAGAATATAATGAATATGATTAAGAACTACGTGGATGTTCTCATGGGGTTGTCATTATTAAGTAGATAATTTATTTTTAAGTAGCTCCATCCAAAAAGTTTGAGATCCTCACCTTAATTCTTAAAGAGGATAAAACGTACCTTCAACATTTTGACAATTATAAGACCCACGGATTTATTAGGTTTTTGGAGTAGAATTTGTTGAAGCAATTAGAATTGGACACTCTATCTGGTAAGAGATTGCCAGATTTGCAAAGGAAGGATTAGAAGAAATTAATCCAATTCTTATAAGTGGAAGGTGACAAATTAGCCTTCTAATTAACAATTGATCAGAAAGCAAAGGTCCCTACTCATACGATCGAACTCATAATCAAAGATGGCATCGAGACTCTATAAAAGGAGAAGATAAAGATGGATTATTCGGGAGAGGAATACTTTTAAAAGGTATATGCTCTACATCTAATATTAAGGCATATTAAATTTGCAAGGCTCTATTGCCCGTGGATAATCCATTATGCCAGAAATTGGAGTTCTATGCAGTTAAATAAAAGTCTAAGGCCAAAAGAAGAACTAGTACAACTTGATTATAATAAAATAAACGAATTTCAACATTTTTGGAATAGAGATTAAAATTTATTAATTAAAATATCATCGTAATTATTAATATTAGGAACTTGTATTAGGCATATTGTGACATTCGATTTTGTTGCATTTACATGATTTCGTGCAATGTTTTTATATCTAATAACACCCACAATAAAGATTGCAACATTAATTTTTTTTACAGGTGCATTTAATATCCTTCCTTTTTTTACTTTACATTCTGTTGTTGTTTCTGAAATGAAGTATCTTGCCAACTAACTATTTCACTATTTTAGCACCTTTGAGAAATATTGATTTTTTGTTTAGGTTTTAGGAATCTACATAAGAATCTGCAAATGAATCATTTAACTCTTCTAATAACCCTTGATTTGCCATTTGGATTTATTTCTGAGCTTCAATTTTATTTGGATCCTACAAATACTATTCATTAGTCATGATTTGTTAGTGTATATTGTCATCTGAAGTCAATCCTACTTTTTACATTTCGTTTCTCTCTGAGAAGAACTCTTCTATTGATTTTAAACCGATATTGGGGAAAGGTTGTTTGTAAAAGTCACTTCTACTAACAAAAAAATCAATATAATACATGAATTTTCTTAATTTTAGAAAATAATGCAATTGGCTCAATCAGAGAATAATAATGCAAGGCAATACCTTGTGAGTAATGTCTTCACATTTTATGTCGATTGTATTAATCTAATCCAAAACTAATAATCGATGACACAATTATTTTTAAATTATGTATAATATTCTCCTACTCATTTGCATTATTACGGTTATTTAGTCTAAACTCAAAGTTATCAGGCCATAAAACCTAATTAATGAGTACATTGATTATAGTATAGCCAATTTTGGGTATATTGTTGTTGTCTACAAAAACTAGAATTATACCATTTGGACATCGTTTGATGGGAATAGTAGATGTGGCTTATCCACAAAATGGATGTAGTGATCTTCGACCTACTTATGGAGCTCATTTTATCTTGATTGAAAGAGGGAACTGTACATTTGTCACTAAAGTCAAGAATGCTGAGAAAGCTGGATATTAAATGGCAATCATTGGGAATTACAATGACGAACAAATGCAATATGATTTTACTATGGCTGATGATGGTTATGGATATTAAGTTTATATTCCAAGTTTTATCTTAGGTATCAATCCCATCCATCTTCATCAAAAAAAAGCATTTCGATATTTTAACTAAGAATGCTCAGTCCTATAAAGTAGAGGACCCAAATGATTTAAAGATCATGATGCTTTTAAAGTTTGATGTTGTCTAAACTGATAAAGTATCAGTCATTTTTGGACTGAATATTCAAAATCGAGAATCTTTCAGAATTATTGATGAATATTAACCATACTACTAATAGTTGAAAAATCAAGATATCAATTACACTCTTGTATATTTTATGATGAGTTTTAATGATACAACTCCAATTGTGAATCAAAAGGATGCTGATTGTATTTGTTCAAATAGATATTGTGTGTTTGATCCTGATGGTTATGGCATTGGAACTGGCAAAGATGTAGTCTATGAGATTTTAAGATAAACATGCATATTCTAAAAATACCCAGAGAAATGGTTTTCGTATATGGTATTCAATTCAAGCTATTTATTTAGGACTAATTCAATTTCAAATGTTCTAAGCCTTAAGCCTACTCTGTTTGTAGTCAATAAATAATGGAAGCACAAGGGATCTCTAAAACTGAAGTTCAAAATTGTTTTGATGGATCATTTGTGGACCAACATACTTCCCAACCAACCAAAAATGAATCTAATGCTATCAATCTTTTACTAGAAAATTAATTGCACATATACTAAGTTTCTGGAATAAATGTATTTCCAGCAGTTCTAGTCAACTCTATGACTTACAAAGGGTAGTTCTCGGGATAAGGCATCTTCGGAGAGATTTGCAACAGTAATTCTATTATTTCAACGTAGGCTTTTTAACACCACCACCTGAATGTAGTTCAGAAATTGAAGGCTATTAACCTCCAGTACTAGATTAATCTATTATTTCATATTTATTGATTCTAGCTGCATTTGTTGTATTATTCTTTTTACTTGGCTTCTGTTTATTTAGAAAAATGATCAAAAGTGATGGTGAAAGAGTCACTAAACCTTAAGTGAATGAGATGGTGAGTTAATACATTAAGTTTTATGAAGGAAAAGACAAACAAAAGGAAGGTTCTATCTGAAATATTTAATTTGTGATATGAATCAAATTTATCATCTTATTATTAATATTGCAGATCACAATAAATAAAATTTCTAGTTATTTCAAGGTCTAAGTTTAATTAATTAAATTTAATAATATGATGATCTTCCAACTTCGATACAACACAAAATTGTCAGAATCTTTGAATAGCAGCAAAGATTATCATTCCATGCAACATCCTAAATTGATTATTCCCAATACCCATAGGAATGACCATTAACAACTCACTCAAAGGAATAAACTCCCTCCTAAATACCCTGATGACATGTTGTTGTGCTTAGTCTCCAAAGGACTTGCCCCTCTTAACAATAATAAAATGAAAAATCTACTCATTAATGAAACCTTCTCTAATAATAAAGAATTCCCTTCAGAAATCAAGCAAGAACACCCCTATTACAATCTTAAATCAAATCCAACTTTTTCAGAAATTGATAAGCGTAATTTCTATATTTATACTCGATAGAAGTCAAGAAGGCTTTACCTCCTCTCTAGTTAATACCTAAGAAGCCATTAATTCGAATTCAATCAAGAGAGAAGGAACCAATTGAATTATATTCATCCAAAAGTAGTAAATTAGTAAGTCCAAGGATTCATAGAAAAAGCAATAAGAAAACGCCAGGCCAATCATTAGAAAAGGATAAAGTATGCAGAACATCTTCTACCCCATTTATCTATAAGCCTCTGTAAAGGGAAAATTTGACTAGCAGATCTGGATCTTCTACTTAGCGATCAAAGTCAAAAAATTAAAAACCTTAAAAAATGACCATCTCGAATCATAAATAGAATTAAGGCAAAGAAAGGAGATACACCTAAAATACAAACAAAGTACTGACTATTTAAAAATCTTCGATTAAGGTGATAGAACCATCAGACAAGAAACTTCAAGTGAAAAGAAAAACAAGATAGGCTTAAACTATCTAATAATAATAATAATAATTGTAGATTGTATCTAGCAAATAAAATACTTAACCAAATATAGCCCAAAAACAAAATACCTTAATTTCCTTAAGCTAACAATAAAATCTATTAAAAGACAAATTACAATTGAGACATACATCTTATAGATGTTTTTTAAATAAAATCAATTTTTCAAATAATTAATGCATCCAATCACCTAATAAAATGGAAATTCCAGCATATTACTTTTATGTCGGTAAAGGAAATAATGCGAGTTTGATTAAAAACCTATTTCGTTAGCGATGGTGGTGGCAAGAAATTGAAACTATGGATTTCACAAAAGCTAATTTGATATGGACTCAGTTGAAATAAAATACATGCATTGAAAATCTAACAGCTTTTAATGTTTTAAGTAATGATTAAAATTATAATAATGATTCATTTATTCAAAGTATTGAAGATACAGTGGCTGATTCTAGTGATTCAGAATTGGAAATTAGTATCAAAACTAGATCCATTCCACTGTTTAATACTAATGTTTAAGGCAAATAAGCTTTTTAATAAATTAGTAATTTAACTTAATTAAAGCGAATATTCAATTAAAATGAACTCTAAAAACTACTGGTTTATATGAAGGACAATAATTTATGGGACACTTAGTTAGTGTTTAGCGATTGTTCTGAAAAATTGCTATTCAACATCAAAGGAGTACAATTTCTCTTATAATTATTAGTTTCACACTACAATTCGAATTGAGAGTAGAAATTATAGAATGCACAATCATATGTAAGACAATTGGCATTTGGGAAATAAAAAAGCCCTATTTTATAACATGAGGAACTATTTTAAAATAATTAAGGAAGATTATACAAAGTATATTCCAATTACATTTCACATTCAGCAAGGGACAGCTGATCCAGAATATCTTAGATTTGTAGACTACTATAATAAAAGGCAAGAAGAGATAAGAGAGTAAGAGAAGAGAATATATATGGACTATCGGAAAGATAAGAAAGCCAAACCAATAAATTTATGGATAGTGAAACCTGGAGAATGTACAAACAGGGGAAATGGGATAACAGTTTGCTAGGACTTGTTGGATATTAATAAGACAATAATGGAAGAGTAGCCTGATGGGAGATAGAGAACTTACATAATCTAGTAATACATAGATAATCCATTTTTGTATAACAAGAGAAAATTCGATATTAGATGTTATATGCTCCTGACCTCTTAGAATGGGGTCTTAAAAGGATATTGGTATTAAGAAGGATATATAAGAACATCGTCTAAGGAATTTACTACAAAATGTCTGAACAAATACATTCACTTAACAAATGATGCAGTTCAATCAAAAGATGAAGATTATGGAAAGTATGAATTTGGAAATAAGATATCATTCCTAGAATATCAAAGATATCTGGATACATATCATAAAGAATAAAAATTGAACTTTTTTGTTGATATCTATCCCAAAATGAAGTAGATTGCTTTGGATTTGATAAAAGCATCATATGGAAAGATAGATCAATAAAGAAGATCAAATAGTTTTGAAGTAAATTAATAACTAAATTCTATCTAGCTTTTTGGATTAGATTTTATGATAGATGACAATTTTAAACTTTGGTTAATTGAAGCTAATACAAATCCATGTCTAGAATTATCATGTCCACTTTTAAGTAAAATTATTCCAACCCTTGTTGAAAATTTGTTTAGGTACTTGACACTATAAATATTAGAATTGCCATTGATCCAATATTTCCTCCCCCTTTTTTTGAGGAATGGCCTCTGAATAAAAAACTATTCATTCCTGATAATGTCTTAGAAAATAATAGATTTGAACTTATGTTCGATGAGTTGATTGATAAAAAGACTATGGTCAACTTGTATAGAGACAATAAAATTGAGTAGGATTGTTTTAAGATAGAGGAGGAGGAAGAAGAAGAAGAAGTGAAAGATTGATTATAGGTTTTAATATTCTTTTGTATAGTGTCTATTATCAATTCATATCATAAATATCTTCACATTCTTCATTTGTATTATTTCTTTTGTTTCTTCTATTTGAATTACTGTTTTAATTAATTTAAAGTAAAAGTTTCTGTTTCCATCACTTCAGAATGAACACTTGGATCTGAGTCAAAATCCCCAGCCTTAGACACTTGAGATTGAGCAGTCAATGGAAATTCCTTATTGTCAAACCATTGAGTAATGATTTCATTCCTGATGTTTAAAACGAACAAGTCATATTCATCAAATTCTATACTACAATCTCCATATTCATCTTAACATCCTCACTTCAAATGCTCTTGTGTTGTACAATTTGAACCATAACAAAATAAGTTTCTAATACTCCTCTTCTATGTTTTCAGCCTGGTTGATCATCAAATTAATATAAGCCAAAACTATATTAAATTTCAACTAAATTGCAATCTGTATCCTTGATTTCAATATGATTGCATTTGCATTCCTTTCCTTCAATAAATTGATTTGAATTAGGATCACCTTAAGTAAGTTAAACCCTAGCTTCCTAGGTGGCAAGCATTTTAAGAATAAAATTTTTGAATTCCTTCTCAATCCAGTTAGATAATTTGATTCTCCTTTTTTATTAGTCTATGACTATGGAATAGTTATGTATTCATTCTAATGATTACTAAAATATGGTCGTGGAACTGTAGAAACATTAATTTTAATTCCCCCTTTTGTATTCAGGTAATGCAACATCCTTAGATAATGATGTCTTACTGTGTGATGCCAGATATATTTTTATGGTATTGAGTAAATCAATGTTCCAAACACAATATAATTTGATCTGAAAATATAAGGGATCCAAACATGAGCATTTCAATGATTTGCAAATTATACAATTATATATTTTTTACAAATTATTTCAAAACTTTTACGATAAGCTCTGTGTTCTTATCTAAAACTATTCATCAGCCAAAAGTCTTATCGCTATTGCTTCTCTTTGAAAATGAAGTATTCGCAATTTTTTTAAAGTGTATATATGTTTCAAAAACGCAATTCCCAACAATCTTAAAAAGAATCCTACTAATGATTTTGGTGGCATTTCTCTCCATATTAATAAAGAGTTTTATATGCCTGAGTATCTGTTAGATCTTTACAAATTGATATCATTTAATTGGTTGAATGAAAATACATGAATTTCAGCAATTCAGTTTGCTGGATATGTTGTTTAATTCATCTTATTTTCTAGATTTCCAGAACCAAAGCATTTGCCCTTTTCAAGAATCCCAATTCCTAATCCATTCACATATTCTGGCAATCTTAATTTAAATTAGAACTACATCCTTGATGTTCTGAATAAATTATATAAAAATTTAAAAGAAGCATGTCCTCCCCCAATTATCAACAGATTGTACTTTTCCTCAGTATCCATTTTGTTTATTATTATTTTATATATAGATTAAATAATGCAAATTTGATAATTGAACAAAAATTTGGAAAGCAACAATTTTATATCAATCCTTTTTAGTAAGGGTATTATTCTTGAAATTAAATATACATAATCAATATTATCTTTAAATTGGGGTTGTCGGTCGCTATCGAGGTTTTATCTGTGTTTAAGTTCTTTTTTATCTTACTCCTTAATCATCTTCATTACTTTCATTCAGAGATTTACAAGATTCTTTCAGTTTTTTTTTTTCTAAATTCGCAAGTACTTTTGTTTAAAGGTCATTTATAACTATTAATATAAAGAATTTAATACTTTAATTAATCAATTGATGATCTTTCTACATCTTTTGATAAGATTTTGTAAGAGTATCCAATTTAGTATTTATTTCTGATAAAATAGTGTCTAATGAGTTAATTTAATACTAAAATTAAGAATTGTCTCCATTATCTTCATTGTATTATTCATTGCTAATTTGTGTCTAATAATAAATTGATAATTGTTACTGAATATGGAGTTTGTTTCTTTGTTACTAGATTTTTCAAGATCACCAAAGAAAATAGAAATACATTAGCCAAAACACCAAAAAATTACACTGGATAATTCGTATAATATTATAAATAGGAATGAGTTAGAACGTATTATAACAATTCTTCTTAATTAAGAGGTTTATTTTCTGTCTCCACCCCAGTACTATATTATGTATGAGTATCACCTGAGCAAGATAATTTATTATCGAATGAGCATGATGGTTATTGTGATATTGAGTTATTGGGATCGGTTGGATTACTATCATTTTAGTTTTCATTTTGAATTTAATCATTTAATATTGCATTATTAATATGGTCAAGATGAATATCATAATGATTATGATGGTCATGATGTTCGTGATGATGATCGTCATGGTCATGATGATGGTGATGATCATGATTTTAATGCCCATTATTTGCATATTCATTTGCATGAGGGTCAATCAAAATATTTTCTTAATCTTATTAAATTTCTGCTTATATTTAATCATCATTTTAACCATTATTATTTATTTCATTTTATTATTCTTATTCTAGAATTTCTGGACTTTGATCATAATTCTCTTCCCTTATTTATTCTGGAATGATTTAAATATCTTCATTAACTTCTGAATCTAAATTTTGATTAGATATTTATTCTGACTATTAATTTAATAATTCATCTAAATTCACAATTATTTCTTAATTTTGCTACGATTACTCCTATTCCTATTATTGGATATCATCTTAATTTTGAATGTTTTCATTATTTTCAACTATTGGTTCATTCTCTTAAACTTATAATTATTCAACATTTTCTTATATAATTTCAGCAGTATTTATATTATCTTCTATTACAACATATTCTGAATCTTTGCTTATTGGTTATTCTTAATATTGTGGAATCTCTTCTTAAACTTGCATTTATTCATCAGTTTATTAATTTGTTGCTTGATCACCTTATTATGAATTGTCTTATGTATTTTCAATTGTAATTTATTGAATTTCTAATTCTAAATTTTATTAATTGATAATTTCTTATGCATTTTGGGTATCCTAGTGAATATTCTAATGTAAGTTTACTACTTATTCAAGTTCCTCCACATTCTTTGATTCTAAATGTTGATTATCTTGTTAGATAGATATATCTTCGACTTAATTCTCTATTAAAGGTTGAGTCTCTTATTATGTAAGCACTTCGTTCTCATGAATTTACTCCTGTTGTCCTTCCTACTTCAATTCTGTTTAATCTTAACTATCGATTTCTATAGTTTATGGCTAATCATTTAGATCAATCTAATCTACCTAAATAGGGATGTCTTATTATTCTTATTCTAATTATATTTCAACCTATTCAGATTATTTCACTTCTTCTTAATGTTATATTTATTCTTCAAGTGCAATAGGAAGAATGGGTTCAACATTATTTTAAGCATTAGCATCATTAACTTATTCAAACTAATCGCTATTTTATTAATCATCCTAATGATGTTAAATTTAATCATCAGGTTTAGTTTCAACTTACTCATTAAAATTATTGTTTTATATAACATCTTCTTTAATAAGGGGTATATCTACATCTATGTCATGATTTTCATTTGCTAGTTATTATAGTAATTAATCAAACTCTACTTATTCTAGATCAATCTAATCTGATTGTTCATTTGTTGATGTTATATCTTCTTATTGTTATTATTATTATTATTATTGTTATTGTTAATTAGTTTAGCTTTCATATTCAATTGTTTGTTTGTTTATTATATCAATAATGTCTTCACCAATAGATAAGTGTTCTGAAATTTGGATTTCAGATTCACTAAACTTGTCAATTAAATCATCATTATTTAATTAATTGGGATCGAAATCAGGTTATCTTGAATGTCTCTCACCCTTGACGTGTTTTTTAATGATTTTTCTACCTTGAGAAGCTATAAGAATTAGTGATAAAAGTAGGAACAACTTCATTAAATTATTTAATTACACGTAACACAAAGAGTTTAAAATATTTATTACTAGAATGAATATTTAATTATATGTATGTTAATATAAAATTTTAATGGCCATTATGATTCATTTATCATGGGATCAAAAGAAATGTTATTGATTTCATTATCTGAACTAAGAGGAAAAAGACTTAAATCATATTATCAAATTATTATGAATATAAATCTAAACGAAGAAATAAATAGAATTTCAAGTATTAATATAAATAAATAGTTCATTTTAGAAGTTTCAGCAAAGATATGGTATATATGTCAAGCATAATTTCAATTGGCAGCAGAGTTATTAGCAGTCTAATATAAATCAACCTTAAATTCACTTTCACTACTATATAAGCTGAGGAGGAAAGTAGAAACACAGTAAAAATTACACCAACTGCTATCTAATATATATTGTAATTGTTCTGCTGCTTTTGTATCAGATTAATTAAGGAATCTTAAATCTTGGCAATAAATGCTTCAAATCCATTATAAGTGTCAAGATAATGTTATATTATGATGTTATTAAAATCCTATGTATTTATTTAAGAATTCAATAAGGCAAAATCATTAACTGGTTATCCTGTTAGAATTTCAGTTTCATAATATTAGGTTAAGAAATTATCCAGTTTACTCACCATGCCAGAAATTCCCTTACTGAGATAATCAGAATTATTATCTTTATTTGCATATTGTCCAAATTTACTTTCAAAATTTATTTTACTCATATCCTTATTGCAGAATGCTATTTTTGATTGAAATAGCTAGCAAAAATCTCCATTATACAGACTTAATATAAATGTTTCGTCTTCCCCTTTCAAAGCATCAGATTCTATGATACGATCATAGATATCATTTAAATTACTATGATCAAAACTATACACACTTTGTAAAAGTTGGATAGTATTTGATTATTGTAAATATTTATTGACTGTCTTTGCATAAAATGGAATTGAGTCTTTCATGAAAGTATAAATCTAAAATTCTGATTTTATTATTAGTGAAATAGCAATTGTATTTTCAAAATCTATGTAAAATTAGATATACCCCATAGCTAAATCTTGAGGAGGTGACAATTGTTAGGTTTGATCCTTAAATATCAGATAACAGCCTATGAAATACAACACTATTATGATAACAAAGAACAATACTGTAATACTTTTAATCATCAATTTGATGGAAGGTTTTTATATTCTTGAATTTAAGGGAATAGTTGATTATTAAGATTGTTTCATTTAAGTTTCAAATATTTTTTAACTATTTTGTTGTAAAATGGATTCTCGATGTTTCATTTTGGATATTGACCTAAAATTTTTTTTCTTGAATGATTTTTCAGTATAACAAAGCTTATAACAATTTCTCTATTTATAGCCAAATTCGCCATATAATTACTTAATCACTGAGATTATGATTTTGAATTTGCTAATCTACTATTCTGCTGCTTTTTCACTTAGTCTATTTGATAACATCAGTATTCTTTAACAATAAAGCTCTATTTTTCTCCAAAAATATAATTATGATATAATAACACTTCCAATCACTATTATTTAAACTAGAATTAAATTGAAAAATTTTGATATTTTTCCATTTTATTGAACCTCATAATAGTTGCTCAAGGATAAAATAAGTTTATCATTGTTTACGATAATATTTTCAAAATTTATCCTGTATTTTAAAAGATTGCTTGAAAAGTCTTTTTCATTATCACTATATAATAATCTAAAACCTACTTATTCAAGGTAAAACAGATAATCGGTAAACTCTACTTCTTCTACCTAGAGATTTTCATCTGGATGCACTATTGAGATTTCGTCTAAATAACGATTTTCTTCTAAGGCTATAAAGTTTCCGTACATAATTGTCAGATTTTAAAATGTGCTCAACATACTAACTCTTTAGTCTTGGAGTTGGTTTTAGATAAATTAGCTTGTATTTAAGATCTTAATCTTCTACATTAAAATTATCCAAGAATGAGTAAATACATTTAAAAAATATTTGTTAAAGCTGATTGGTAAATTAATATCCGATAAAAAATTCTTTGCTTGATTATTGAAGGTCATGACCTAGGTCAAGTTGATGAACATGAATACAAGGAACAGTAGAATTATGATTAATTTCAAGATAGAGATTATTGTTAGGCTTGAGATTAGAGAAGTTCGAGTTTTAAAATTGTTTACTATTTCAATCGCTGTTTATCCAGATTAACCTGACTTACTACTTGATTAAGATTTAAGCAAAAGCTCTTAGTTGGATTTAAGTTCATTCTTTTTTTATATAATCTAGTTAAAATCATTGCTAATAATCTCTTCATGTAGACTCTCTGATTCTACTTAAGTTATTCTACCAATCTAATTAGTTCTCTTTTAGTTGATATAATTCAATATTTTTTTTGACCTAGAATTTTTATCAAGAAAGCTCGATTAGTGCACTTGAGATCCTAAGGGGCTCATTATTGAAGATTCCATCTACTATTCAGAACTCTTGTGATTTGATTGAGATTAAATGATTTAACTTGGTCTTCTGATATAATTTCTAGTTTTAATATTACGCAATTAACTTTATTGTGTTTTTATTAGCTTCTTTTCATCTTCTTTAAGATTCCCTCTATCAATAAAATCAGAGCAATCTAAAATAAAATAATTTTGTTTATTTCCTTTTCTACCTATATCAGCCATATGTATTTTTGCAGTACATAAGTACATCGTCTTTTATAAATCCTAAAGATATTTATATAATTACATCTATAGCATTTAAAAACTCAATCATTTATTATTCTTTCTATTATTCTGTCTATTATTCTTTTTATTATTCTGCCGCAGATGATGCAGATTTTCCTTCTTTTTTTGAATTATTTTACTGTTCTCTATTTGTATCTACCATAATGATTTCATCCTAAAGCTAGTTTTAGTTTGGCTTTATATCAGTAATCAATCTCTGATTCATTCCATTTCTTGGACTATTAACCATGGAATTTAGATATTCAAATTAAGTATATGTTTTAGTTTATTCAATTTACTTTATAGATTAAGCTTTATAAGTTGAGAAAATTGATTCATGAATTTTGGATAATTAAATTAAATCTTAATAAACATAAAGAATGACTGATTTTTATAAAAATCCTCCTTCTTTATTGTTATTTTGAAGCATATCATTAACATACATATGAATATGTGGAAGAAACATGTAGATAAAAAATAGCTCGATGTTCTATAAAAAAAATTCTTAGTTTTCTCTTGGTATCAATAGTTAACTCATCTCTTTTGTGATGCCTATACACTTTCCATATTCATCAAATAAAAGATAATTATGAGATTCTTTTATTTTTGTCAGACTACCAATTAAAGTAAAATCATCAAAGATATTGTAGTTATTATAGATATTAAGATATTAAGGTATTAAAAATCCATTTTTACCTTTTGCAAACGTTAAGGAATCTCTAAACACAAGATCTGTCTTTGCTTCTTTGATATAGGATAAAAGGAAAGCATCATGTTAATAGGCAAAATGTTTAGGCATCAGTTCTCTAATATTATTGATTTAATTGAAATCCATTTATGAAAATCCAAAATAATTTGCAAGTTGACTCTTATTTTTATTCAGTATTTACCCTAATTGTTTAACCATACTTACAATAACCAATACAGAGTTATCTAATAAGATATTAGATCTTGATAATATTTTTTATTGAGAGACAGTTTCTGCTTTCATGATGGAAGAAATTTTCTATTCGCATAAAAAAGAATTATAGTAGTCATTTAAAACAAAACTATGAAACATAGAACAAATCTTCAAAGTTAAAATATTTTCACATGTTTTTATAAACTCATCTTTAATTACATTGATTTACTATCCTCTTAAATAAATAATGCAATCTACTATTTTTTTACTCAAAGGAAGTGCAACTGTTTAAAAATCGTAAATTGATTGGCATCCTTAGATTTGGAATTCCCAGATTTTTATTTTAGTTTAAATAATCTCCAGAAGATCTTTTTAGAAAGTCTCCTCCAATTAACAAAATTAAAAAAGTTCAAGGGTTGTAATTCTTTTTTCAATACTGACATTATTTTTTTCTGACTATAATTATTCATTTTGATAAATCTTTTGAACAGCAGATATTCGTCTTTGTAGATGTAATTCAATTCTGTTTTTAATAAATCCAAAATAATAAGATTTAGTGTAATTACTATTTTATTCAAATTTCTTAAATTCAACATAAGCAACAAGTGGTTTCTTTCTAACAAGAGCTACAAAAGAAACAAAGAGCAATTATATTTCTTCCAATTCATTTTTTTCTCCACTAATTAGATCAAGAAAGATTTCAGAAATTAAATACAATCCTAACTTGTAATACTCAACCATATTTACACATTTATTGCTAATAATAGCTTTATGTTTAAATTTTGAAAACTTTGAACTATTAATCAACTGATAGATCAGTAAATGTTGCTAAGTTATAGAGTTTGAATTAATTTGGCAAATGTAGGAGTATAATTCATAAATTTGATTCAATTGTCTAGTTTTTTCATTGAAATTATACTGAAAAAGAAATAAATAGATATGATTTCCCAAAATTATTCCTAGACTCAAAATGAACATAATGTAGATAGCTATTTAATTTTCTGGAAAAATCTTATTTTCGGATAAGACATTGAAGGTTATCAAAAGTGCCAATGATTCAAGAGTGAATGAGATTTCAAAATCTACCATATTTTTATGCGGAACATCGGATTGATAGTATAAATGATTTACGATTTTAATGATAAAGATTAGATGCAATATAAACAAACCAACAAGATTATATAATTTGGATTAATTATCTAAAGTCAAGACTATAGCAATTAAATTCAATAATATTATAGAACTTCTCAACTTTGTAAATTTTTATTACATTGGATGATAAGCAATAAAAGAATACATTCTTAAAAGATATTCACATACTAAAACATAAACAGAGTATAAAATTAGTGTGCAGATATTAACGATTAGTTAATTTGTCTAATTTTTATTATTAGCATCTATAATTTGTTAAATGTAAAACTTATAACATGGTATTTGCAGCGTGTAAATTGTGAATAATATAATTGAACACAAGAGACTGGTTCTCCCTTCCAAATACTTTACTTTCTGTTTGTTTGAATTCACTTCTAAACTGAAAAAACACAAGTAAAATATAAGACTTAATAGTATAATGAGACTAAAAATTGTAAAAGGATAGTAAATGAAATTATTTTGAAATTCGAAAAAGGGAGTAATAGTGAAATAGGAGGATGCTTTTGATAGAAAAATTAAATAACCATCGTTATATTTCCAATATTACCATCCATGCTAGGGCAATAGTAGTGATACATATTGAATGTAAGGCACGATGACTAACAGCTTAGCGATTGTATCTTCTCCGGAATTCTTGTGTTACGAATGAGCTATAATTGTTAAGTTAGCTATCAATGAAATTCTCATTAAATATATTCCTTATAAAACTTATTTTAAACAATAACTTAGTGTTATTAATTTGTATAAATGAAAAAATACGTGTTTTAATTATTTACATGATTACAGGAGACATGAACTACAAAATAGTGTTTTTTTTATATCAAAATTTATTGTAATAATAAAATAAATGCTTTGAATACAAAAAATAATGAATTTACACAAGATTTTACGTTAATTCTAAGAATGTATCAAAATTCTGATTACATGCATGCAATACAAAATGAATTAACTAGAACTACAGAAAGTACATCCTTCTTGTTTATTATACTTAAACGTAATTGATTTTATTCATTCATTTTGCAGCTTATTGTTGTGATTATAATATTTACTATTTGAATTACAATTATAAGTTAATCCATTTGTATTAATATTTTATAAAATTCATAAATCTAATTTGTGTTAATTTGATATTATGCTATTGAATTTATATACGATTCTTTTTATCAGAAGGCATTTCTTGACAAAATTATCGAAGTTGTACATAATAGCATTTGATAAATATATTGTACTCCTCAAATATAATAATTATTTAATTGTATGAAACCTATTGTATTTAGGATTGACCCAAATGTCCTTTCTCAATTCGTTAAACCCACAGGACAGAAGAAAGAGGTGGCTTCCTAAATGAGTCAAGTTTAAGATTGCTTGAAGGTAATGATGAATTTATCATATAGCAATTGAATATAGATGATGATGAGGATGTGGATTAATTTACAAATCAACAACCTTCACAGCCAGTCATAAAAAATAGGTCTAGAACACTATATTCGAATGGGTCAACTCTGCCTGAAACCTTATCTAAGCACTCAAATCAATAGATTCCGGAGATGAATCTTTCAATAAGTGGATCCTCTCTGGGTTGGGATGAAGTATTTAGTTCGACTATGCCAACTTCTTTCTAAATGTTTCAATTTAAAAATAAAAGACGCTATGAACCTTAGCAACAAACAACCCAATTCTAAATTCAATTACAGAATGTAAAATATATAATAATGGGCAAGATACCAAAAGACAATCGTACAACCTTAATGATAAAGAATATACCAAACAAATACTCTTAACCCCTCCTTCTCGAGGAGATAGACTGCAATAATAAGAATACTTACAATTTCTTTTATTTACCAATTGACTTTACAGTATAAATTTTAATTTAATGATAATAGAACAAATGCAATGTGGGATATGCATTTATTAATTTCTATGATTCATTAGACATTCCAAAGTTTTACCTAGAATTCCATAACAAAAAGTGGAGTAAGTTTAACTCAGAGAAGGTATTGAATTTCTAGAACTCTTAGATTTGCTAAATCACCTATGCTAGAATCCAAGGAGTAGAAGAATTACAGGGTCATTTTCAATATTCTACGATAATGTAAGAGAAGGACAGAAGATTAAAGCCGATTTTTAAATAAAGTTCAGAATAGAAGTTAAAAAGAAAATGATAATTTGTTTCAATTAATTGTAAAATCTCATCAATGTATTTATCTACTAAATTTTAAGTTTTTGTTCTTCTATTCTTACAATTCTCATATATTAATTAATTAAATAATTGTTTGTATATTATCTACTATTTAATAATCAACAAAATATATCAATTCAAAAAATAACAAGTTAATATCACATCATCATACGGATTATTTTGAATTAAACAATTAGATGCATTCATATATAATGAACCTGAGTAGAACCTGAAATAATAATATCAATCTAAGATGAATGGTCTTATCATTTGTGCATTCTTATCTGTCGTATAATGTTGGTGGGATATGGGGCACATGATGACAGCCTAAATAGCTAAAAACTAATTAAGAGACACTAGACCAGATGTATTAGCTTGGGCAGACTCCTTGGTGTAGGATTTCAATTCTCTCACTGATGGTCGCACAAACACTTTTGTTGAGGCAGCAGTATGGATGGATGACATTAAGGAGACAGGAACCTCTTTCCTTAATGATTGGCATTACACAGATAAACCAATCAATCCTGATGGGTATGGAGTATACATTAATAAATCTAGACTCTTAATCAAAATTGAGGATCAAGGAAGGAACATCAACTCCATCTATGCGATAAACTAAGCCACAGCTGTTTTGACTAATAGCAAGACTGCCAAGAATCGACATACTGTATTTAAGGCCTAGATGTTGAGAGTGTTACTGCATGTAATTGGAGATATGCATTAACCATTGCATGACACCACATTTTGGAATGATACTTTCCCAAATGGAGATGCTGGAGGCAATTTCATGAAAATTCAAGTATGATATCTCTTGAGATTTAGTTAAAAAATGCCACTTTTGTAAATTTCCACTCTTATTGGGACTCTGTGGCTTTCACTATGGCCTCCAATACTACATATATGTCTCGACCTTTATCTTAATCAGATCATGAATATCTTGATAAGTGGTCAAATGACATAATTTAAAAATTCCCCATTAACAAATATTCGAATTATGACATGACGTATTTGACGTATTATAGCTTAGTAATCCTGCTGTGTGGTCATTCTTGGGATTCAGATAGGCCTAATAATTTGTTTACCCTATGCTCTAGAAATCGAACACTTACAACAGTGATTATGAGAAACAGGCAATTGAATTTTGCCAAGAAAATCTTGCCATTGGAGGATATAGATTGGCATCAAAGTTAATTGAGATTTATGATCAAATCTTACAGAATGAAGCCAAGGTGTCAATAGCAGAATGAAAATTAATATATTTATATCCTTTGTTAATAGAGTTAGTACTTAATAAAATCTCTTAGTTCTAAAAACAAATTAAATTAATTATGCTAATTAAATATTACAATTAATTTCTATATTAATTAAATGAATAAGGATGGTAAAGGTGAAATTGATGTGGACAATATTATTGAAAGGTTGCTCAGTGTGAGAGGAAGCAAGCCCGGAAAGAATGTCAATCTTAGTGAAGCTGAAGTAAGAGGTCTTTGCATCAAAGCCAGAGACATTTTCATATCCCAACCCATCTTGTTAGAATTGGAAGCTCCTTTAAAAATATGCGGTAGATATCTCATCATATATTTATTTAGGAGATGTACATGGATAATATTTTGATTTGTTGAGACTTTTTGAATACGGAGGATATCCACCTGAGAGCAATTATTTATTCTTAGGTGATTATGTAGATAGAGGTTTAAATTAATGTTAAATATAGGCAAATAATCATTGGAGACTATTTGTTTATTGCTAGCTTACAAGATCAAGTATCCTGAAAACTTCTTTCTTTTGAGGGGTAATCACGAATGTGCATCAATCAATAGGATCTATGGATTTTATGATGAATGTAAAAAATTATTGATCAATAGGCAAAAGAAGATACACAATAAAGTTATGGAAAACATTCACAGATTGTTTTAATTGTCTACCAGTTGCAGCATTGATAGATGAAAAAATTCTATGCATGCATGGGGGATTGTCTCCTGAACTTTCAAATTTGGAATAAATAAGACGAATTATGAGACCAACAGATGTGCCAGACACTGGATTATTGTGTGATTTGTTATGGTCAGATCCAGACAAAGATGTGTAAGGTTGGGCAGACAATGAGAGAGGAGTGTCATATGTTTTCAGTCAAGAAATTGTACAAGTGTTCTTAAAAAAACATGAATTGGATCTCATATGTAGAGCACATCAGGTATATACATTAACAATCCTATACTTAGGTTGTTGAGGATGGATATGAATTCTTTTCAAAAAGATAATTAGTCACATTATTTTCAGCACCAAACTATTGTGGAGAATTTGACAATGCTGGTATAGTGATAATTCAAAATATTAGGTTCTATGATGTCAATTGATGAATCCTTGATGTGTTCTTTCTAAATCCTAAAGCCAGCTGAATAAGGATAGGGAGCAGCTTAATAACATAAAACTGGTAATGCAAAGTTCGTAAATTGATATATATATATTTATTTTACAAATTTTTCATTACATTTATTTATAACAATCATCATAATGTTGGTATGCTTCCTTCCATTATCAATTTTCTTGTATGATCGAAAACCTCCTCTGGATCTACTTTGACTTGAGCAACACCACTTTCCATAGCTGCAATTGCAACTGCTCTAGCAACATTTGCTGGGATCTCAGCTGTCAATGCTCCTGGCAATATTTTGGTAGGTGATAGGTCACTCTCTTTGATACTATTTGCTATAGCATATGCTGCAGCAATCTTTTTCATATTAAATGGTATAAGATACCTTCATTTGTAAATTGATTTCTTTGGCTTTGGTATCAATAGCTCCTCTAAATATTCCTGGGAATGCCAAGGAGTTGTTCACTTAATTGTTAAAATCTGATCTTCCTGTAGCTACAATGAAGGCACCTGCTTGAATTGCATCATCTGGCATTATCTCTGGAAGTGGATTTGCTAATGCAAGAATAAATGGATCCTTATTCATATTACGTACCATGTCTTATGTTAATGCTCCCTATGATAACCATAAATAATATAATATACTGCACTGGAGACTCCGACAAACAAATCTCTGCCTTTGACAGCATCTTCTAGTTTGCCAGCTATTTTATTTTTATTCGTAAATTTAGCAAGATCATTTTTAAATGTATTCATATTCTTGGGTCTTCCTTCATAGATGATTCCTTCAGTATCGCAAATGAGGATGTCCTCTACACCATGACCATGGAGTAATTTACAAATGGCAACACCTGCAGCACTACGAATAATTAGGTAGAATACCCTGCTCCATTGATGACCAATTTAAGATCTTTTACATTTTTTTTTGTTAATTTCAAGTAATTGATGAGTGCAGCCAAACTAACGACAGCAGTACCATGCTGATCATCATGCATCAAAGGAATATGAATGCTTTGGATGGCTTCTTCTTCAATAGGGAAACAATCAGGAGCTCTAAGATCTTCTAGATTAATTGCTGAAAAGATTGGTGCAATGCTAAATTATAATTGTGGATATGTATACTATCTTATAAGTTACACTAATTTATGAGGGTCTCTTTCCTTGAAACAGATGGGCATCAAATCAATTCCACCTAGAGCATTGAATAAAACAGATTTGCCTTCCATCACTGGGGATCCAGCAGCTGGTCCAATATTACCAAGTCCAAGAATGGCAGTTCCATTTGTGACTATTGCAGCATAATTCTTTTTTAGTGTGACTTCACGGATTTTCTTGGGATCAGCTTCGAATAATTTTTGAATCTCTAAGATATCATTATTCCTATAAGATAACTCATAGATTCTGTATAAGTCTTCTAGAGATCTTGGATTAAATTTCAAAGCAATGGTGATGACACCATTATATCTTTTATGTAATTCCAGTGAATTCTAATTAATGTCATTATTTTATAAGAATTATTTGGGTGTCCATCTGTTGTAGTATGCAATCTCACCATACAGATATAAATCATTTAATTTTGATATGAATTGGGATGGAGTGGTATTTTTTACAGTATGATGAAATAATCCATTTCTATGGATTTCATTCAAACTAGCAGCATAGGCAGAACTGAGTGTAGCTGTTAAGTAGTTTGGTAATTGTGAGAAATCAATTCCTTTGAGTTTTAGTCTAATTTGTTCAATTAGAGATGGTTTTAAAATAGAACGAGAATCCAGGGCACTTTTGATAAGAGCAGCATCTTTTAATTATTCAACTAAGGAATGAGTGTTACTAATGACGACTGTACAATCAATTTTGGCATTTTCCAACTTATGCAAAAGTTCTTGAGTCAATTTTTCTTCGATATCGACGAATACAATTGTCTAAAAATAGAAGGGATAATACTTTATATGTTGTAGATAAATTATCTATGATCAGCAAGTAGTCATCTGCCCCATTCATGATTTCCTTATCCAAAATTACAGGGTAGGCATCGATGTCATAAAAGGCTTTGTATAATGCACTGATGGCTTCTAAATTTGGAATCATCCAAGAAGGCTTTTTAATTTAAGATCCTAAGATAAGGTAGAACATATACTTGATCCATCGGATAGAAGTGCAACAGAATTGCCTGTAATGGTAAGATCGTATAATAGATCTGGATTCTTTTGAATGACTTGGCAAATGTGGCCCACTCCAGGTGAATACACAAGAGAGAGAGTGTAATTGTCCGTGATTCTGATTTTTGGCTTTATTGATATAAGGCCATTAGTTCTTAAGAATAATTGCTTCAAACCTGGTTACATTTCTAATAAGGAATTTCTGATTTCTAATAAAATATTAATTATAAATGGAATTATTATAAGTAACATAATAATGTGTTTCAAGAGTGGTTGGGTTATTCAAGGGGCAAACAGACGATAAATCTCTGGAGGCTCATAAAAATTTATTTGATCTCCATAAACACTATGAGGAGGCATTTTACTTGATTGAGAACAAAATTCCCATCACCAAAATTCCAGTCCAAGCTAATAAAGCTATTTATATTATCACAGAATAAAACTAAAAGGTTAGTAAAGTCTACAAGGCCAATAATTATATCTGCAATTGCGATAAATTCAATGCTCGTGAATTCTAATTTTGTCCTCATATTTTAGCAGCCATGATAGCCGATGAACTAGAGATTTGTACATCTCAAGTGAGAATTACAGGTGAAGAATACCTTGGACATATTAAATCATTTTGAGTTCCAATTATGAATATAAAATATACTTCATAAACAATTATCATTATATGAATTATTAAAATAATATTCTTTCATTATAATTTTCTAAGTAAGGTCAATGTATGTTATTCTGTTAGAACTTCAATAGGTAAATTTGTTAGAATTAACCTAAGCAAGATCAATCTTTGATTTGAGTTATATATCCAAAGTCCATAAAAAGTAAGGAAAATAATCAATAATAAGAATCCAGTTATTAAGTAATAGGTATAGGATAAATTCAGATTATCATTAGTTATTTTATTGATAGCTTACATCAACGTATCAAGGAACAAATTTGTTCCATCTGTTGTATCTAAGAAATGCTCCATTACAGCATTTGTAAATTCTTTGGATATCATGATTTCCTTGGTTACATTTTTATCTGGAAAGTATTCAGTGTTATTAATTTCAAACTAATAATTCTACTTGAAAAAAGTGTCTAATTTGCTCACAATTCCTTGTATACCTTTACTTAGATACTCTCTGTTGTCATCTTGAGAGTCTGGAATTCCATAGAGAGAATTAAAATTTGTGATTGTATCATAATTACAAAAAGGCACATCAGAACCAATTTCTAAACAAAAATCCCCTTAATACAATGTAAGCAGTGTGCTGGCATCCTCGCTTGATATTTTATTTGATTTAATGATGTTCTCATAAATTGAAGTAATATTTTCATAATAAATCGAATATAAAGAGATAAAAATCTTTATAATTTTTCTTTAATCTCTAAACTTATCTATTTCCTTAGTTGTGTATATTTTCATTTCTATCAATTTATCATATAAAAGAGGTTAAGATTTGGTTATTAATGAAGTGCTAACGACTATATCTAATTAAGATGTAAATCTAATAAAACTTAAGGTTAGTTATTGAGTTGGCAATAAATCATTTTATTATTGTCTAAATAATACAAATCCACCCAAAAGATAAATTAAAAATATTAAAAATGTTATCATTGTTAAAATTGTGGCTTTGAAGATTGTGGTGTTTGGATTATTAATCTTAGAATTAAGTACAACGTTAAAGTTCTTTTTGAGATTTTTTTATCTTTCCTCGAACGCTTGCTTAATTCTAAACTATTAACTAACTTACGAACTTTAGTAATCCTTTAAAATTCTTGATTGACTTTGAACAGTATCTATTCCTATTTCATTTAAAGGAAAGAATAATAATTTATAAAAGTTTTATTTCTTCCAACTCTAATTTCCAGAAAATTATTTTAAGGTCTCAATTACAAGTGTAAATCTTAAGATCATTTCTTAAGCTTAAGTGTATTACAGTCTTCCTGCTAGTATTAAGATTTATTAACAATATTATTCAATTTATTTCCAGTAAATTAATTACGATACTATTATTACTAACAAGAAAACAATTTCTAATATAATTTGTGTTTAAAATTCTTGAATATTATCATCTTACTATTAGAAATAGACTTCATTTAAAGAATCAATTAATTATGAATTCATGAGGACAACATTTTTTAGATTGTATCTCAACATTAATAGATTATCCAAATATCTTCTATCAATAATTTAAATCAGTGTAGTAACATCGTAGTTGAGAGCCTCAAATAATTGATCAGAAACAGTAGAAATTAAATTAATAAAGTAAGTATATGTTACATTTTCATTTGATTGATAAAGCATATCCAAGTTGATGTAACTTAGCATTCCTGATTCCTCAATCCCTATAAAAATTTTATACATTTTGCTTAAGTCAATAAATACGATTTAAGCTAAATCTTGCATCTCAGAGATTGTTGACTTTATAATAAAATCGCTGCTTTCTATAATTTCAAGTGTATTGAATACAAGACTCCAGGTGTAAGTGAAGATTTTAAAGAAATAGCGATTAAATAAAGTGGGCCCATTGATATTAGCTAAGGTTTATTAAGTTTGCTCTGTGTAAGTGTTTAATTTTACCAAATGGGCAATAATATAGCCTATAATTATAACCATTATTAAAATATTAATAATGGCTAGCTTTTTTAGGCTATCTGTCATTTGGGTATTCTATTGAAATTGTTTAATAGTTGTTATGGCTGACACACCAGAGGTTCCAGAAGTAATACTGGATTTTGATTTTTTTGCATCCCTATCAATATCTTCCATTTTTTAGTTGAATTTATTATTTTGATAGATTTCAATGATGTTGGGACCTTTTTAATTTTAGTCTTTACTATTGCTCTTTATTTGTGAAGAATCAGGAACATCATTTTCTTGGTTGATATCTTAATTTATATATTCTAATTAATTTTGAAGGTCTGTGAAGTCTTTTTCAATTAATTCTTACATCTATTATTACTTTGAAGAGGGACTAATAAAGTTAATTCTTTATGATAAGGGCCCATAGCTGACACTGTCTCTTGCAGATTCCATTCCTAAGATATCTACATATTATTATTGTTATTTCAATTCATATTTATTGATGAGTCGCTAAAAGAAAGGTTAGGCTGGCTTTGAAATATTTGGAGTAACCTCTTCCTTATCAACTTTAATTATCTCAAAATTACTTTGGTTTAAATCTGGAGTATAAAAAACTAAAAATGAAGATCTAAGACAACATACGTTTGTTTGTTGTTTAAATCGAAGTTGTGTATTAATTATTGATTAATGATTCATTTGTCTTAAGCAAATCATCTGCTTTTTTTAGATCATTTATCTCCAATACAAAATAGCATTTCCTGGAGGATTTCTTGCCTACAAGTTTGTAAGTGATACTTGCTTTTCCTGTAAAATGAGTTCTATTTTTAAACTATCATACTAAATATGATTACTTCTAACGTTTAAAGAACATGTTATAGTTAATTGCCAAGCTAAACATTGTAAATTGTTAGAGATTACAGTAACTACGATCCTTTATATTTTTTCTATTCCACATTACTCTTACCTAATTGCTAATATATTTATATTTCAGCTCTTTCTCTCTCTACAGTGATATTCGAAGTTCTTGATTTTAATAGACTATTTTCATTAAAACATGAATTCAATTTGGTGGAATAATATTGTATCTTTTACGAATTTTCCAATAAATCTTTATTGTTTGCATATTTCCAAATTTTTAAATATTTTTCTTACTAATTATACATTACATCTTTTCCATAATTGCTCTTAAATTCATTTAATAGATCCATCATATTATAAATTATCAAAAAGATGTTTAATTACCCAACATTTTCTTTTGGAATTTAAAAGTCCTAATCATCAGAATTAATAATCGTATAAAAAAAATTATCTGTCATTCCAATTAAATAGCCATCCTCATTAAAAAGAATATAATCGGATGTTTTTTTGAATTCTGAAAGACACCCAATTAAAACATAATCATCTAATTCATTAAAGTTGTTATCTAACTTTAATTAGTAAGAATTAAGAGATCCCTCTTTTCTCTATCCAAATACTTAATTGAATGTTGAAAAAAAAGAAGATCTAGCAGTTTGTAAATAATTTAACAATAATTTATCATGTTATTCAGCAAAAAAGGAAGGCATTAATCTTGATACATTATCAATCTCAAATATTTCACTTTCTTAGTAACCAAAGAATTATAGAATTAATTTCTTATCTTTATTAATTATCTTCCCTCTGTTTTTGACCAAACTTATCATTATCAAAACAGCCTTCTCTTATATGAATGCTAAATTAGTAATTGCTTCCTCTTATAGTGTATGCTCTATATTATAAACATCAGTGATTGCAGTTTCGCATATCTACGAACTGTAATAGTCATTCATAATGGAACTGCAAAATATTGATAAGAGCTTTAGATTTTAAACATTATTATTTATTTATAGATGATCTAAATTATTAATATCGAAAGAACAATACTTCTTTATTTGATATGATAATTTATGAATCTTTTGACTTTGAGCTAGGGCTAATTTTTCGACTTCATAAATGGAATTAAACCCTTTTAATTGTTTAGTCCAGAAATTGATTTTATCACTTAAAATTTCAATAAGGGAAGGAATGAATTGATCTTAAAATCTCATCGTTTCAAATACTTCATGAATACTAAGTTATCGTTCAGGTTGTAATTGTTTCCCTCCTTAAGACATCGAAATATTTTCTTATTGTTGAATTTTAATCAACTCTTATAAATAAATACTCATTTAATAACGAATGCAAATGAAGTAATATGATTAAATTGACTTCTAACTTTAATATCTTTTCAATTCTGTATATGCCATAAGTGGTTTTTTGCAAAACAATGCCACATAACTAATGTAAACTAATAGCAATTCTTCATAAGATACTCTTTAATCCATTTGAGCCTTTTCTAATTCAGTATTTAAAATACAAAAAATGGTTTAATGTGTTCTTTAAATTTAATTATAATCAGTTTTGTAAGATTCCTTGATCCAATGTCTAGTGCACACAACCTTATGGGCTTTCCAATATAAATAAAGTTGAAAGAATTCCTTTTATTTTTGATTTTCAATTGTTTATTGATATTTGAAGTGCATCTCTTAAGTATAATATATACATGAAAAAGAATTCATTTCAAAATCAAAGGTGGATAAGAATTTAGTCTCATAATACATTGAACTAAAATAGAATGATAAGCTCCCAAATATTAATAGTGTGTAAAGCAACTAATCCTCATGCAATATATGTTTGTCGGCCATCAAAATATTTATACTAATTACTATTAGAATTGCAAGCAAGCTGCTATTGGACATAAATAGGAGTCCATTAATGTGTGGTAAAAAGGGTCTAAAATAATAGAGTTCGGTTAGTCGGGATATAAAATATAAAAATAAAACTGCTATTTTCACATATTCTATCAAAATATCGTCTGCAATTATATATAAAATGGCATTTAGAATGTTGAAGAAATAATGTACAATTTAGAGTAGATTGAATTTTTACTAGAAATTATAGAAGGGCACAAAAGTGTAGGCCCTTAAAAAGTAATGATAAAGGAACACAACTATGGAAAAGATTAAAACCCCAAACAATCCTAAAATGCTTTTGAGATTAATAATAGTATCATGTTAGTTTATTTTAGTTTATCCTATTATGATCATGGCAAAAAATAGGAAAAGTATGGGTAATTATAATGTCGTTGTACAAATTTGTATAAAGTGGAAGATAAATTTCCGCAAAGAATAATGATCCTTGGGATTTAGGTTATCAAATATTCCAAAAGTAACAAATATAGCTATAATCGCTATAAATGAAATCAGCAGCATAATCACCATTGCCAAAGCAAAAGGACCAAAATCAATTGAGGATTCAAATCCATAGGGAATAATCAAAGTTGCCTAAGCGAATTACTTTAAAAGATAGAGATGACCATCAATGTAATTCCATAGATGCCATCCATTCTAAGGAAGCATCAAAGCGAGATATTACAAATTAACAATTAAGACATTCATTATCGTTGAAAATTCAGATGGTTAACTATTATGAGCTAAGTGAGCCAAGCACGACAATTATTCAAATATTATAAATTACATTAATTAAATGATTAAGAAGGAAGTGAGACTCCTATTATTATCTGCTAAAAAGTTTATTGATCAACTTCCTTAATAAAAATAACAAAGGGCATCGATAAACCTAATGAAAATCGTATAGGAAGCTAAACCTGAGGAATAAATAATAAAAGAGATTCAATATTAAATAAATTTTCTGAAGTTAACTAATCCCAATATTCAGTACTAATAGATCACTTAGGAAGAGGAATCTATTCAAGAAAAAATCATTTAGAAGTTTAATGAGTAATAGGAATAATAGTAAAAGACTGAGGATATTGATCTGAAGAAAGGTACTTATATTTATTAAAATGGAAATTTGGTATAAGGATAAGCTGAAAAAAGAAAGGAAGTTGATTATTCTAATTGGTATGCAGCTAATGTTGATCCCGATGATTTGAAAAAGTATGTCTAGCTTATGTATACTTAGACATAAAGAATTACTGGATAGATAGCATTTTAGTGGTCCTTTTTGGGAAGGGAAGCCAATGCCAAAGTCTATTTTAGATGAAGAGAATCCAAACACATTAATGTATAGTGATGAACGTCCAGAAAAAGAGTTGAATCCAAATTTGAAGCAGGAGAGGTCAGGAAAATTTGAAAAAGTTAAAAGATGATTAATTTTTAATATTATAATAAAATTGGGGATTGGTTGAATTTTATGATATTTATAAAACTCATTTTCTTGCTCTAAGGTTAGCTCTAAGTTGGAGGAATTGAGCTTCAGCAGCTTAGGCAGATCCTTATTTGGCATAACTGGCGAAGACGTCAGTGGGATCTCCTCCATATTGATTGAATTCTTCAACTCTTTATTCAACGAAGGTTCTCAATTTGGTCAAAAGTTCGACTTCCTTTCTTCTGGCACCAGTGCTGTCACTGTATTCAGTATTGAAGGCATTGCACATGTCACTAGCATAGTTAAGTAAGTTTTAGTTTCTGATTCTCTTGCTGGTGGCTGAGTTGATGATGTCTTCTTCCTTGGTGATGGTGGCTTATAATTAGGCAATATAAGCAGTCAATTATCCTTAGACGTTGACCAAAAGAGTGATGACGTCTTAGACTCTGTTCTTTCTGGCTTGGAAGACTTCGATTTGTGTGTTTTCGTTATCTGTCAATTATGAAAGAGCAGCTGATAATTTTTCTCTTAATTCGTTTAATAATTATCTGATTCTGTTGATGTTATCGACGCTAACGTTTCCATCTCCGCTTAATTCAACGAGGACAGACAACAATGGAGCATATTCACCAGCATTACCAGCTTTGGTGGCTTAGAGGAACATGTTGTTGAAGTGTTTTGTGACTTGGATGAATGAAGCTGAGGAATTGGCGAATTCCTATATGTTTTAATATGAATAATTTACATTGACAATTTATTCAGCACCGTCGATCAAGGACAATGATGTGTTGATGTTTTAGACTTTCTTGTTGAAGTTGGCAGCTCTGTCGTTTCTTCTGGTGGTAATGAATTCAACTTAGTCTTCAAGGATTTATTGATAGGTGATATCGCTGATCAAATCAGCTGTGGCTGAAGCATGGGCAGCTTAGGCTCTTCCCTTGTGTTCAGTAGCTCTTGTTAAGGCATCAACAGCGTCTTGGACTTCCTTCTTTCTGAATCCCAATTCATCTCCACATGTCTGTGTATTAGTCTGTGTAGATGTCGTCGTGTTCTGTTTGCTCGTTACGGATGGAGAGGATCAAACTGTTGATGTGATCAACCAACAATTGGCCTGGTGATCTTGTTTAGGTTTCAGCAGAAACACACAATAAACCAACTAACACTAAAGCGATGATTTTCATTATTATTAATATTAAAACGGATACTCACATTATTTGCCTTTACGCCATAGTTATACTATTTATATTTGGAACATTTAGTGTTCTTCACTTATTCCTTGACTTTACTCTCAGTTTAATATTCCTATTGGGAATCCTCTACCTATTCTTGAGATTGATCTGCCAGGCCTTGATCTACCCTGGCTCATTTAGATTGTACTAAAGAATCAATTAAAATAATCAAGGATTGTTACATGCTAAAGTAAGGATTGGTTCGAATTATTTAGATAGTCTAATAATAGGTCAAGGAATTCGAAGACATGATATACCAACGCAAGTAGCCGAACATAAACATTATATAATGGTTTGAGACATAGGGATAGATATTTTAAACAATGTAGAGCCTAAGCAAATTATAATAAGAATACCACAATTGTCTTAAATAAATACTTTCAATACTTCGAACTTAAAGCAACAGTCAATTTCTCTTAGAGTAAATATTGAAAGGTAATCAGATCGAATAAAAATATGTTGATTATTTGATAATCAATTTGGATGCCATCTACAATATTGCAAATAAGCATGTGCAAGAATTAACGGGTTTCAAAAAATTAAACAGGTGGTGCACCTTAGAACTATTTGGTGGCTTAAATGAATTTAGAGCTATGATATAATTGAAGAATCAAAATGCAAAGAGAGTGATGATCATGAATGGATAGTCTAAAATTGATTGCATGTACTTGATCAATCAATTAGATGGTCAACCCAATAACACAGTTCTCTTTTGTAATCCAAACGGTGGATATTACGAGTATATGTTCTACGATGTAATATGAAATCGCTATTTCTAGTGTAATTGGTTTAGATTCTATGAATACAATAAAATAAATGTGATTGTGTGGAATTATAGACAATATGGTTAAAGTACTGGCCAACTTCATCCAAAAGCTCTCCTCTCAGATGCAAACACAATTGTCAATTACTTCAGAGAACACTTCAATATAATGCGGTTTGGAATCTAAGGATATTCATTAGGTGGATCAATAGCTGGGGAAGTGGCTTTGTTAAACAATCTGGATTTTTTAATTGTCGATAGAACATTTTCATCTCTAGGATAAGTAGCTTCGAAGTGTTTTAGCAGTCGCATAAGGATGCTACTTAACATAATAACTGATTGGGACAAACCTTAATATATGAACTATTGGAATTATAGGGGACATAAATTGATTGTGCAGGATTCCAAGGATGAAATCATTCCTTATGTTGCTTAATTGCAAGTAGCAGTAGCAAGAGAGTGGTTCAGTCCTTATAAGGAGAAATATTTTAACAAGATTACATCTGCGTTGGATCAAGAGTCTGTTAGTTTTTAAAAATTCTTCAACTCAAATATTCTCAACCGTTAGTAAATGAGAATTCTATTGAACAGTTTGAATAGAGTAGTTAGTTTAATAGTAAAATTGAATAAATTGGAATAACAATTGGAAAATCCACAAGATAGAACTTTGATCAATATCAACATTAATTAACATTTGCACAATTAATAAAATTATGTTGAATTGATTACTGCTGAAGAATTGGAAAGATTACAGCCACTCTTGTATTCGATGATTGAAATTATGTATTCCTTAAAGTACGGCAATACAGCTTTGATAGAATTATTGATTTACAGCTAAGATAATTTTGAAGAGAAGGTCTAATGCTTCTTTGCGTGCTGCTTTACTTTTGGAATGCATGACTATCAACATAATTTTATTTAACAATATTCAATTTATAGGTAAGCCATGACTGAGTTTTTAAATTTGCAGGGAAATCAACATGATTGGGCGAATGTATATTTCTTTAATATATTAGTTAAAACTAGATGGTTAAATAATATTAGATCAATTCAACAAAATTGTTGACAGGTTCTCAGAATATATGGATGATACCTAACAGACATATAATTTAAATGAATCTACTGAAAGAGGAGCCAACATTGAAATGAAATTGACTTCCCATTACATTACTAAAATTGGACAATTGATTAATGTAGACTGTGGTCATAACAATAATTTGACTGAATTAGATTATAGTCAAGTCAAGGCATTCTTTAGATAAATAGGAATACAATGAATTGATTATCTATATAGTATTATACAATTTTATCATTATTTGCATTTTCTGTATTCGTTTTTTATTATTCCAAATGAAAATAGTAATCTTGGTTATCCTTCTGGTCTGCACTTTAGGTCAACAACCAGAATTTTTACAACAAGTAGCTTCAAATAGTTTTGGTCGTCAAATACTACAGACCATTCAGCTAGAACTTACATAAGAGTACTTGTCTAACATTAATTTGTATTAGAAATGCTGCCAGATAAATTTACACTATGTTGAACAAGCTTTTCTATGATTTAAGAGATGAAGATGCACGATCTAGTAAAGCTAATGGAGAAAGATAGGCTTAATGCGCTGATCAGTTCTCATTAATTAATTCGATTCAAGAAAAAGCTGTTGTAGCCAAAGCTGATTACGAAAGGTAAATCCCAGGAAAATAAGAAGAATTAGCCAATAAAGTGAATTAGGTTGAATAAAAGAATGCTGAAATCTAAAGAAATGATCAATTATAATTAAACTTTTCTGAACAAAGAAGAAAAGAGCATCAATTATATGAATAAAAAAGAGATGAACTGATTGGTTTAATCAATGGTTTAAAACAAGCATAACAAATCATCAGATAATTATAAACACCACATCCAGGAGGTGCTTTAGTTCAATTAAAAGACCATCATGAATAATTAGGTAAATATATGAATCATATTCCTAGTGAAGAACTATGCCCAAAATTCAGAATTCAAAAGTATCACTTCATTACTTATGGAATTATGCTCTGATGCTAAAATACATTCAGACAATGACAACGTCTAAGTGATTGTTGATATCATCAACGATTTGATTGAAAGCATTTATGATGTATAAAAGAGAGAAATGTATGCTGAAGATTGGGCTGAGAAGTTCTTCTAATAAGACTTGTATGTATTCTTTCTATATTCTTTCTTAGAAATCGTCTTTAAAAAGAAAATGTTAGATTGTCTGGTCAAATTGCTGATGACTAAGCTGCTGCTGAATTTGCTTAATAAAGATTAGAAGATCTCTAATAACAAGCTCTGCTTTAATAAATCATATATGACAACAAAGAAATTGAAAGAAAATCATTTGAAGTGGCTTGCAAGGAAGACAACAATGCAGCTGAACAAGCTAGAGTTGCTAGAAACGAATAAATCTAGATTGTACTTTAGTTGTTGGAACTATTTGAAAACAATTTCAATGATAGGACTAGAGCAGCACTTATGGAAATAGTTGTGTGATCAAACAAAAATAAAACAATCATAAATTCTATAAATTAATTATGATAAATTCTCATCAAAATCTCTATTAATTATTGCCTATCTGTATTCTTGTATTAAATTCTGTGTCAAATTTATCTCATTTTACTCATTAATTCTAATTTTGTAAACATTCATTTATATTATCTTAGGAATTAAAAAGTAGATTTTTTTGGTAATATTCACATTAGACCTCATTATTTATTTCTTATTTCTTATTTCTCATTTTTAAATAAATTCTTATTTAATAGTCTATATTACAAAAAATAGTAAATATTTTATTAGTTATTATTGCTTTCTCTATTAATCAATTTTTTGATAAGCAATATTATTACTCATAGTTTAACCTAAATCTATTCTATTCGTTGTTAATTTTTCATTTAAAAAAAGTCAAACATGATTTTTGATTCCTTTATAGAAAATTCTTTAAGGTAAGTAAAAAGTGGTATCTCATTATCCTAAACTTCAAGACTAATCAATTTTAGTAGATAATATGTTTCACTATAGTTGCTCAATCAGACCAACAATTATACTCACTATTATCACAGACTCATATTATTTTCTTTGATATCTAAATTTATTAGTTAATATAATTCTATTATTTTATGTCCACTCTATCAATTGATCTATTATAGATGATGACGTTATTCTCAAGTTTTTCTTATTTTTGGTAGAACAATTATTAATTTAATGTCCTAATAAATGTTGTTTGTTAATTGTTTGGATCAGTCTTTGAAAAATCTACAATTAAAAGTCTTTTGATTCTTTCTTAATTTTTTTGAGGGAGATCTCTTTCAAATTTCTTATCAAATGGTTTATTTTTTTTTAAATTCTTTAAATAAGTTTTTAAGTTTTTAATCTAAAATCCTCCTTTAGTAAGAAATCAGGATTAATTTCGTATTTTTTCTATGCTCATTTTTATTAAATCCACTCCTTCTATTTGTAAGGCCTAAGGCAAGAGATGATCAAATAGTTCAAACTCCAGAAAGATGTCTTTTATGAATAAATTAATAATCAAATAAAAGTTTATTATAATTTATACAACGACATCACAAAAGATATAGTCAATTTAATATTTTAGAATTTTGAGCCAGATTTGATAAATTCTTTTCAAGCTAACTGACCATTTAACTAGAAATATTTATTTTAATTTACTTCAGAACTTTTTCATCTGCTTAACTCACACTTACTAAACTTTAATCTAAATTTTCAGCATCTTTCTTTAACTTTCTTTATAGTTCTTATTAGGCTCTACGTACAAGTTCTCCAGACATCTTTTCTAATGATTTTTATTCATTTAATTATTAAGTAGATTTAATCAATTACTTAAATTTTAGATCCTTTAATCTCTCCTATCTTTAATAATTTTCAATTAAGTCTTATTATTTTAATTTCATTTTTTCTTTTTTTATGTATTTCTAATTTTCTTATTCTTCTTTTCTTTTTTCTGAGTAATCTTCAAGCAATTAAAACTTCTTTTACAAGGTTTCTACTTTATCAAATTATTATGATTTGATGTTCTTTAGACTTTTTTCAATTTTCTTTTTTCTCAATTTTTCTTCTTTGATTCTCATTTATTCCTCCTTTTCTCTTGATTCTCTTAATGCTATTAATTAAGACAATGAATAAACCTTTTAAATCCTCTTCTTTATGAGCTAATTTCTTAACAATTGATTGCATCAAGGATTCTTCTCTTTATTGTGTTTTGAGTTTATATTATCTTAACTTTTCCTCATGTAAGGTACTTCTCATAGTTAATCTTTCCAATTTAGATTCCCATATCTATCTATCTTTGTTTTGGGAGGTTTCAGCCCACTTCTACTCAATTTAATTCATAGTTGAAGCCAAATGTTGGTTATATTCTTTATCTTAAATTTGTTTTCTTTGTTGGATAATATGTCTTCTTTCTTGATATCTTCTCTCTTATTCCTCTAATTCTTTCTTTTGCTATAGTTCATCTTCTTCCAATTTCTTACGACTTATATATAGTTATAAATGAGTTACATTTTCTCAAATTTTTCAGCTTACTTTTATTTGTCTTCAAGTAATTTTCTTTATTTTTCCCTTTCTTTCTCTTTGATCTCATTATACTTTTTCTAGGCTGCACGTTTCTATTCTTTCTTTTTCAGTTCCTTCTAATGTGCTATTTTTTATTATAATTCCTCAATTTTCTTCTCTCTTTCATTCATATCATGTTATAACTTTTATCTTTTTTTTTCATTCTCTAATTAATGTTATACTTCCTTGGCTTTCACTTGCAATTACTTTTTATATTTTGTAATCTCCTTTTCGAGTTGTTATTCCAGAACAAGTATTGGATCTTCATCATCAAAAGAAAGATAGGAGTTATCCTTCTCTTCATTATTTATGTTACTCATCTTCTTATTGTAGGTTTCAATCAAATCATTTACTAATCTTAAATAATTACATTCTCATACTCCTCATCTCGTTAATAACTCTTCTCCAGATGTAGATTTGTAATGGCTTTTTATTTCTTGATAATCACTCTACGCATCTTGCTAATTTCTTGTAAAGCACCTATTTTAATCCATTTTCCGTTTTACTTTCAGTCTTTTTCATGTAATGATCATATCTCATTTTTTGAACGTTTTCACTCAGACCAGGTTCTGCAAACTCCTCAAAAGTTCTAAAATCTTATGATTACAAGCAACTACTTTAATTAAAATATTTGAGGATCATAGCCTAATGCCAGGCATGCCTCTCTTGTTTTTGGAGAGTCTGGCTTTATCGTAAAAGTCTTGCGAGTATGGGAGAAAACAATGCCTCTTCTCGTATTACGATGAGTCTGATCTAGCAAGTTTTCCATAATCATATTTTTTGATATTTTATATTTTAATCAACTATTAAATAGAGTTATTCTAAATGGAGTATTCTCAATAAATCATATCTTGATATCTTATTAATTCAAAATCATCATTGTAACTATTAAACTAAATTTTCGATTGAATTTCAATTCAGAGATGAATTTATATAAATATAGCTAATAATTTCATTAAAATGACTAATTAACTCATTTAAAATTCCATTTGTGTTTAGATTGGATATCTGATTAATACTTTTCAATCAATTTATTGTGTTCATAATATAATGGATCGAGTTTTTGATTATTGTACCTTTTACAAAATTTTTAAATTTCTTCTTGCCGTCTTTGTATGAAAGATCCTTGAAGTGAGCGTTTTGCTTTTTCATTAACCAGATGCTAAAAATGTCATTCAATCTGAAATAATAATCATCATCAATTTTTTTTAATTCGCTCATTGATGCAACTTATTAAAATATATTATATATTTGAATTCCATATAATACTTTTAAAAGGATTATAATATAGAATGGACTATAATTCACTGAAATATTAAATTTATTTTTCAAAATTATAGATTATATAATTAAGTGAAATAGTTATCTTACTTTTAGAAGTATCATAATTAATCATAGCACTATCCAACAAGTGACAACCTTTATATATCTGATTCTTTAATTAATCAAAATATTTCCATCTATTTAATGACGATTTTGAATAAGGTTCCTTAAGAAAAATAAAAATAACTCATTTTCTTTATGTTGCATCTACTTTATTAAAGGTAGGATCATTCTTATTATATTGACTTATATCATATGAAAAAAGAACAACTAGATATTCAAATAATTAAATAAATAAAGAAATTTAAATTGTTTTTAAATTCTTTTATCATTTTTAATCGGTTGATTAAACATCCTCTTTTCTATCTTCAAATTATGTTAAAATATCATTTTTGAGGTCATTTATGATAATTTATCCTGCTTTAGGTTGTGTAGTTATTTATAAGTTCTCCTTCTCGCATGGATTCTCTTGTAAAGAAATTGAAGACATTTGATTAATACCTACAGTATTTAATGTTTGAGTAGATAAGCAACCGTATCTTACTAACGTAGTATTATCATCCTCATATTTATCTATTAGCTCTTTAATGACGAATAGTCCTTTTCTAGGGATTTATGAGATTAGTTTCAAAGATTGCTTTTCTGTTTTATCATCACTATCTGGATTTTCAATATTCAATAGTTTTTTTTACAATTGTTCTATTTATTACTGTTTTTATTATTTTTGTTGAAGTTTCTAATGAATTTAGAATTATTATATACTAATTTTAATAGCAATTTTTATTCATCAAATTTTTATAGTTTTTAGGATTCCCTTCTACTATTTTGAATGAAGTAATCTAAAATATCTGTACATGATAATTCTGGAATACTCTAATTAGATATAAATGGAATACGCGTAAATAGAATTTAAATAGATTTCTAAATTTCTTTTTCTATTTTCAATTTCTTAGGGATCATCATTTGTGATTCCAAAAATCTTCCTTTTAGGGAATTCAGGTATATTAACTTTGATTTATTCCTTAAGAGCTTAGTGAATATCTCTCAAATCTGAATATCTAGTTTTGAATCTCCATTTAGTTTTATTAAAATTATCTAGAACTTGAACGAAATACAGTACAAACGTGTCTAATTGCTAGAATGAATCAATAATAAAGTTGTATTATTATTCTGGTCTAAGTGCATTTATTATATTATAATACTTATTCTAAGAGAATTAAGTAATTTCATTTTTATTCTCAATGATATTGGGCAACATGGATTTCATATAAGGGATGGAATATAGTTTATCAATTTTAAGTAATTGGTTGAAATAGTCTTGTAATTCAGTTCTCTAATGATAAATGATAATAACATATACACGCCTTAAAATTCCTTATTCTGAATCATTATGACTACCAAATAGTTTCTTGCCAGGAAATTAAGGTAAATTGACCGAAATACGCAATTATTATAATGACTTATCCAATTTCATATGCAATTTTTCAGCATCTGAATATCTAAGATGTTAGACCTTTGCAGAGCAATAAGAGTGCGAAATGAATATCATGACATAGACAATTTTCTTGTTGACTATTTAGTGGTGAGGAATTCTGCAACTGAATTCCAAATTACTGTGCATATATTATTATAATAAAAACAAATGAATGATAAAAAATTTAGCTTTTCTTTAGACACTACTCTTAGTCTAAACAGTAAATAGAAGTAACATTTGGTTTTATTTAGATTATAAAAAGGTTTAGTGAATTCGTTATTGAATTTTATGTAATCAATTTGTCCATAATGATTTGTTATTAAATATTTAATTTTTAATTCAATAATATGCAATTTTATGTTTTCAATTTTCAATAATGTAACCTTACACTCATTATTTCTCTTGCATAATTAAAGAGGGAAAAATGCTGATTCGGATTAATTTAAACTTGCATCAGATTTTTGTTAGGTTCATTATTAAATCTTCAGCATATCACCATTATTTTAAAGTAATTGATTGGTGATAATAATTAGTAAGTTTTATAGATTAACAAAACTATTAATACACATTATATGTAAAATAAATATCAATCTAGTTACAATTTATCCATTTCAGATAAACTCTTTTAAGCTGATTTTTATGGGGATGGTTATACAACTTCAATTAGATATTATGGTTATAACAAATTGTCCTTCTTTATTTATGGACTAGTAAATGAATGGTTACATACTTTTTATTTACACAATAACAAAATTAAATTATCTAGTATTCAAATAATCCCACACAAATCTGCTCGTTGTTTATCTCCTTTTTTACATAGCATTCGATTGGATCATTGATTTAGGCTTACAAGTTCTCTCTTAATTACTTTGTTTTTATTGGGGAAGCAGATTCAGTGAAGAGAAAGTGTCCTAACTCAAACTAAACACAATTTTAATATTATTTACATCCTCGTTTTGTTTAATTTTATAAAGCGTAAATTTAATTGTATAAACATCTTATGAAACTACAATTCCAAATAAAGAACCAAGAAAATCATTAAGCTATAAGGATTTAGATTCTCCCAAATATTTAGATTCATTAAATGCTTTCAATTAGAAATGAGGTGGATTATTGTTATTGTTACTTAACTTTGAAAACAATCTCAATTAGAGTGGAGTTAAAAATAAGACTTTGTTTTGTTTTCCAATTTGTTTGAGAAAATTCAAGTTCTAATATTTTGATCCTTCAAATCCCTTTCCTAATATGGTTTAAATTTATTGAGTCATGAGATCCTAATTTGAATACAATTTTTATTTGTGGAATCTCTACATAATTTTTAGGTCAGATTTATGGTTCTAATATTCTTGTTGGTGTCTCTAAGAATTAATTACTGATGGTAGTGAATATATTCTAATTGCAAGGCTTTTGTTTTCATTATTTATTGTGTTCAAATACATATTGATTTTAGAATTTCTATTAATTGAACGTGTTGTTGATTATGCACCATTAATTGATTTATTATTGTTGTTTAATAGTTTTAACATTAAGTTCTTGTCTATTCTAGATTTTTCTATGTTTTATTCTTGAGTTTAGAATTATTGAGTTAATTTCATCTATTCATGCTTGTGTTTTAATTTTTACATAATCCCCTCCGAATTCAATTACAAAGGCTAATCGTATTATTTGATAAAATACTTATGTAAGTATCTCCTTTAACTTGTTCTTATGAAATTAAAATTATCTCTCTTGGTTCTTCTCATAAATAACATCTTTGATTAAATATGTACTTTTCATTTATAATTAAGTTTATATTACTATTAAATTATTAATGATATATATATAATATAAAAATAATACTATCTAAAAATGTATTTTTAAGATAAATTTACAAGAAAATTCAAAAACAACCTAGTATTTGGAGTGATGCTCATTCAAATACTAAGATTGATTAGGTATAAAATATGAAATTCGATTTTTTAATTTATAATTGTAAAAATATGTACAAAAGGTGAAATTTAATTATGCACATTTACTTATATAAGTTCATTTACCTATTCAATTCCTAAAAAATAGTTACAAATTCAACTATCAAATCTAATTTGATTAGATACCTGATTTCTATTTACTGAAAATTTAAGTAATATTGGTAAAGCATTTCTGATATTGATATTTATATTCATTATCTATCATTTAAATTCAGAACTATATATTAAACTCTTATCTTATTAGTTACTAAAACACAGGTTTACTGTGATAATATTTGATAAGCTAGTATTTAATAATATTATTTTAAGTAGAATATTGATGGAACAAGATTTTCATTAAAATTATGATTCTCTCCTACTCTACAAATGATAGCCCATAAAGCACTAAATTAATGGAATTATCCATTTTTCAAAGGAAGATGGAATTTGATGTTGATATTTTAACCCAAGTGATATTATTGTTAGAAAGTGCAATCTTATTTATGCGGATTCCCGTATTTATTAATTGATAATGATAATAATTAATTAATGAGTAGTTTAGTTAAAAATCAATCATCCCCTTAGATTAACTTTAAGAAGCTGATTAAGAAACTTATAATGAAAATGAATAGAGAGTTAGATAAAAATTAGGAAGAAGCTGCCTATCATTTAAATCGAGGTGCCCTAGCTTGTTTTACTACATTATGCAACACTTTGAGTATAAACAACAGAGTGATGTAAGTCTTGATATTCTAATTAGTGAAGTGAATTTATCAGGATGCAACATTAATGTATATTACGCAATTGAGATTAGTGGTTTAATATAAAAAAACACAAATATATAAATATTAAACCTAGGGAGCTGTTTGATCAATTCTTTTGGACTAAGCTGTATATTCAGAGCAGTATCAATATTATATAATTAACCAGTTGATCGATCACTCAGGATTGAAGATCCTAAATTTGTTTAACAATTAAGCATTCACAACCGCGATAGTCCAAGATTTTTGCAGGTATGTTTTATGCGGGAAGAACTAATTATAGGAGATAAATTTATCTCATTGCAACATTCAAAACTCTTTATTAGCCTAAATAATGGATAAAACTCATCATTTAAGCTCTTTGAGGTATTAAATACTGTACATTATTTAGACGCTTAAAATTATCCTTGATGAGTTTGAATTCAGAAGGAATCTTCGCCTTATCAAGCATGATGCTCAATTATACAGGTAAACTCAATTTGGATTACTTGGACATTTCATACAATCAGATTAAAAATGAAGGGATTGAATTATTAGCTAAAGGGTTGTTCATGTCAGTTCGATTAATTAAAATAAAGTCATTGAATCTGAATGGAAATCACATTTCTCAGACAGAATTTTTGGAATAAATAATAATGAAAATTCAATTAGAGGAATTGCATCTAGCTCATAATTAATTAGTAGAATTTTAAAATCAATAAGTTCTCAATTTGAAATTGTTAAGAATAGACCTATCCCATAATAGAATTGAGGAAATACCTAACAATTTTTTTCTAAATGTTTTCTACTTAAATTTATCCAGTAATCAAATTAATACTGAAGGAGCTTATTAGATAAGTCAAGTGTTGAGTTCTAATAAAGTTAGATGGATGTATTTAGACTTAACCAATAATAAAATTAAAACCAAGGGATTTATCTCTATTATTTATGCATTGATTGAAAACACCAGTCTAACCAGTCTGTCGGTATCCAAAAATCAAATTACAGGCGAGGGCATTTTGGTCTATATTTTTAATCATGAATAAATTCGGTTGCAATATTTAGACCTTTCACACAATCAATTGAGATATGATTTGGTTTATGCTTTAATTTCAATGATGAAGGAATCAAGATTGAAATCCTTAATCTTATCACAACTATTTAATGATGAAAATGAAATTCAAAGTGGTAAATAAGATTGTTTTGAAATTAAATGTACCAACTTAAAGGAATTAGATTTCAGTTCTAATCCCTCAATCATGTAACCCATTTTAGAATCACTGTGTAAACAGTATAATAGACTTGAATACCTCAATCTGAATGCTTGTGGCTTAAATCAATCTATTTTAATTGAGAAGCTGAGTATTCTAATTGAAAAAACTTATACATTAACTACTCTCTAGATAGCTTAAAACCATTTAGGTTCCTTAAACCAATAATCCTTAGATTAATTGAGTAGCTCTTTAGGGAAGAACTCGACATTAAGGAATTTAAATTTATCAAGTAATAAGTTGAAAGATTCAATTTAATTTCTCATAAATGGATTGTAAAATTGTTGTTCTTTAAGAAATTTAAATATTAGCAATAATTTGATTGATGAAAATGAAATGATAGCCAAGAAATTGCCTTTAATATTTAAGAATAGAAGTTTGTAAATTGTGGACTTATCAAGCAATTGGATACATGGTAAAACTCTTTAAAATATAAAATATTGTATACAAAAGATGCACTCATAATTTCCACAATTAATATTAAATAATCTTAAACTCACTGCAGATGATTTATTAATTTTATCAGATATCATATCAGATATATCTTCCTTTAAAGTATTAGATATTAGTCTTAATGATTCAATCGATTATATGAACAATTTTACAGCATTATAGGATCATAAGGAAGTAAAGTCGTTGACAATTAATAAGATATAATGTAGACTAGAATCTTATTAGTTTTTGCAATAGATAATAAAATAAAATCAAAATTCATTATCAGTAATTGAAGTCTCTAATACTCTTATATCATAAAATTATTTGCTTACTCTGCTTCACGGAATGACCTATTCTAAACACTTGAAATCTTTTATTCTCGAATACTAACTCATTGAATCAAGAGAGATTCTTGAAGCCTTTTCAACTTTGATCCAAATCAAAGCTCTAGATAATTTATAACATTTAATTATTAAGAAATCTACTTTATCTTTAGATTTCTTTATGGTTTTGAAATAACTACTATAATAGACTGAGCAACTCTAAGAATTAGACATAAGCGAAAATAGAATAAATTAGCGAAAGTTTGAAATTCTATGTTAAGGAATATCAATTAACAATAGTTTAATAACATTGAATTTATCAAATATTAAATTAGATGATTTTAAATGCAAATTATTAATAGAATCATTATATAAAAATAGAACTATATAGAATCTTGAATTGTCAAGAAATAACTTGACTTAATAGAGCTATTACAACTTTTTTGAGGTCTTCAACAATAATATCTCTTAATTATAAAAATTAAAATTTTCGAAAACCAAAAAGTAGTCACTTATTAGAACACTTCCTGAATACAAATATGATTTCCTAATCAACTTTGATTTGCCAGAATAATCAAGGTTTCTATTTTGCAATTTAATTTAACTTGATTTAACTAGGGTTAAATATTAATTAACAAGCTTAAAATAATTAATCAATAGAATTAAACCAGACTAAATATTTTAGAATGTTGTAGTTGTAATATTTAATGAATGCCAATTTGAGGATGAGCATTGTGAACTATTATTAGAATTATTAATACATTAAATTAAATTATAAGAATTGTCTTTGACAACAAATAACATTACTTCGAAAGGGTTTAACACATTAATAAATTTTATCTTGGAAAACAAGAGTCATTTAAGAAAGTTAGTAATATCAAAGTAAGAATTTAATAATTAATTTAGCAATTGTATCGATTCTTACATTCTCTCTAAACGATGTCTCAAAAGGCTTACACACTTTAATTTATTAATAATTGATAATAATAAGGCTTTAGGAAATTAAGATTTAATTGATTTTTTAAAAATAAATCCAGGATTATATATTTATAATACATGGACTTAGGCGACTGAGGAGTTGGCATTTTAGATAATAGAATAATATATTTAATATAGCATAAATTATAATATAAAGATGACGCCATTTTATTTGAAAAGCTTGATAATCAGAGATTCTAATTTGACTGACAATTTTTTGATTTGGTTTGGTTCGAAATACTTTCATTTTTAATATTTGGAATCTATAGATTTTTCTGGTAGTACTAAATATAGTACAAGTGTTGGAAAGATGCATATGTACATTAGCATGATAAATGAATAATTTATGAATTACAATCTTATTGATGGAAAGATAGATAATGAGTAGAGAGTAATTAATATTTTTGACGACGGTATTTTATAATGCTCATTAATAAAATTGAAGAACTATTTTCTAAGAAATGGAAGCAATGGAAAATGGATGATTTAATTGATAAACACAAATTAATATTAATATACCGAATTTAAGTTAAGTAGCTCCTTATATAGATTTTTGAGACAAAATAAATTCTAAATTAAAACATATTGCTTTATTTAATTTTTTTCAGTTCCTATTAAGGCAATTTTGAGTGCCATTATAGGATTCTATTTTGAACATTTGGTAGATCCAAAATAAGTAAATATTAATTGTAAAAATATGAATCCCTGTTACTTCACAAACTTAAATATCTATATCATTGGAGTCAGTATAGCCTATATGATCATCACACTTTTTATATAGATGTTGAGTTTTTATGTTGCAATCAAAATCAGAGTTAAGGCTGTTCCAGACTATTGTATTAGAACCTTCGAAGAAAAGCAATCCTAAATGTATAGATATCCTTTAAGGCATGAGTTGATGCTATTTTTCATACAGTTTTTCATACAGACTGATTATTTCTTTGAATTTGAAGTAATTGGATTTTGTGGTAGTTTTATAAAATTTTTACAGGAGCAAAACATTTAAAAAGAATTGCAATTTAAGTTTTTTGTTCTTTTATTTGCCTTATCATCAATAACAATAATTAAATTCATAATTGTTACTTACACAAATTATAATAATATGTATAATCTATTTAAAAACTTGGATTCAGATTAAGCAACATTTTTTTCACATATTTGGAAGATGAGCGAGAAGAACTATGTATTAGAAAGTGTATTAAGATAATTTTGTCCTTAAATTGGAATATAAATCAAAAAATATCTATTAAATAGTAGATAAATTTCTGAGTTCATATTAGCTTTACTAATCTATCTTCCTTCAATTATCTGTATGACAATCTATTTCAATTTATCCTCTCAATATTTTGAATCATAATATGAATCCATTATTATCCCATCTGCATACTTTGTATTTTTGATTGGATAAATCAGAGTCATCTTTGGATTCTTTTTTCATTTGAATATTGCACTTACTTCTAGACCTCCATAAGTAAATGGATTTGATTTGAATCATACCTTACTATAACGGAAATATTAACAATTTTATAAAGAACAAGATAAGTACAAAAACTTAGATGTACATCAAGAGACAAACCTAATCAGTTTGGCGAATAGTAAAAAGTGGAAAAATGAAAAGAAGTTTTTTATAAAATAAAATAAAATTGAATTTTGAATAATTATTTATTTATTATATTAATTATAAAAAAACGATATGTTGATTTTTTTCTTAGCTTTAACAATCAATTGTTTACAGACCTCCTTAACAACAAAGTTAACTTAGTTAGGCGTATCAAACATGGGAAGATCTATCATATTATTATCCCAATTGGATTAAACAAACACGAATGAACTAATGCAAGCACTCAATCAGATAAAGAATAATATTTTAGTAATCAATCACACCAAGTATTTAGGATAAAATTGAAACAGAAACTAAATCATATACTACATATACAAATAGACAATAGAGTGACATTGAATATCATGAACATAGAATAAATGATCTATAAGTAGAATTAGCTACATTATAAGTTGAAATTCGACGACTGGATAGATCTATTACATTTTAAGAAGCAGATATCATTTCCAAAAAGTAAGAAGTTTAAAATTTTGTGAATTCTAAACAATCATTGATTGATTGGTAAAAAAGGGAAGATTAAGTTTACACTAATTAATAAAATTCCTATAACAAAGCCTTAAGTTCTATAGATACTGCAATAGATCTTTTGGAAAAAGGAAAATGTAAAAATAATTAAAAATTTATTAGAATCTAACTTTATTGAGGAGCATTCAGATACTTTTAGCGTAGTTGGTGAAGAGCTACAAAATAATTTGGAACCAGAATATCAACAAATTTCACTGACATTTTCTTAAATTGCTTATGAAAAATTTGCAGATCATGATTTAATCCGTAGATCAACAAGACTATTATAAAAACTTAGAGCAAGCATTTCAGATTAAAAGATTAAATTATAAAATACTTTGAATGCTGAAAAATCTCAGAATGATATTGCTATCAAATTGCATGAAAATAAAATTCAATAAGTAAATAACGATTTAATTAAAATTTTAATGGAAGATCATGAAGTTATGTTACAATAATATAAATTGAAGAAGAGTCTTGTTGATTAAATCCAATAATAAATTTAGAATAGTCAATAACTGATCATTTAATTGAATAATGAGATTCAATTGAGATAGAAAAACTATAAGCAATTAATTAGTGAATATTAGCAAGAAATTTAAATAATAAATGATTGCGTATAATAAATTTAAAATCATTGAAAAATATTTTTTATTTAATATTTGGTGACAATATTCTTTCTCAATATTCTTAAAATTAAATCCCTTATTTAATAGGAACTAAAAAGATCATCTTTGATATCATAATCATAAATACCATGAAAATGAATAATCTATTGAAGTTTAAATGAAAAGCTGTATTGGATTGATTTGGATTTCTGGTGATTTCATCGATATAATTATAGTAGAGTATTTATAGATATAAGATCTTAAATTAATCCTAAAATTTCAAATGAAATACTTGATTATTTAAACTATAATGTGTTTTGCCACAATAAAGGTTAAACTTATTTAAATTATATTTTTGTTGATTCAACCAAGATTTAGCATATGAAATTTAGAATTTAATTTTTTTGATTTACAGTCTAACTATTTATTATAATTAATAATATTCAAAAAATACTAATTCTTTAAATTTAATATATCATTAATGTGTTTATTCAACTTTCAGTTTTATAAAACTTGTTATTGATTTATTGTCTATGCATTTTTAATGAATAACATTAATCTTCTTTTGGATAATGATTAAATAAAAATATAAAATTTTAATTTATTATAATAGAATCATAGTTAGATTTGTTATTAATTTTATTGGTTTAGCTATTACTATTTTATGTACACGTCAATAGGAAAGTAAATTACTAGTGTGAAGAGGAATAATCCAAATGCTTATTTATATCTTCTTTGACTAAATTTAGTAGTAGCCCATATGTATGGAATAAGAGTAGCCAAAGTTGGTACGATTACATAAATGTTTTCTGTTACTGCTTTAATTGTATTATTTAAGATATTAAATAATAGAAAGTAGACCATTAATCTAAAACAGTCTTACCTTGAAATGATATAAAATAGACTATTTGTTTTTTTTGTAGTTGGCTCACCTGCCCACGAAAATTGAGCGCATAACACAATCAAATTGATGGAACTGTAGTCAAATAAGTTCTACTTTCTAATATTAATAATTACACTAAAATATCCCATTCCTTTCAATGCAATATCTCCATTAATCAATAAAACATTTGTTGTAACAAATAGACTGAGCATACTTTACAGCCCTTTATCGCTTAAAATATAATAAAGAGAGCATTCAATGACCCAAATTAATATCAATCCTGCAAGCATTTACATGCTAGGCATTGAAAATTCCATAAAGTAATAAAAGAAGTAACACAATATTGAAATCAAACCTAATAAAGAACAAATCAATTCCACAACAAGTTTAAATGAATTTCCTTTAGATTTTGGATGCTACTCAATAACATTTAAAATAAATCCAAAGAAATTGAGAATGCCAATCACAACACAATAGTATGTAAATCTTTCTTAATTAAGATCACTATTCTAATCTTTGTAGTAAACATATAGTAAAGCTGAAACTTAACTTAACATTTTTTATTTTATTATTAGTTTATGCAAATTATTTTTTATTTTCCTGGTAGGAACCTGATGAAATATGATCATTATATAATTAAATGATTTTAGATATTGATTAAGAAATAATATCTCAAAGAAGAAATAAACTCAGAATATTGTTAAACAAACCAACTCACACAAAAAATTTTTGTTAGCACTAACATTAAATCATAAAATCGGTTTTGGAACCACCCAAAAGAATTTTTTCATATTCACGATCTATAAGGCACTTTTTAGAAATTATGTCAAAAACTGGATCAGTTAGTGTAAATTAAAAGGCAATCACTTTATATATTAAATAAAGGGATGCAAACAATTAAAAATTCTAAAGTGATCAAATCAAAACAACGAATTCTAAATTTATTTAAACAGATGATTTAATTACGGAAGAGTATAACCCTAAAACAGAAAGAACTTTATGGAATATGCAAGAATCTCCATATATAAGAAAAAGAAAGTTTGCTAATCATTCGTATTAAAAAGAAAAAGATCCGAAGTAATTATAACTACATAAAATTTACGAATCTGACATCTCAAACTCTCCCTACACCAGTAGAAGCATTAAACAATATACATTTCAAAATGAAGTTCTTAAATAAAAATTGGATACCATCACACCTTTTTATGATAGATCAAAGCATTTTTTTAATAAAAAAAGAACACATTAGTCAAGCCGTTACAAATGTGAAAAGTCAGATACTATTTTTACCACATTAACAAATAGATATTGAAATTAGTCGAATTTTATATAACTCAGTTGTGTAATCAAATCTGTTGAATCATTTTCATGTTATACATATTAATAATTTATAATTATTATGATTCTTTAAATCATATTATCATTTATGAATGTATTTCATATTCCCAATCAATAATTTTTCAATAAATGAGAATTCAATGGTATTCTAAATTAAAATTATTTTGCTTTATTAAACATCAAATCATTCTAAAATAGCGAAAACAATATCTAGGCATTCTTGATTGGTTTCATATTCAACTTTGTCCCCTTTGAAATCGAAATTTCTGTATCCTATTATTTTCATACCTTCAGGTATTTTCATAGACTTGATATTAATATCAAATTCTATTTTGGATTGGGCCAACGACTCTGTGTTTTCACAAATATTTTCTGAAATTCCTTAAAATTGTATTCACTGAATAATTAAATACAATCATTTAATGGAGAATATAAAAGCTAAAAGTCTCGAAATCCCCAAGATACTTCATTGGCTTCTTTTTAAGAGTACTTACAAGATCAAGTTGTAATTCTGCATTACTATGTGTAACTATTTTATCAAATTTAATTATGCTCTTATTTCCAAAAATATCACTTAGAGCGGGGTCATTCCAACCTAAAAATTGTATCCAAACTTCACTATTATCAATTGACATTGTGAATTCCTCTCCTTCCCAATTATCAATTTTGTAGATAGTTGCTCTAACTCTTACATAATCATGCTTTGGTAAAATAAACTTTTTTGATGCTTTTGTTTTCTTAGATAAATTTTTTGAATACCTTTCCAAAAGATTCGTATCCTCCAATTAAATCAATATCAGAACATTTTGTAATAGGAGGATTAGGACTAGAATGATCAAGTTCTTAAAAATTCCATTATTCTATTTTCTAAAATGATTCCATATCAAAAAATTCTTTAGATGCAAAGTACCATTAATTTTTGTTAAGGTATTTTTCATTTTATAACGTATGATTTGAATGATATTTTGTACATTCATTTTCAGCATTACCGACACATTCATCACAAAATTTTGTACATTACGCTGCAAATAAAAAGAAATCTCTAACTCCCCAAGATTATTAATTTGTTTCCATTGTTAATGAAGAAGAAAAAGTCATTTTTAAAGATGGTTCTTAATGCTTTTAGATAATTTTGATTGCAACAATCTTCTCTCCGTGCCCTGGATTATTTTATTTCCTATAACATTATATGAATTATATCATACACTCCACATAATTCTATCCCATCTGTTTTCTAAAATGCTATTTTCTATACTTCTTTATCATCAATTTTTATATAGAATTCATCATTGTCACAAAGATCAATCTATATACTATTATTAAATTACTTTCCAAAATGTAAATTTAATCATTATTTTATAATGAGGAGCTATTTTTAAAAGATTTTGATAACGTAAATTTGGCACAAAAATTTTCATACCCTCCAAACATCACTATGCCTGAGCATTCATAGCCCTTTTCCTTGCCATTTTCAATTGCCATCCTCTAATTTTGTATCGATATAAAACCAGCTTAATTCTTCCTAATTCCAAGGTATAAACAAAGTTTTAAATTATCTAAATCCCCAGGCCTATATATCAGCTTATCTTTATTAATTTATTGCTACTATGATTATCACAGTAGGAGAATTATGGGCGATCTCAAATACTACATCAAAAATTTTATCACTATGTTTAGATTGGTCAGAGACCACATAATCTAATTCCTCCCTCAGTAACTCCCCACTTCATTTCCCAAGGGACTCCATCTATATATTGAAAATACTTCATTTTCCCATTCTTCAAATTCTATTTCAAGATTATTTATACTTCCAAAGTTGGATATTAAACTTCAATTTAAAATGAAGAGGTAATTTTATAAATTTGGTTGCCGTGGCCTTTATCCAAATGTTTTCAATCCTCCTACAATGGTTTTTCACCGCATTTAGTTATTATATCAGAAGTTACTTAGAATTAATTCTAAGTTACCCATCCTTAATTAATTATAACTTTAATTTACCATCTAAAGTTGTTAAAGAATCCTCCTTAAATGCCTCATATATATTAATCCATTCAGATTAAGAAATAGCTAAATAGGTAAGCAATAATAATTTCATTTAGAATTAAAAACGAATATATTTTCATATTTATGAATTGTTTAGTATTCTAGTTACACTAAGCCTATTATTATTGAAGACATTTGACTTATCAACATTTTAATATTATTGAGGACTAAATACGTTCTTACTTTAGTTCTGCTGATCTTCAATTTGACTTGTGCTAATATATTTGCTTTAATGCTAATTATAATCTTACGAGGAATTTAGAGATGACTAACTAATAATGAAAAATAAATACTTATTTTGTCATATCACTATACCCTTAAGGGAAATATCTCTTCCTTTCAAGAAAATCATTCTAAAAGAATATCTTCAACTCCTCGTTTGGATTAAACATTGAAAATGTACTACTAAATGAACTCCTATTGAAATCATTCGATCTTTTAAAGTCACTCTCCAATTATTTACCCACACTTTAGGGTCTTGCTTAATATTTTACTTTAGGAGAGTACTGATCAAATATTGATTATTTGTATTTGCCATAAATTAGTATATTATCTTATTAATGCGGATTAATGATGTAATTCCCAACACGATTTGAACTTGTCATTGAATATGACCCTTAAAACTGATTTAATGGATCTAGACCTTGACCTTTAGATTCTGAATCTAACAACGGTGAAATTTACTCGTTTTATTACTATTTATAAAAACTATTATTTGTAAGAGTTCTTTTATTCAACTAATCGCTAGTTTCTTAATATTTTGATTAGCTTTTGCCCGTTACATTTTCTTCTTAAATTCTTTTCATCTTTTCAGAATTATTTAAGAACGATCTTCTCTCACTTGCCATATCTAATAAGTGCTATTTGTATATTTTCTTATCTTAATCCAAAAGTGCTTTAATCTTAGATACAGCTTGATTATTTTATTGAGCTTTTTATTATCTGTGGGATCCCCTTCCCTTGGATGAAGCTGAATGACTGCTTTAATGTTTTGCTATTGTAAAACTTTCTTCATGTACAGTGTCTAAATTGTTTTTACAAGTTTGCTTTTTTTATTTCTTAAATTTTGGAGATTTACTCCTAGATTTTGATTAACTATTTGGAGATTTAGAAGGTTGAACACAATGCTTTTAGCTTGAATAAGGCTATGAAAAAGTTTAATTTGTATTATGGGTTTAATGATCACTCTACCTTGTATTTGACTAATACGAAACTTAAGATTATTTCAGTTATTATATCTAGGTTGGTTGCAATTAATTAAATGATTGTTATTATAACTGGTTAGACTATGCTTGTTGTTATAACTCTTGTTGTTAATGATTCTATGAAAACTAACTACTTTATAGATTTGAGTATTAAAGAATTTAAGGAATGCAATATTCCTTCATAGGCACACTCTCAGTATCTATATATGTGGGATGTTCTTCTGTGTCTATGCACTGATATTCAATCTGATTATGTTTTTTGAAAATTTAATCCTAATTCAGTTTGCTAGGCTTAGGAGGTTTTATTCTTATTTAATCATCTCTCATTACTGACTTTATTTCTGTATCATCTAAATGATGTTTGGAAATTGTAATATTAATTTGATTAATTGTCTAAGGAATAGTTTCTGTAATTTTCGGAGTTATTTCTTTAGTTTTTTTTTTAATCAATTATTGCTATTATTATTTATATCCAACTGATACAGACCTTTTTCTTTCATCATATTGAGGGGAAACATTCTATAATATTAACCTTTCATAGCTTCTTTGGGTTTATTTTTGACTAGAATATATGACTTAAAGATTACATCATTGAGTTATTATATTATATTTATGAAGTCAACCTACTTATTTCATCCTTTAGATGATCCAACTCATGTTTTACATCGCAAGGTTATTCAGCAAAGTCTAATCTTCCGCTTTTTTCCAATTTAACTACATTGACAAATATGTTTACTTGAATAATCTATTATTTCTTGAAGCTTAGGTTTACCATTTAATAGAAAACCCTTTTTTATAAGCTTATCAAATCCTATTATAAACACACATTTGATTAATTTTTCCTAATGTTGATTTGGAAATAGATTGATTAAGGATTATACTAATTTTCCTTTCATTTTAAGTTTGAATTTTCGTTATATAAATTTTTTATTGTTAAATTAAATTCATCACTTAGTATCGACTTAACCAATTATTTATCTCAAATTAAATACCATCAAGAAGTTTTAACATTGAGTTATATAGATGAATAGATATTATAATTTAGATATAAGAAATCCATAATCTAAGTGAAGGTGATGGCTTATCAATATGAATATTATCAATCTAAATCCATGAATACAATTATCTTTTTCAATAGTTTGATATGATTTAGAAGATGATAGCCTTAGTTTTTCAGCACTTATTATAAAAGAAAAGTTATATATAGAAATAATTTATAATTCATAATAAAATAAGTGAATAAATCAATTACTTTTACGTCATCAATTATTGTCAAAAAAGAAATTTTGTTATTAAGATAGTTCTCTCTCAAAATCTGATTCGTCAAGTATTTTATCAAGTTCGCTAAAACCTATAAAATAAAAATACATTAAATTATCTGCCTTCTATGGACTTTCTCTTGAAGGTATTTAGCTTTATTATTATTATGAAGGCCTATTAGAATCCTAAGACGATCTCGATTTACTCGACCTATTTAAGAAAAATCGAGTTGCATCATTCATTCCTAATTTTTTTTAAGCTTTAATTGGACTATTTTGATCCTAAATTGAAACATTCTACTCAATTTAATGGATTATTTATGCAACATCATCATTTTCTTAGAATTATAATTTAAAAAGTTGTTAAAGTCTAACAACGAATTCTTAATGTTTTTATTTTAACTACAGATTAGTTGCAGAATATTAAGCAACCTATAATTTACTTATTCTTAATTCATCATTAAGTCGATTTATCTGCTATTTAAATTTATTTTCTTCATTTTAATCCCTATCTCCACTAGGTGATTATAGTACAGTCTTACAAATTCTTTCCTTTGACTTTTCTACTTAATCTTACATATTTTTAAGGGATTCATTATAAAAGTTTATTTAAGCTAAATCGTTTTCTTATTATTCAAGTAGTTTATTATGATCATCTTCCAATTCTTAATTTAATTATTTATATGTACTTAAATATTTCTGTAGTAATATGTCATATTTTTTCTAAATTTCATCATTTGTTCTATGAATATTCTCAACTATCTTTCTTTAGTTTTCAAAAGCTTGTAGTTAAGTATTTAGTTGATTTTCTATATTAGTATTATAATTTTTTAGACCTTAAATTTTTACAATAATAGTACTTTAATTTTAATTGTCTAATTTTCTTAAATATTGATTTAATTATTCTAATTCCTTTTATTTATCGTTATTAGCTATATCAAGAGCTATTAACCTTTATTATAAGTTATCTAACTCCAGTTTCATTTCATCTATTTCTTCTTCCTTATTTTCAATATCCTTCTATAAACATTCCTTCATTTGGGTTTTTTCATTAATTAAAAATTAAATTTGTTCTTAGTACTCTTCTTCTATTTAATCAATTTTAATTTAATTATCTATGTTAACTGAAGCATTTACTTTAATAATGATCTTATGATCCACTGCTTCTCAAACCTCTTGTTGGTCGTGGATTTCTGATTCTTGATTGCTAAGTCTAAAGGGGTAGACGAGGTATCTGCTATTATTGAACGGTTTGATTTTCATCTGTTTCACTTTCATGCTCTTAAATTGACCTAACAAATCTGGCTTCCTCGTGAGTTAACACTTCATTAAATAAAACCTTACTTTTGTCTTCAATGTTTGATTATAATATCCAAACTGGATTCATATTAATTCTGTAAATTTAAACTTCTTTCAGAGGTTTTAGGATCATAATCTGAAGATTTTATTGCTAATTATGTTTACAAATCTAAAATAATAAAATTCTATTTACATTAAATTATATTATCCCTTATTGAGATTGAATCAAAAAATTATTCCTTTTATTCCTTATTTCTTGTGATTTCTTCGTTTAATTAAGCTGCAAGCTCAAATTTATCCTATTCTAATAGTAGGATTGTATTTTTTAAGTCTTTTGATTGGTCATAATCCTTTTGATTATCTCCAAATTCTGGGTTTTGATATTTCAACTCTTTTCTGGCTTACTCTAATTAATTTTAGAAACAAGCAATGATTTCTTATTGCTATTTTTCGTTTTTGAAATGATTTTCTAATTCAGCTTCTTGATTTATCAGTTTTAGGTTTTATTATTAAACTATTTGTTGTAAATCTATTTTAGATTATAATTTACTTTCAATTAATTCTTATAAATGATAAATTGAATCTTAATGCTCTTGTTGTTGTTGCAGCATTAATTTCTAATTATTTACCTAGCCTATTTCTAAGTCAGCAATTTCTACTTTAAGTTCTTAAATATTCTAAATTTTTCTCTATTCATCATTATGTACTTCATCATAACTTTATGAATAGTTTATTTATCTACTCTTTTCTAATTCATCTTATTCTTGTAAGATGGAATTTACTTATTTTTCATATTCAAATTAAGTTATTTAGATATTTTATTAACTTTCCTCTTCAGAATCTTCTTCATTTAAAATTTAATCCAGATCAACCGAGCTGATATGATAGATGGTAATATTTACATTTCTTCTTGATAAATGTCTTTATCTTTTGATTTAGCCTAATTTTCGACAACCACCTATTTTGTTTTATGTTTTGTTTCATTCAATTCTTTTGGACTTTTACCTAATAAGTACTTTGTTGTATCAGAAAAACCAATAATTTTTTTCCTAGGTTGCAATTAAGATAACAATTCGAATTATTCTTCAATCTAATTAAGCATTTCTTAAAGATCAGCCTTTTAATCAAATGGTATGCTCAAAATTCTTCTCAATCTATTAGAAATCTCTTTTTAAGCCTACTTCAAAGCTGAGCAAGATGTTGAAAATTATGAAACCTAAAGTTTGCTTAGTTTGATCTCTTCATTCAAGCTATTTATTAGTTTTTTATATTTATCTCCATCTCCAAAAACAGATTTATTTTCAACTTATGGAGAGTTTGCAAAGGAATATGATTGAATATTTTATTTCGATTTTTCCAATTAATTTTAAAGCACTAGAATATAAAAAATTATACTTTTCATTTATTGCTCATAATAGTTATTTAATTCATGTTGTTCTGTCAATCTCTAGTTATTTTATTATAAAGTCTAAATCTCTTCTTTTAAAGAACTTATTTCAGTATTTTTTTCTACTATATTATAAATTTAATACTAATTATCTCTTAAGTCATATCCTCAATCTGATTAATATATGATAATTATGATTTTTGCAATTATTCTAAAGACTTTTTATATAATTCTTATTCATTATTAAAATCTAAATATGAAAATTTGTTACATCTGTTCTTTTGTTGGATCTAATCATTCAGATTTTAAATCTCGGTTGTATTAGATGTTATGATTTATCTCATTTAATCATTAAAGTCTAATTAATAAAATAAAAAAAAACTACTTTCCAAAGATGTTATTTTCTCCAAAAGTGTATCATTAACATTAATAACAGGGCGAAGCTTCTATTGCTACTTTAGGTCTAAAGAAAGTAAATCTATTTATTATTATAGATGTTAAATCTTCATTTACGCTCTGCGACTCATTTAATCTAACTGCAATTGCTGATTTTTAATTACTCTTTTTAGTTCTTCAGGGTTGGTTAGTTCTATTGTGTTTTTTTAATCAGATATTAATATGTTTTAGAAAATTTCTTATTGTTCTGTTATTATGTTATTAACTTCTAAACTTTATTATTAAGATTATTCCGTTTGAAGACCTAAAATAGAATAAATAATATTACTTAGTATTATTTTGTCATGAGCTAAAATCAAATCAATAAAATCTTTTGTTAATTTTGTGTTTTACTATTTAGTGCTTAATAACGCTTCATTAAGAAAATTGATATTGTTTTGCATATATTCAATTTTCTATAGGATGTTTGGCATTTCAATTTCTGCATTAATTTAATGTTAAAGACAGAATGTTTTCTAAGGTGAGTTCGCATCTAATTTAATATTTTGATTAGAGTTAATGGTATTTAAAGTATGCTATTAATCTATATCGTTTTTAATTGAATGAAATTTTTAATCATTATTAATAAATTATTATTAAGGAATAAAATTAGGAGAAAGTATTTGCATTAATTCTAGAAAAATATAAAATAATTACTTAATAAATATTAATATTATGACGAGCAAATAGATTCGACTTCTCTTAAATCAAGACTCACAAATCCTTTTTCAATCATTAAATCATTAGCATTTGCAACAATTTGTTAAAGTTATTCTAGTAATGAAAAAGAATGATTTGCAAGTAAAAATGTTGAAATTTAGTTTTGGTTATATAATTCTAAGGTTTAACTTAAATGTGTTAGCTACTATTCCAATTCTGATTTAACTGATTCTAAGATATGTACTTTCTCTTTAAATTAATTGATAGTTTGTTCTTATTCAGATTTGATCTATTCCAATTCTTATTTATCAGATTCAAAGTTTTGAACTTTTTCATTCAATTGATTGATATTCTATTCTTTTTCCTATTTATCAGATTCTAAGTTTTGAACTTTCTCAT